CCCCCCCCGCCCCCCCCCCCCCAATTCGAGCACTGCATTACCCTCAATAATTGAAAAAAATTCTCTCGTTTCTTGTAAATAGGGGAAATCCCCCAAAAAATTACATTTATAAAAATCGGTAATTTTCGATATTTTTTCAATTTTTTTTTTTATAACTGCCACAACTTTTTTAAAAATGGACAACTAATATATATATATATTTTATAGATACCTTAGGTATTTACCTATTATTAGATATATTTTTGTGTACATTTGACTCTTTACCAGTCAATAGGGATTAGGGATTAATAGGGAAGGTTTTAAAATAGCAACTTTTTCAACTTAACTTTTGAAAATGTTATAAGAATAATCTATTCTGATATTGTATAGTTAAGACAAAAAATATATAAAATTAGAATGGATACTTAAAAAATTTATTTTATTTCTTATGGAATGGGAACCACAATTTCGACCTAAAGTGAACCAGTATTTTGTGATTCTGTGCTTAAAGCAAATAGGATACCAGGAAACCAAAGTTTTTTGGGTGAACTCTTCAATCGTGTAAAAATTTACTTTATAAGCGAGGTCCTCAGATTTCTCTTTACATTTATTTATAAATAATAAAGAATCAAAAATAATTAAATAAAAATGTAAAAAGGGTCCGAGAGGGATATTTCCTAATTAATAAAAAATCACCTATTCGTAACTGATATAATCTATGGAGAATGTTATAACACTCTCAGTTACCTTTATTACCACTAATGTAGTTTATTGAATACTTCTATATTTTCCCGCTCTATATAGTAGAAAAAGCGTTTGTTTAAGTTGTTCAAGTAGATAAAAATGAATAAGTCTCTAATTTTCCATAAGACTAAGTACCCTGATATTGCTACTTAATGATTTATCTTATTCAAGTTTTCTTGGTTAATAGTTTATAAATAAAAACATGAATGATAAATTAAGAGAGATGTTAAAAAATTATTTTTAAGACAAATCGGTTGACAAGAAAACATTTCTTAACTATTACTTTATATAAATTTTTTAATTATATTTATTGATGAAATATATATTACACCAGATACACTTTTCACAATATGATATACGACGAATTAAGTAATAAAGTTTAAATAATCTAGAATCATTAAAGAATAATATTACCTTAAAATTTGGTTGATGTTCAAAAGAAACAACTCGAGGGAAATAACTATTTGTTTTTTTTATTGGCATAGTTGAAATCTAGACAAATGCAAGTTACAATTACATCAAAATAATTACTGTTAAATATAACTTAAACATTGCTTTATTTGAGCTTTATACTTTGTATTCAATGAAGTCTAAAAAATGGGTAATAGAAAATTTTCTTTTATTAATTTTGCTATAAACTAACTACACAATGTATACTACTATAGTAGGATTTTGGAAACTCTAAGTAATTTCACCTAGTGAAAGTAGAGGTCACCTTCAATATTAAATTTTTTTCGTCAATTTTGAAAATAAATTTCGATATTTAGAACAGATCTGTACTTAGTCAGAACTAATAATAATAATATTAATTAGTTACTAAATGGGAATGTTCAGAATTTTTAAATTTCATTCCTCAGACTCGGATGTTAGTGCACTAAAAATCCTTGAAAATTTATTGACCTATCGTTTTAAAAAAATTAGTAAAATTGTACTAAAAAATATACTTAAGTATTGAGATGCGGTTGTTATCTACTGGGCTATACAAGTTTCATTCCTCTTTAATATAAGTATAGGCAGAAATCAGTGCAATTGTCTTTCTAAAAAATTTTACACCTCCCCAAAATTAAAAAAAACTACGCATTTTTTCATAGATTTAAGCCTATGAATACAAAAATTAAATTACTTATTTGAGAGGTTGTCAAGCAAAAACTAAAAAAACCCAGCACAGTGGGGTCGTGGCATAGTTGGGTCCAGTATAGATGATATCTGACAGTGATTAAAATCACTATCATAAAAAACGCTTCGATGCAAATCTTTAGATAGTGTTAATTTAAAAAAAAAATTGTCAAAAAAGTAGGTCAAGTGAGAGCTGAGAAAATAAATGATAGCTACAAAAAAAAACCACATAGTAAAATAATATTAATATGAATTTCTTCTCACAAGAGCAGGCACGTAGACATGGATGGGCCTGGCCCCCCTTTGATTTAATGTGGCCCAGGGCCGGTCCCCCCAAATTTAAAACTCAATTATTTTTACGAATTATCAAAAACGTGCTAGGCCTTATATACATTGAAATTATTTTTAATTTGTGATTACTATTGAGTAATACACTTATTATTATGGCTGTATTTTCACTTTTATATACATAGAAAACGTTATTTGAAAAAGATAACGTTCTAGACGTAATAATAAATGGAATATCAGTGGTTGTAGGTAAATTTTTTTTAACTCTGGTCCAAAAAATGATACAAACAACCAAGTATCTCCATAGATTAGAATCTAGTTAATTACAAAATTCGATAGAGTATACTCTATGAAAATTTTTTTGATAAATCTTATTTTTAATTTGTTTCTTTATTTATGATTTAGTAGTTACAATAGGTAATTTATTTGTTTTTGTTAATTTGTTATTTGCGTGCTCTAAATAATAGTAATAAAAATATGACTAAAAAAAGACAGGAATTGTTTTTAATTTTAAATAAAATAAATTTTACATTGTTTAAAATTTATATTTATTTTAAAAAATTTTATAACTTATTTGTTATTAGTATTTAGGTAAAAATTATTTTTTCTTAATAGCTTAAAAGTTGAAAAATTAAATCAGCTTATGTTCACATCATTATTTTATTAGCTTCGATGCGAAACTGAGAAGGTATTGGTTTTACTTTTTGTGTCTGTTACCACTTTCTCAGCTCTCACCGAACCGATTTCTTTCAATGATACTTCAAAAGATCACAAATCATATCTAGTCGAAGACATTACCCTCAAAAATTGAAAAAATTTCCCTCGTTCCCCGTCAATGGGGGAAACCCCCCAAAAAATTACAAATTTAAATTTTAATTAAAATTACCATAACTTTTTTATATAGATGCATGATATCGTTACTCTTCATTTGATATATTTTTTTTATAAATTTGATCCTTTACCTGCCCACGGAGGGGATTTAAAATGACAACTTTTTCACAAAAAATTAACTTCTTCCACTTAAATTTTTAAAATGTCCCGGAAAGTCTGACACTTTTATCTATATCTTAAATTAAAACTAATGTAATGTATATTTTTTAATTAAAAAAATTTCGGACTTTATTTTGTCTTCACGGAGAAAATGGCAACCAAATGCTATTTTTGTGTGAAAATTCTCGATTTTGTATTCTACATTTTTAACTTTATAATGTTATAACTTTTTGAAAAATGTATGGATCAACAGAATTTTTTCATGAGAAATAATATTTTTTTAATATCCCTTTTTCATTCGACATATACTTTATCTTAATCAGGATATTAATAAGGAACTAGCAGATCATGTATCTTTTGGAGTAATCAACCAATTTTTTAAATTTAAACACTATCTAAAGATTTGCATGAAATCGTTTTTTTTTTATAGTGATTTTAATCACTGTCAGATATCATTATACTTGATCCAACTATGCCACGTCACCACTGTGCCGGGTTTTTTTGTACTTAAAACTGCCATAACTTATTGAAACCTTAGGTATTTTTCTTTCATTTGATAGAATTTTTTTTTAAATTTAATCCTTTAATCGTCCACAGGGGAGTAAGTAAAATAGTATTAAAAATAGCAACTTTTTCACAATAGTCAATTTTTTCAACTTAAATTTTGAAAATGTTCCGGAAATAGTACGTTCTTTAAACACATGTCAAATTAAAGCTTATGTTAAATACTATGAATTAAAAAAAAAAATCTTGATCATGTAATTTTTGGAATTATCCACCAATTTTTTAAGAATAAACACAAATTTTGAACTTTTAAGATTCATAGAATGTGATACTGTCTAAGGAGGAGTGAAGGGAGCCCCGCCACAAGCTATTCATGGGAAACAAATTATGGAAAATGATACGAGGGCCTAAAATTGTTGGCCCCTCCAATAAACATTTTCTGGCTACGTGCCTGCACAAGAGGAGACTACAATAATGGGATCCTTGATATTTATTGAAGTTATTCAATCTAAATGAGATAAAAATCAAATGAGTTTAACATTTTTTTCTAACTCAAAAAGAATTAAGAAAAATTTAGTGCCACAGACGTGAAAGACCAAATGTTACCTTCTCAGAAACTGTACGTCGTATTCGTCACTTAATAAAAATGGAAATTTAGCTCGTTCAAATTTTAAAGTTATTTTTCTCGACTTCAAAAAAACAAAAAAATTTATATTTATACCATGTCAATTAGATTGATATAATATTTATGAAAATCAGTGTAATCCCCTTATAATAAAATGAAATACAAAACCAAGAATTTTAACACAAAAAGAGCATATTTTTGAATACAATAGCTATTTTCACCATGAAGACAAAATAAAGTCCGAAATTTTTATTTTTAATATTACAGTATATTACATAAGCTTTAATTTAAGATATATATAAAAGTATCAGTATTTCCAGAACACTTTAAAAAATTAAGTTGAAAAAGTTTTACTTTCTATATGCATTTTAAAGATTTGAACCCCCCCTGTATTAAGGGAAATGGTCCGATTTAAAAAACAGTATGTCGAATGAAAGATTTATATAATTACTACTTCTCATGAAAAAATTGTATTGATCCATACATTTTTCAAAAATTTATAGCATAATAAAGTTAAAAATGTAAAATACAAAATCGAAAATTTTCACACAAAAATAGCATTCGGTAGCCATTTTCACTGTGAAGACAAAATAAAGTCCGAAATTTTTTTTTTCCATAATAAAGTGCATTACATTAGCTTTAATTTAAGATATATATAAAAGTGTCAGACTTTCCGGAACACTTTCAAAATTTAAGTTGAAAAAGTAAATTTTTTGTGAAAAAGATGTCATTTTAAATCCCCCCTGTGGGCAGGTAAAGGGTCAGATATAAAAAAAAAATGTACCAAATGAAAGGTAATGATATCATGCATCTATATAAAAAAGTTATGGCAATTTTAAGTAAAAAAAATTTCGAAAATTAGCGATTTTTAAATTTGTAATTTTTTTGCAGGTTTACCCCATTTACGGGGAACGAGGGAATTTTTATCAATTTTTGAGGGTAATGTCTTCGACTAGATACGATTTGTGATCTTTTGACATATCATTGAAAGAAATCGGTTCGGTGAGAGCTAAGAAAGTGGTAACAGACACAAAAAAAAAAATAAATAAAAAAACACATCTTAGTAAAACCAATACCTTCTCAGATTCGCATCAAAGCTAAAAGTATAGAAAAAATATTGAAATGTAGATAAGATTTCAAGCATAAAGCATTGGTTTTTTTTTTTTTGGTAAATTTTTGGAGTAGCAAGAAAAAAAGTGATATGAATGTGTTAAAACTTTCATAGATTGTTGTGTTATGTGGAATATTTATCATTAACTAAATTTTAAAATTATTTACCTTATTTATTTTTAAGTAGAAACAACAAATTGATTATTTAAAAATAATAATAATAATCTTTAATAAACTAAATGTATAGTATTTATTTACATATTATTTACACAATTATTCATTAACTTAATTTTATAAAATTAATATAAAATTCCTAAAATTGTCAAAAATTAGTTCTATTCTTCATCAACATCGAGTGTAGCATTTGCTCTGGCACCTTCATTAACAGCCAAAGCTAAATCAAGATTTTGTTCTCCTTTAAGTCGCTCTCGAATTAACTCAGCAATTGCTTTATGAGTTCGTCTCTCAAGTTTGGCCATTCGTTTTTCAATATCTCGTTTTAAATCCCAATCAGGTTTCCTGGGAGCTAATGTATTCAAATCCTATCATCAAAATTTTTAAATTAAATTTTAAAAAGTACAGTTGGGAATCAGTAGAGTAGAGTTGGGGCATTTTTTATTGATATGTGTCAGTAACCAGGGAGTCAGCCTGGCTTAGAGGGTAGGAACATATGTTTCAGTGCACGGAGTCCCAGGTTTAATCCCTGGGATACCAACAATATTTTACAAGAGATTTTCTCATTGGTGGTATTGGTGTTGCAAGCCACCCATAATACCAGTCCTGTTCATCACTGGCCTAACCAAAAAACATCTTTGACTCCCAAATATATGAAAGAGGGCGACCACTCTTTTTAGCATATTAAGTTTGGGAAATAGAAGAAGGTAAAACTGATCATTCATTAATGTAACTTATCAAAATCACTGCTGCAAAATCATTCAATACAAATCTAAAATATCTAGTTTTTTAAAAAGTTATTTGAATATTAAGTGAAAACCTGCACAATTGGTACAAGTATAGATGATATGCGACAGTAATTAAAATCACTATGAGATAATTATTATTATATTTTATTCTAACTAGTAAAGATCCTTAGAAATTTTTATAAAATTTAAGACATTAGATAAAAGGTCGGGGATACAAATTTGTTACTGAATATAATTTTTTGTAAATGTAAGTAAATAAATAACTTTTGTATGAAACATTTATACATATGAAAAACGGTCATTAAACATAAAAATATTTTTAAAGGGCAGAAATTTTTGGATGAAGTAAAATTTTTTTAATCATTTTTTTTTTATGGTCAAAATCATAATTTATAATAAAATCTGCAAGGAAATATTTTTTATAGACAATTTTTAAATCTTTAATTTATGTTATATTCATTTTTAACGTAAGAGTTGTATTTTTTTAATTATCTACTAAAAACTTGATACAACTTTTAGAATTCAATTTTTCACCCTCTTGTGTCATGTGTTGAAATTGATCAATAATGAAATAATTTTGTAAAACTTTTTCTTTTATAGTAGAATAATTTTGAGAGGTGAGAAGAATGAATTTCAAAAAATAATTCTTATTTTATAGCTATGGGTCACCCTAATATACAAATATATTAACTAGTAAATACATAAGGAGTTAATAAAATTATCTCTCTATATACTAAGTGGTTAGTGTTAAAAACACTCAATGTATGTTTCTATTTCACAAAAAAAAAGTTGATACCCCTATAATGTACAAAAGTTAAACCAAAAATTACATGCAAGTGTAAAATACCAAAAAAAAATTCTCAAATTTATTATCTTACTAGTAAATGATTGGTTCATGATTCAAGGATCAACTTATATATAAGATAAATTAAATAGTATTCAATTCTTTATCAGTAGAGTAATTATTATCATTACCAATTCTTGAACAGTAAAAACAGTTTCTCCAGCTTTTAATTGATCTTCTACTTCAGCAACTATATTACCTGGTTGAGGTGTTTGAATTAGTGTCTCTTTAAGGACTTCATCCTCTGGTACGTAACTTTTAAATCTTGGTCTACAAATTAAATTTTTTATATTAATAAAAATTGGTAGATAAAATTTAAAGCATGTATACTTAGGTAGAGATTTTTCAATTCTTTCTTCACTCTTCGTCGATTCATTTTTATTGGACAGTGATTTTTTTAAATTCGCTAAACGTTCTTTTCGTTTACGTGCTTCATCTTCTAAAGAACCAACATTAGAAGATATAATTCCCGAATTTTCCATGTTTAGAGTAGTAATTATTCGGGTTTAAAGAAAAATTAAAAATAAATTAATTTTTTTGAATAAATTGAACAGCAAAGTACTTAAAGATTAATTTTAAGCTAATTTTCGTAAATTTGAAAATTAAATATCTGTTATTAATGTAAGCAAACATAAGTATTAACAACTATTTGTGATAATAATTTTTTAAAGAACAAAACATATTCAGTGTGACCTTTGCGGGAATAAATTAGGTAAAATTAATGGTTTTCATACAATTGTGAATTTTTTGTCACTTTACCCAACAATTTTTCGGTCGAAGTTTATTTTATATCCCAGTTAATACGTCGGCAATATTTAATTTTATATATTTTGAACAAAACATAATTTTTTGCATATTTTACTTGTATCATTTACAGTAACCATTTTTTTTCATTGCATATAAGATACAGTCGTTGGGCAGTATTGTTGCTCAAAACATAATAAAATAAAGAGAAGTGAATAGAATAAAATGTGTAAATGTGAGGATTACTTAAATTCGGGGTGGGATTCGAGGGTCAAAAAATAACATAAATATAGACTCTTATTGATTTTTAAATCTTACCTGATAAATTTTCTTGCTTTTTATAATATCTTAAATAATAGTATTAATCAATGATTGATAAATAAAATAACATAGTTCGATTTAGTTCATAACTTTAATACGTAAAAACTTCGATAATAATTCATAATTACAATGTTTGGATAACGTTGCCTAGAATACGATAAGAACAGGCCAGAGTAAGGGTTTACTCTGCATTTTTATAATACTCCCGAAAATCATTCTTACAATATTATTGTTTATTAATAAGTAATCATAAAGTATAGAAGTTATTACAGATAAATAGTACACAAATCATTTTGACATTTTATATAACATTAAAATATTTTTTTATACTTAGGATTAGGGTTTATACAATACGATTAGTTATTAAGATTAGAATAAAAAAATATGACAAATAAAATTTACAAGGTTTCTTCTCGGAAAGTGATTTTAAAAGTGACCATTAATTGATTTATGATTAAATCATGTGTATTACAATATAACTAAACAGTATACATTTATTGACTATTTCTCATAAATGTTTATTTACTTTTTTTTTTTTGAAAAGGATTATGTTCTTCTAAGAATATGAATATTATGTATAAATATCCCATGTTATGGTAGGGTCATTCCATGTGAAATCACCAAATGTGTGTGCTGGTATAGTTCAGAAATTTATGAAATTTGTATCATAGACTTCTTAAAGGTCATTGACAACAAAAATAATATATATTTTTTTTCTTTATTGTTTTTTTTACCAGATAGTGCATTTTTTATAATTAAAAACATGTAAAAACATCCTATGTTCTAGAGCCTATAACTTCACATCCAAATAAGCTATCACTGTGGAACTAGCACTGTTTTACTCATACTAAATAGTACTTCAATTTCATTTTTAAGATTATAAATTTTGAATTTTTTTGAATATCGAATTTTGATTTAAATTTCTTAAATTTTGCAGTATTTTAATAGCAAAATTTGAAGGTCAAAAAATTTTTTTTTCTTTTCAGAAACTTTTAGTAATGTTCTTTTAACCCATATCATATTTGAATCGATTTAAAAAATTTTTTGTATCGTTTTACGGTCTTGAACATCCAAGGTTTGCTGAAAATAGCCAACTTTATCATCTCATTACACAAATTATTTTCTATTTTAAATAGTACTTTCCTTTAGGCAATTAAAACGTCTAGTGAAAATTTTATGATGGAGAAATAATTTTAACGCTACTTATGGAATTTACAAAATTTACAATTTGCGTATTATGGAAAATCCACAAACTACGTAATTTTCAACACTCTATTTTAATTTCTTGTATTTATTCTGCGTTCTGTAGTAGATTAAGTTATTGGGACTCATAATAAAATCCTAGGAGCAATGGCTAAGTTCGGAAAAGCTCCATTACTTTTCTTCATAAAGTTAATTACATCAATAGATGTTGTTGATTCTTCGACTACTTTTTGACAAATTAAGAATTTTTCAAATAAATATACACACAAATATCTTTTTCATCATCAGATTGAAGATGTAATACCAAGTCCATATTATGATTATGTTGAAACTTTCATAGATTATCATATTATTTGAAAAGCTTGAGGATTTATCCATGTTTGCATTGTTTTGGTGCACAATTCCAGTAAACTATGTAGTTTTTCGTTTAACCATTGTTGTTCTTTTATGATATTCAGTGTGTCCTTTACTGGTATCATTGTACATAACGAGACTACGTCGAAGCTGACCAGAATGTCTCCGTCTTCCCAGTTAGTTTGTTGCAATTTTTCCACAAAATCAGTCGAGTTTTTTTACATAGGAAGATGTTTTTCCAGTATAGGTTTTCAAAATTTGTGCTAAGTAACCTTCCAGGTTATATGGTTATAAACCGTCCAATGTAGAAAAAAAATGTTCACACAAAAGTTGTTTTAAATTAAATTTTCTATATATTTTTTATCTGACGTTTTTTTTTTTACCATTTACTATTCATAAGGTATGTCGATTATTCTATGAAATTATACGGTTTTCTCAAAATCTTCATAAATTTAAATACCACAAAATTCGTTATGCTTATAGGCTTACAAAATAGTCATTCACAAGATAAAGTTATTGATTATTATTTTTAAACGTTTTATTACATGTTTTTATCTGATATACTCCAAAAGAAAGATGGAAAACTTCTTCTTTCATTATCAAGAAAACAATTAGTTGAAAGTTTACCAATAATTATGTCATATAATAATGTAGAATAACTACTCGATGTACCTGAAATTTCATCTGGTTCGGAGGAGTGTCAAGCAATAGCTGTCTTTGCAGCAATTGAAAAATAAGGTATAACTAAAAAAGTAAAATCATTATGTTGTGACACAACAGTTTCTAATACAGGTAGACTTAAAGGTGCCTGCATATTATTGGAGCAAATGTTGGGGCGTAATATTTTGTATTTACCGTGTAGCTATCACATTTTTGAAATTTTATAAAAAAAAGTTTTTGAAATCAAATTTAATTCATCATCTATTCCAGATGTTCCTATATTCAATAAATTTCAAAAGTCCTGGTAAAATTATTTAATTGAATGGAAGATATTATTGTTTAAGAAAAATTAAAAATAATAAAAGATGATATTTTGAAATTTAGTTTTGATCCAATACCAACCTCGAGATGGTCAATAAGAAACTTTTAGAACTGGTCATAATATTTTTTGGTGAAACACCTCTAAATGCGATTTATTTTAGACTTCCTGTGTCTATTCATCCTACTCGTTTGATGGGCAAGGCCCTTTATTATTTAAAAATCATTTTGTTTAGAGATCAGTTTGTATTATCAATCAAAGTATTTAACGATATTCGTTCGTTGTGTTAAATAAGTGTATATATTATACAATGGTTTAGTTCACCTATTGCTTCATTAGCGTCAAATTTTGATTTACAATTTATAAAAAGTATGATTGAAGATGGAACAATAGATATAGATATTTCTAAAGTAGTTTTAAAAGACCTGTCCGGTCACTTATGGTATTTAGTATCTGAAACAGCAGCATTGGCATTTTTTGATAATAATTTATCTGAAGATACCAAAATTAAAATAATGAATTCATTTAATAATCGCGAAGAAGCTCCGTGTACGCACAAATGTGTAGTTTTAGGTTTAAATGGAATTTATAAATATCAAAATAAAAATACTGAAGACTTCACTTCAACGGAATCAAAAAAAACTTTTGAAAGGTTTGAAATTGAAACTGATTTATTAAATTTAGATACTTTGATATGGAAAGACAACAATCAATATAGAAAAGTAAAAGAAATTGTAAATAATTTAAAAGCCGTAAATGGTTTGGCAAAGAGTGGTGTGAAGCTCATCGAAGAATATAATGGTATTTTAACAAAAGATGAAGCACAAAAACAATACCTACTACAGATTGTTACAGAATATCGGTGTTGTTTTCCTAATTACAAAAAATAAAAACATTTTATATCAAGACTTCTAAAAACAAGAAATTTTTTTAATATCTAGTTTAATTTTTTATACGTTTTTTTATTTGTAAAGTAGTTCTTAGTATTTTATTAATATGTAAGTCTGAATATTTTATTAGCTTCGATACGAAGCTGAGAAGGTATTGGTTATACTAATATGTATTTTTTTTTAGCTTCGATGCGAAGGTATTGGTTTTACTATGATGTGTTTTTTTTTTTTTTTGTGTCTGTTACCACTTTTTCTCAGCTCTCAACGATACGTCAAAAGATCACAAATCATATCTAGTCGAAGGCATTACCCTCAAAAATTGAAAAAATTTCCCTCGTTCCCCGTCAATGGGGGAAACCCCCCAAAAAATTACAAATTTAAAAATCGCTAATTTTTTTAATTAAAATTACCATAACTTTTTTTTATAGATGCTTGATGTCTTGACCTATTATTTGATATATTTTTTTTGTAAATCTGACCCTTTATCTGCCCACAGGGGGGGATTTAAAATGACAACTTTTTCACAAAAAATTAACTTTTTCTTCAACTTAACTTTTGAAAATGTTCCGGAATGTCTGACACTTTTATATATACCTTAAATTAAAGCTAATGTAATATACTTTAAATTGAAAAAAAAAAATTTGACCTCTAGACTCGTCTTTATGGTAAAAATGACTACCGTATGCAAAAATATGTTATTTTTGTGAAAAAATTCTTGATATTATATTTTAAATTTATTAACATTATGTTGCTATAACTTTTTAAAATATGCATGAATCAACTTTATACTTTAATGATAAATACTTTATATATACTTCTTTCATTCAACATACTTTTTTTTTTAATCAGACCATTTCCCTTTATACAAAGGGGGTTGAAACCTTTTAAAATGCGTATTGCAAGTAGAACTTTTTCAACATAACTTTTAAAAATGTTCCGGAAAGACTGACACTTTTATATATACCTTAAATTAAAGCTAATGTAATATACTTTAAATTAAAAAAAAAAATTTGACCTCTGGACTTGTCTTCACGGCGAAAATGGCTATCAAACGCTATTTTCGAGTGAAAATTCTCGATTTTATATTTTATATTATATTTAACTTTATAATGCTATAACTTATTGAAAAGTGTATGTATCCACACAATTTTTTTATGATAAATAATATTTTTTAATANGAAAAGTTTATGGATCCACACAATTTTTTTATGAGAAATAATATTTTTTAATAAACCCTTTTTCATTTGACATACTTTATCTTAATCGAGATATTAATAAGGAACCAGCAGATCAAGTAGCTTTTGGAATAAAACACCAATTTTTTTAAAATTAAACACTATCTAAAGATTTGCATCGAAGCGTTTATTTTTGATAGTGATTTTAATCACTGTCAGTTATCATTATACTTGATCCAACTATACCACGGCACCACTGTGCCGCGACCCCCCTGTGCTGGGTTTTTTAATTAATTTTACAATTTATTTAATGTATCCTGTGAATAGTAAATGAAAAAAAAACGTTAGATAAAAAATATATAGAAAATTTAATTTAAAACAATTTTTCTGTGAACGTTTTATAAAATAAATTAAGTTAATAGTTTCAACGGTAAATATAGAACATTTTCATAAAAGTTATTGTTTTTGAGATAGACAAAAATAACTAAAAATCTACCCTTAGGGTATCATTTTTAACCCTCTTGGAGCACGCCTTAGAGTTTGACAATGATTACCAATTTTTTTTTTTGGGTATTCGAACAATTCTAAGGGGTGGCACTTCTAAATATTATTAAAAAAAAAACCTACCCATGTAGCTTACGATCACCTTAATATACTATTCACAGTCTATTAGTGATGGAATCATAATTATACATAAGATTTATTTATTTTAAAGTATTCTAAAACATATTAATGCATTGATAGGACTTTATATAAAATGTTGTAATAACCGTATAAAATATTGTGCAATAATTGACTCAATCGTTTAGTAAAGAGCTAACAATAGCGTTGAAGATACTTTCTACTTAAAATTAGTCAATGTTTTTTTACATAATGTAATATTAATAATTACTTTTTACAGTAAGTAATAACTAATATAATTCTGATCAGTGAAATTCAATTACTGTTTACAGACAAATCTTCGATAATGGTAGTTCTCATGTTATTGAATATTTAGTGTTCATTTAGGTTTTATCTTATCTTATTACTACTTAATTTATTGCTTAATATTTTCGAATATTATGAAGTATAAAAATAATATGTATCTGAATTATAGTGGTACTATTTCAAGTATTTATCTTAGCTTACTATACTCCAAAAAAAATTGTATACAATTTGGCTGGCATCTAGATATTAACATGTAGCATTTTACTTTATTAATCTTACATTAGTTTTATAATTTAGTATTAATTTTGAGTATTTATGATTGAATCGAGTCCTTCAAGCAAGATGTATATAATTATCTTACAATTTGGGTAAAGTTTTTAGGAAACTTCCTTTAATAAGCAGAATGAATAATATTCTATATAATTTAAGTTAATAGACTAAAAATATATTTTTATTTAAATTATATTGAAAAATTCCCATACACAAATTATTCATCAAAGTATTCATACTTTTATAACACCAATATTGTGATCTTACCTGTGGCACAGGCAGTATTTTTCAATGGAAACAAATACCAAAATAATTTTTAATAACCAATAAAAAAGGATTTAATCCTACAGATATTTAATTTATCCCCAAATCTAACAATATCAATTAATTTGTATGTGAAATTTATTTAGCTAATTGATTAAATTCTATGACTATACGACATAGTTAAGACAAGGCAAAAGGCCTTAGTCATTAGTCATCTTAATATTAAATTATTTTAAAATCTGTATTTGAAAAAATATTTGATAAAAATCATAATGTAAATCTTTAAAAACTTTAAACTCAAAAATAAATTACTAAAAATTTAAGGGAAAGGAATCTAGAAAAATAAAAATTACAATCTAATTATATAGTTATACATTATTTATTTTTAAATGCTTATAAATATAAGTGTAATCTAGAAAAAAAGTTGAATCATATCTAAAAAAAATGTAATTAGTTAATGTACAATTTTATTAAAAAATTTTTTTTTAATTAATGACAACATAAATAACAAAAAGAAAAAATTGAAATAATTATTTTTAATTTTATTTCACGAATAATTTTTTTTTTAAATTAATTTCTAATAATTTTACATATAAGATTAAAATATGAAAAACAACAAAGAGGACAAATAGCAGCATGAGGCAATATTTTAAATACTATTACTGATTTAATTATGCTGTTATTTATTATTTATGGAAAAAATTCTTTTTGAGAGCTTAAGAAGATAAACAATTTATTTTTCGACATCATAAACCATATAGTGGTTAGAGTTATCTATAGCAGAATGTGGGACAATTTTATTTAGACCTGGTGGCAATAAAGTGAATCCCAAGAACATAAAACCTCTGACTAACACATTTCTTTCGGGATGTTTTTTGGCAAAACAAACAATGATATGTGATACATTTAAATACTCTTCTGCGTATTCCAACATTGCCAAAAATCCTTCCTTTGATCCAACTGGTCTTTGTGCATCAGCCACCTAACAAAAAATTTAAAGTCTAACAAAGTAAGAAACAAATTTCAAATTAACTAAGTGGAAAAATAAATAAAATTATAAATTAATTTTCAAAAAAAAAAAGCTACATTATTAAGGATAGTTAAATTTGAGTATTTATGTTAAGATAACTTAAACTAAATTTTTATTTTATGTAAAATCATTATAGAGGGCCTTAGGTCTGTGGCCATAGTACAATTATATTATTGAATCTAGTTGTATCAATTTCATTTATAAAATTTCTTGCATAAAAACAAAATTTTATCTTAACTGTATACTTAAAAAACTATTTTAGATGTCTGTGCTACTGCTCATCTTTCGTCAATAAAATATATAAATTGCAGTTTAAATTTTAATAATAAACCTTTTATAATATGAACAAATTTATTTTGATTTAGCTAAACTATATGGGTTAATATAAATTGTATTGTTATTATTATAATTATAACAAAACAAAGTTATTTTTTTAATTATATAAAACAAAATTTACAGTTTTATAATATATTATAATTGCTTTTTATCAGAGGAGGAGAAAATCAATAAAGTGTTTTTAATTTAATTTAAATTAATAAGATTGAATTTAATTTTTAAAAATTAACTATAGTTTGTCTTAAAATAATTATTCAGTGTTATGACTACACTAAAAATCATTTCCCGTAAAACCATATGGGTGTGTTAGAGCATAATGGGTTAAAAAGGGTCTTAATTAAGTTAAAATTTGAATTAAATTATACTACTACATTGAAATAAGTTTCAAAAAATAATATAAATGCGATCTAATTAAAGATAATTCTGTATTTTAATATTTAACAATTTTTATTGTTATAAAACTATGAAGGTAATGCATTTTCATATATTAAAAATTGATAATGTATACTAAAATAGCATATCTCTAGTTACATTACTTACTTTCATGACAAACTCTTACCTGTATATAGAGCTTACGACCAGATAATATAGTGTCCCATTGTATATCAACATCGGCAGTGATTTGCATTTTAAATGTAATCCTAACCATGTAATGTTTATTGACGTCTTCCAATAGTTCGTATTCTTGCACTGGTTTTAAATCCAGTACAGAGAGCTCCGATTGAATTTTGTTGCCCATGCCGCTACTGCCCTCTCTGTTGCGTTTGGCTACTATTGCGGCATGGGGGGCATCAGGACCACCACTGAGGCCCAGGGCAAAGAGAGATAGAGTACTGAGATGGCTCGGAATCGGTGAAAGAGTTACCGTTACCGTCACAAACAGATTGCCAATTACGCATTATGGATAATAAATTACTACTACTGTTTTTACTACTTGATATCATCTCCATGATCACGTATTACCTTTAAAACCTCCACAGCGAATAATTAGAACAAAAATTTGATTGAAAACTAGTTGAATATCTCACGAGCGAAGCTTCAAACGCAGTTGAAACGATAGAAACGCAAACAATAGACATACAGAGAATTAAGATAGAAAACTCCTCAGGTTTGGTTTTGATCAATTAGTACGTTAACAGATATTTCTGCAGTACTGACGTCACTAAAATATTTGTCCTAATCACTGTTTTTATTATTTTCCTCGGTAGTCTACGAATTATTATCACATAAAATTTTATCCTCCATGAGTTCTCAAATTATTGTAATATCAATAAAAAACAAGCATACCTTGAAGTAAATTACCACAATCTTTCGACTATTGTACTTCACTTCACTGCGCCTTATATGAACTAGATTATTATGATCAAAAGGTCAACCAATCAGGCATGTTTCTGATAATTTAAAGCATATGTTAGATAACAGCTGTTTTACTATGATAAATTTCGCAACAAGTCATGTAATAGTTTTACAACTTTTAAAGATTTATAGATATAAAATGTATAAAATTAGTAACTAAATAACGGACAAAATTACTACGATATTGAACTCTAATATGGTCACACAAGCAAATTATACATAGGTTATATAATAGGAATTTGTTATCAAAAAGTAAATTCTTAAAACATAGAACAAAATTTGGATAATAAAATTTATTACCGCAACGTCACACAGCCTTCGTACAATTCAAGGCTTTAATTTTCAATGTTAGTTTTAGATCGTATTATAGAATGGTCGAGGTATATAAATTCACCTTACCTATTGTAATATACATATCGTTAACAGGAGTTTGGATGTTAATCATAGAGTAATTATTTTATGATGTTAATACTATTGATACCCGAATGTATTTACCGTTGCTTATGATAACAATACAGCAATATCTCAAACGAAGTATGTTGAATTACATTACTTTAATTTTCTTTGAGGTCATAGTTCAATACTTTTAGTATAAGGTTTTTTTCTCATAATTGTTTTTAGGACATTCGTGTGAGCAATTTACGAATTTAAAAAGGAACACCTATTTTATTTCACGTAAGTCCATTTATATTCTAAACCTTAACCACTATTTATTTTCAAATACTAATATTAAATTTTGCTTCTTAATAAAAAAAAATTTTGAAGTAATTTATCCAATAAATTTATTGAACATAATAAATTATTCAATTACACCGGATAAAAAGTAATGAAATATTTTTTGTGTATACAAGTTTTAGGTGAATTCATACACTAATTACGAATCTAGATGTGTGTGAAGTTAGCAATTCCTATATAGCTTCAGATTTTTTTTCATCTCATCTAATTTTCGAAACAATTACTAATTATTTATTAAGCATTAATTAACATATTAAATCATTATAAAAAATGAAAAAAAATATAAATATATACATATTTTTTTATCTTTTCTAATTTAATTTAATGGTATTAAAATATGTGCAAAATTTAAAGCTTATTCATCTGGTTTAATCGTTTTTATATATCTTATTATATATATATATATATGACAAATCAATATTTTATTTAAAGAGGTAGATTTCACCCAATTATTTATTGATATAATAAAAAAATTATATTATTCTATATTTTTCAGAAAATGCCTAAATTATGTTGCAAAATTGGACCATCCATATTAAATGCAGACTTATCGCAACTTTATATTGAGTCACAACGGTTGATAGATAGCGGAGCAGACTATTTACATTTAGATGTAATGGATGGAATATTTGTACCTAATTTGACATTTGGACATCCTGTTGTTAAATGTTTAAGAAATAAATTGCCTAATGCAATGTTAGAAACTCATATGATGGTTCAAAATCCTATTCAAGTAATTAATTTGTATTTTTTTATCATATATGAATTGATAGTATATTTTATAGATTATTTATTATAATTAAAATGTAATTATGTATTAATCAGTAGTAATATTTTAAAAGTAAATTATGCTGCTAGTGTATTCAGTGGTCCAGTCAATTATAAAATTTAATTAAAAATGTTTGCTGGGACACAATCACTAGTTTTCTTTTCAAATATGTCTATAATTCCAATTCACACATGAATTAAGCTTAAACAATAGTAGAACACAACTGATTATGTCTTTCGTTTTAATATAACATAAAAAGTATGTAATAAACAATTTTAGTAAACTACATGTTTTAACTCAAGTGACTATTTCTTAAAAGTTAATATTAGTACTGATTAACTTTGATTTTATAATCCAAATTCATAGAAATTTGTGTAATTTCATCATATATTTATATATATAAAAAAAACTATCGCTGATTAATATTTTCTAAACATAACTAAATTTCTTTAAATGAGTAATCTATAACTCATAGATTATGGTAGTTTCTATTTATTATTAACAATAAATAACCTTAGTGGATTGCTCCCATGGCTGACGCTCAAGTAAATCAATATACATTCCATACTGAACCATGTGATGATGTCCCTTTAGTATGTCGTAAAATTAAAGAAGCTGGTATGAAAGTAGGTCTTGCAATAAAACCTAATACATCAGTCACTTTGATAGAAGACTTTATAGATATGGCTGATATGGTTTTAGTTATGACTGTTGAACCAGGATTTGGAGGACAAAAGTTTATGAAAGATATGATGCCAAAGGTTAAATGGTTAAGAAATAATTATCCCAATTTAGATATTGAAGTTGATGGGGGTGTTGGTCCTAATACAATTGATTATTGTGCAAAGGTAATAATTAAAGAAAAAATTTTAATACAAGTAAAATAAATTTTTTAATTACATTAATACTGTTTTCATTTATTTTAGGCTGGTGCAAATATGATTGTATCAGGCACAGCTATTATTCAAGCAGAAAATCCGCCTCAAGTGATTAAACTATTAAGAGAATCAGTTAATAAAGAAATTAATTTAAATGCTAGTGTATAATAATGTATACTTGTTATAAATGAAGTGTTCTACTTTCAGAAAAAACAAGAAATTCTATTAATTTTATGATTAAATTTAGTCAGGACATTATAAAAAAATGTATTAATTTTTATTATAAGAACTACAATTTTTTTATAAATACTAAATGACTATATTTAACGAATTGTGTATAGATAACGTAGAAGATTCTGTCCAATAGAATTTCAGAGTACAGGTGACCAAAACCAAATAATTGGGATAAAGATAAGGGGAAAGAGAGAGAAATAATTACCATTGTTTTAACATTAAAGTTAACAAATAAAATGAGATAGTATAAAAATGAGTATTTAATTGATTGTCGTATTATTTCAATAATAACAATTTCAATAATAAAAAATATTAATTGAAAGTCCTATAGAGGCTCAAACTGGTCACAAAAGCTGGCAGATATAGATAATTCTTTATTTGCCTTGCCAATAATTAATTTTTTTACAGTTCATTTTTTTGTTTTACTTTTATTAAGTTATAATAAAAGAAAAAGACTATCTCTGCACCGTCCTCAGATATGTTTTTTTTTTTCATGGAAAATCTATTCAATAATTTTATGCTATTTATTGTTCACCCAATCAGAAACAACTAAAGATGCTGTAAATTTTAAACTATTTGTTTTTGCCAATTTTTTCAAACAGCTTTAAAAAATGAAGAAAAAAAATTGGAAAAATAGGTGCTTGGTAAACTAGACTTGTATCAAATTTTTTAATTTGCTTTTGCTAACTAGATAATTTGATAAAATTGATTTGTTAGATTTTTAAAACAAATTCATTGTGAATAATATTAATAAAATAAATTATTAAACAAATAAAAAAACATTTTTAAAAAATAATTTTATTTAAACAAACATAATTAGGAACCTATATAGGTAATTATTTAAACAAAAACTTTGAATTACTCGCTTTTTTTATTTTTCAAAATACCATCTCGCAATTTGGTAACTTCTTGCTCAACTACATTTTCACATAAAGTACCATCCATGTCAAAGAAATGGGAAACTGATTTGGCAATTTCACGTTCCTTTACGACACCTCCAACTGGATCTTTCCTTGTTAGATTCAAATGATAAACACCTGTATGCTTTTTAATAAAACTGCTTGCTTCCCATACAGCATCTGGATTATAACCACTTTCATCTCTTTCTAATGTCACAGCAAATATACCTTTTTCTTTATATGTTGTATATAATGTTATTATTCCCATTGTCACAAAATATAGAGCAACACAAACAGTAAGAACATAACGTGATTTAGGGAATGGGTTGAAGTAATCCCATACAAGTGCATAACCAGCAACCAAAACAGCAAAAGTACATATTAACAAACGACAATCAATAAGAGAAAAATTTTCAACGTGGTTATACTTCGTAATAAAAACTTCTTTGACAGCATCATCCAAAGTATTTTTCAAAGCTAGGTAATCCCATTTGTTTATTGTAATGGGTTTATTTTCACTAGTATTTGAATCGTTTTTAGCCATGTTTTATAATAAATAAAGTTATCGAAAAATGAACTGCTCGAAACCGCGTTTTCAAATTGACTACGTCAGGAAAAAATTGTATTTTTCAAAAATTACACGTCTTCTTAAAAACCAATAACCGACTACCAATTTGATGATTCGCCAAACATAATAAACTATGATACCGTTATCAACATAAATAATAAACAGTGTAGGTGTTGTAATAAAAAATACAATATCAATATAATGTAAAATAAAGGAAATTAATTTTCATAGAATAGATAAAATCTTACATATTCTGTAGTATTTCTTGTTTTAAATTCAGTCATTAAATAATAGATAGTAAATAGAAAGAAATTTCGTCCAAGATTTCTCAGTGAGAATGAAAGGAAACTATTGTTAATAAAATGGGGATTTTCCTAAAATTTTTTGTTTGTCAAATATTTAGTTTAAAAAAAATAAATTTATTCCATTGCCCGAAATACCAGCTATTTAAGTTTTTATCAGGAATTGAACAATAGTTAGTACCACTTAATATGACAAATTATACTATCCTCAGTCTGAAGGTATTTTCTAAAACCCTAATGTTATCGGTAATTACAATTTTACAAATAAATTTATTTACAAATAAATAAACCTGATTCTGTGTGTGATTTGTATATATATTTATATATAAATACAAATGATTTTTCAAAATTTTTCGAGGAAGGGGGAGATAGGCTAATTTTTATATTAGTAGCAAGTCCCACTACCTTATGCATAGTATAAAGTATTTGCATACTTGAGTTACGAATACTTTTTTTTAATTATATCAACTCTAACAATTATTTTTACTCTATTTATTAAATAAAATACATTACTCAGCCTACAAAATTTTAATTATTCACATTTTGCATTATAAAATTAATTTATTATGGAAAATATTCCTAAACATGTTACAAGCACAAGGAATACTTGAAAAATGTATTATACATTAAAATGTTGGTATTTAAAATGAACGTACATTCCTCAAAATTTTTGAGTATTGAAAATTATATAAATTGCATGATTTGGATTTATTAATAATGTTTTTAGGTTAGATAAAGGCTTAAAAAAGTATTTTCAGAGTATTCTGCATAAGTGTGATATTTTGTTAATCCGTTAGGGGACAGCAGAGTAGGAAAAATTTTTGAGATCTGCGGATCGAATATACCATCACTCTATTAGGGTACAAATGAATTAAGAATACGTATGAAATTTAAATGCACCAAAAATTAAAATGCTGTAAGTGACTAATGAACTGGGTATTACTAATGGTTGTTTCTTTATGACAAAGGTACAAGTCACAGTTCGTTTGTTTTTAGGAGCCATAAAAAAAGCATTGCATAGATAGTAGCAAATTAAAATACTTTTTATCGAATAGATCTTATTCCCAATGGTGAAATAAACCCCTGCAACGACTGTATATCCAAAATGAATCATTTTTAGGATATGAAAAACTTGTATTACACAAGTGCATTAGGAATTGGAGTTCTCTTCCAATTTTAGTCGTCAATTTCTTAACACGAATTTAGTGGAATATAGAATCTCAAAATAAGTTTAATTTATAAATTCTTATAAAAAGTGCAACTTTATCATATACACAGGGTTTAGTGTAAACTTTTAAAGGGGTAAAGTTTTAATGTTACCAACTTTAAAAATATTTAATATATTAAAATATATTTAAATATATTTCTTACATTTTAAATAATTTTGTTTATAATAATATAATATTACTTACAACTTTTACATGAAAATAACCATGAACATAAAAAGTACACGTTATTTAATATCATATTAGAGCGATTAGCAGATTTTAATAATACAAGTTTCTTAATAAACACAAAATATAATTAAGCAATAAGTCACCGTAAAAATTTTTGGTAACCTTTCTATTATTCTATTGGTATTTTTGTGAAGATTAAAATATTATTAAAACCAATAATCCACTAGTCTCGGATGAAAATCTGCGTGCAAATATTTTCTGGATGGCTTGAATTCGATCCAATCCAATAGGAAAATTTAAAAAGCCGAACACAATTCAATCTTCTGATTGGGCTACAATTTTATAAAAAATATATACCAGTGTCACTACCAGAAAAAATTTTCAAGGGAAATTATTTTAAATAATTTAAATAATCTTCTTTTACTTAAAAATCAACTAAAATTAAAGCGGGGTGTATTTAGAACTACTTTTCAGGGGAATATTTCCTAAGTTTTACATTGAGATATTACTAATATTTATGTGCTTTAATTAATTAAAAATTACTTATTTATTAATCACTAAATACAAAAAACTTGACATGACATACTTTTTAAAGAATAACCCGTCATCATAATATTAAATATTACTAAACGATCAACTATGTCTCACAACATATTGTTTATCATTTTTTTTATGGGTAATAATTTATGTTATGATTTTATAAATAACATAATAGCTTGATACCTAATGACATAGAATATTTTGTCGTATATTTATAAAACATCTTTAATTGTTATCGTGTAAAGAATTCATTGGCCCAAATTAAAGCTTGCGTCAAGTTTACCTCTCGTTTTAAAAGGCCTAGAAAATTAAGCTCATTAGCTAAAAAAAGGATTCTATTTTACCATATAAAAGTACTAATAGCCCAACGGAATTATTTTGAACCAAGCATTCATGTTTTCAAGTTTCGGCAATGATCAACTAAACTTCCCTAAAAAAATAGGTAGGGTAAAGAAATATCTCTAAAATTTTATATTACCATTCTTAAATGCATTATTAATGTGTATTCTTTGAACACAAAAGTAGACTATTATCATTTTTTAATGATTTTTTATAATTATTATTTATTATAGATGAATATTAATGTATTATAGAATACAACTAACAATATAAAGTTAAAAAATAAAATATGACACCGAAAATTTTACAAAAACTTCATATTTTTATTTACACATATAAAATAAGTCGTAGGAACAAATCTTTTTTTTTTTAATTTATACAACATTACATAAACTTTATTTTAATATTTGTTTGAAGCTCGGACTGTTTCCAGAACATTTTTATTAGTTGAGTTGAAAATGGTTAATTTTTGTGTAAAAGTTGTTATTTTGAATTACCCCTCTCTATGGACAGGCAAAAGGCCAGATTAAAAAAAATATTTTTGTTTCATTTTTCAAAAATACATTTTTGAAAAATAAACGGAAGAAAAATCGAAATTTACCGATTTTTAAAGTCATAATTTTTTGGCGATTTCTCCCATTTACAGGAAACAAGTGATTTTTTTCAACTAGACACGATTTGTGTATCTTTTAACATATCGCTGAAAGAAATTTGTCCAGTGAGAGATGAGAAAAAATGACGACATAAACAATAAAAATACGCATAATAGTAAAATACATACTATCTCAGCTTCCCATCGAAACTAAAAAACAGCTTTAAACAATAGGTTTCTATAGTTTATTTATAAATAGTCAAAACCCTTTGACTTAGCGATAATAATTAATTTCTAAAGAAAAAAAAATCGTATAAGAAGTTAATGAGAAAAAAAATAAAGGTCATCGAAAGACTCTTAAGTTAAAATATCGAAAGAAATTTCTTATCCGGTGTTGATTGTACTGGGTCCTCACGATTTTAGTATATTCAAAAATAATAAAAGAATCAAATGACTCATTAAATATTATTTGTATTTAGCTTCATTTCATTCATTTTAATTTTGATACGAAGCTGATAAAGTTTTTTTTATGTGTATATATAAGTAATTGATTTATTGTTGACCACTGTTTTTTTTTAAATAATAATATTTTCGAGAATTTTTTTTGATTATTTAAGTAACATTTATTTCTCGATTTTTGAGTGGTTAAATTTTTTGTAGAACTATCCCTTATTCCTTATAAGGGTACCAACTTTAAAATTTTAATGATAACATACAGTTACTAGTTTAAATATTAGAAATGATCAAACTAAGAAAATAGCTGGACGATAACAACTTTTTGAACTAGTATTTCGTAAGTTATTAACATTTTTATATTCAAGAGGAAGAATGAAGCCCAAAATTTTCTAGTAAAAAAAATACTAGCACCCGCTCTTTACTTCCAATAATTTCTTTAAATTTTTGAATTACTGGTCCAAAAGCTATTATCGACGAATCAATCATTTTCTTAGTTAAATTATCTTAAATATACAAAATGGTAAAATATGTATGTTGCCATAAAAAAATAAAGTTTGTACCCTTATATGGAATTAGGGATGAACCTAAACAAAAATTTACTGGTCATAAATCGTACTATCTTAAGCCAAAAAAAAAAAAATTCTCAATGTTATTACTATTTTAGAAGAAATTTAGCGGTCAACAATAAATTAATTATTCCGTACATATTCTTTTTATTTCCATCGTCTCTAATGTTTAGCTTTATACTAGTAAGCCAAAATAATCTGAGTAATATGAAATTTAATTAATTATATCGAAATATCGAAAACTCTTTTTTAGATTACATCTTGGTCTAGATATATTTTTTTTTTGTATTGTCCAAGAATTACCCCAGGCTTGTAAAACAAGACACAAACTAAGTAATTAAGATTCTATTAATTGTTTGTTTATCAAATTAATCCGTAAGAAGAGTACACAGTTCCATAGATAATTCTAGTTGAAGACATTGCCTCTAAAAATTGAAAAAATTTCCCTTGTATCCCATCGTACATAGAGGAAATCCCTCAAAAAATTACAATTTTTAAATCGATAAAATTTGACATTTTTTTAATTTTCTTTTGCTTAAAACTGTCATAATTTTTTGAAAAATGATCGTACCAAAATATTTTTTGTATATAGAAACTTTAGGTATTTCCCTTTCATTTTATATCAAATTTTGAAAATCTGACCCTTTACTTGCCTACATAGGGATAAACAAAATGGAAACTTATTCACAAAATTCAATGTTTTCAACTTTACTTTTGATAATGTTCCGAAAATACAGCGTTCTTTAACATATGTTAAATTTAGGCTTATGTTATATATTAAAAAAATTTGACCCGACGACCTATCTTCTATGCGCAAATAGTAGTCCGATTTATATTAGAAATATTTGCTAGTTCTAAATAGATCTCGCAAATCTTCTAGATATCTATGATGCTTTTCATTCGATATCTAAATTACACAAGGGACAGGGATGTTGACCAAAATACAAAAGATATTACGTTTTATCTGAGAGTATAAGAACACACAAGATTATTACTAAGTATATGTACATTTTTAAAATCTAAAATTAATAAACGCTGTATTGCCCCCAAAACAGTAATGTCTTATAAAATAACTATTATAAATTTTACATCATAATATTATAGTTACAAAGTTAAATAATGATCACGAAGCGGATATATGTGTATTTCTAAATTTTGTTAAGTTACACACCAACAGCCAATAAAATTTTTTAATAATTTCAGAACTTAATATATTGCTATCGAGGTTACAGTATTGGGCGGAATTAAGGATTTTAATAAAATATTCGATATTTCTAGGCTACTATATAATCCTATGACAAAGTTGCACAGACTTGGAACTCTTCAAAGTTGCTTAAACATAATTTATAAATGCATATAATTCGTATAATTATAATTAATTATGCGTCTTAATAATAATTATAGAATCACGTTAAACATTGTGTTTTTACATCTTTAAAAAGCTGAACTAAAAGAAAGATTAATATCAAAATTAAATAATTAAATTACGGTTGATAATACTACAGAAAAATCTTTCTATTAGCTAAAATTATAAAAAAACGTTGAAAATGTTGAATTTTTGAATAAGATAACCTTCTGGAGGTAAAGATTGATAGTGACAATAAAAAGTATAATAAAGCCCACTGAAAATTGGCAACACTGCTGTATGTCTTTAGGATATACCCCTCTACAATCTATGTCAAGCAAAGTAAGTACGTTTCCTCACGTACAGTGTGGCGCGATTGAGTTCAAATTATATTTCATTTGTCCAACAGTCGACTATTCTAACGCAGTTTGGAGCTGGTACTTTACGTGCCAATCAACAGCCTTGCTCCTCCACCCCTCGTCACACGTCTTTCTCTGCCGCTTCCAAGTTGGTGGTCGTTACCGACCATATAGTAAATACATTATTAGCGTCGAGGTATCTATTAAAACTATGTGCAAATAAACAAAGTTTTTCTAACTACATTGATTTTGTCCAAGCAGACTCGCAGGTAATGTGAAATTAATTTATGTTGCATGTTAAATGACTGTTAATTATGATTTAGTTAATTATTTGAGTTTTTGTTAGAAAAAAAAACAAATCAATTTCTAAACTTTCGTCATTGTTTCGAAAATGAGCGTCATAGCGCGGGAGGCTATATCCGGTGATGGATTCCGTTTATATATTCATCAGGCCTATAAATGATTTTATTTATATAATTATCTTCAATTTTAAATTATTATAATGTAATATTAGTATTTATGATTATATTATTTTAGCTTCAATGCGAAACAGAAGGTATTGGTTTTTGTTATTTTCTTAGCTGATACAAATTTGTATTGTTTGTTATTGTTGTGAATAGTTTTAATCCATTTATCACTTTATTTTCAAATACTTTTAGTATTTGAAAATAATAATAATAATAAATTTTACCTTAAAATAATTGTAATTGTTTCATTGATACTGTTAATTAAATAAAAAGCTTTCATTACAAATATTTGTTGAATAATTATGGGCTTATAACAAGTTTTGTATTAGTATTATATGCGAATAGATTAATAGAATTCCTTGACACATAATACTAAGTGTCTGTCATTACCCATTTTAATATTAACAATTGTGTGTAGCTTGTATATATCATAAAAGTTAATTTAATTTTTTTTTTAATTGACTGCTTAAAAATCCATGACTTTAAATTTAAAAAAGTAACGTTGAAAATATTTATTTATTGATAACTGTATATTTCTCTTTCATGAAGATTATTGTGAGTTATCTTATTCTGTTATTTTATTAGGGTTAAATATTTAAATTATTGCAATATAACATAAATTAAATTTCTGTAAAAGAAAAAAAAATATTTTTATGTTAATTGAAAATAATTTTTTTTATTGAGTTAAATCCAACTAACTAATAAAGTTGTGTTTAGATTTTAGTTATATGTATAGTGTGTATTATTTCAATAATTTATATAACTTAATTAATTTATACTGAATATGTTTAATTGATATACTTATTTATAGAATTGTTAATGCACTTATGAACAAATCTAGTGAAAACTATATCAAATATGCTCTACATTTGTAATTATTAAAGAATAAACATTCCTCATTGTTGTTAAGGTAATATCTTAAATATAAAAATCTATTAAAAAATGTTATTGAATATTGTTGTAAATAATGTGGTATAATATAGATACTGTAAAAAAATTACACGAATAGTATCAGTATTCATTCTATAATATTTTATCAATATTCAGTTTTTGGATATATAAACTGTTCAGTAATTGAAGAAACGAATTTCTATTGTTCTCGTTGTTTATAACAATGGATGTGTTTCTATACTTACTGGACATACTATATAGTAATAATGAATAAAATATAAATTTTAGTATAAGGAACATATTTCATAAACTTGGTAAATTTGTCTTGAATGTTAGTGGTATAAATAAGAGTTATGAAAAAAATTTTTGCAGATTAAATAAAGAAGATTTGTACAGTTACTGCATAAAAATTTGCTTTGAAGTTATAAAATGGTAGCAACTAGACAACAATGTAGTGGAAGTTCTAGTTCTGGTACAAATAGTAAGCTAACTGTATTACCTAAACCAGAAAAAAATATTTTGGTTGGTAATGTGATTACTTGTGCACCTTACAACTCAAATCAATCAAGTCAAGTGAATTTATTAGATCTACCCTATGAAGTGCTTGAAAAAATATTGTCTTATACATCTTTTAAACAAATATCTCAACTTAGAGCAGTTAGTTTTTTTGATTCAATCTTTTTATCATTATATTTTCTATATTAAATTTTATTTTAGGTATCTCGTCAACTCAATGTAATATGTAGTACCATACTAAATTCAACTTTTCAGCGGTTACAAAATCAAATGTTACATCGATTTCAAATTATTAAAGCTAAAATGCCACGGCGTGAATCTGCTAGACGACAACATCCTTTAGCTTGTGAATCTGATATTGTTGAAACTCTTCACATGAGATTACTATTATTGCGTATGGCATTTGGAAAACATATTGAAAGAAAACATATATGTTTTTTTGCAGGAGAGGTAATGTTTAGAAATAAATTTAAGTTACTATTTTTAAATTATTATTAACTATTAGATATTGGATGAAGTCTATAAAATTTTACATTATATCAAAGTAACTAAAAGTTTAGCAAGACCATATAAAGTAACTGATGAGTTATTTGATTTGTCTACTATGGCTATGGAATATTTTCGGGAAAGGATTGAACCTACTCTTCCTGAAATCAGACTTTTTGCAAATGATTATCATGAGTTCCCATCCCCTCTAGGTAACTTCTTATCTATTTATAAATTAAAAACACTCAATATGTTATTTTCATGAAAATTGTATGTTACAGGACCTTCCAATAATAGAACTTTTACAAGTATGTGTCTTAGGAAACGTAGCTTAATGATAAGAGAAGGATCAGTTTCAAGTCTTGAAAGTAAACGAGCCTCATCTGAAAGTCCTCAGTGTGGTGGGTCAATGCTAAGAAAAAATGTTTGTAAAATTAAACAAGGAATTAAAACGTAAGTATCAATTTAAAGATTTAAAATATAAGAAGTTGTTAAATTGAACTTTTTACATGATATTTTTTGTATTTATTGTGAAAAAAACTCCTAAGCAATTTATTTGTAGGTAAACAGAAGTATAATTTTTGACAATGCATTTTTATAAATTTGTCATTTTTGATTAAATATTCTGTTAGTAATTCACAGAAATTAAATATATCATAGTACTTTTTCAGATAAAATTGATTAATAAATTAACTGTAAGTCATCGTAAAAGTAAAGTAGCCTTCTAATCTTTCTTTCTGGATATACCTTGTATTTTCTCATTAATAATGACTATAAAGGTTTTTTAAAATAATAATCAAAATTCTAATTTTTCATGCTTCTTATATATTAATTACTCTGTAAAATAAGATTTAATCTGATATATCCAAATTGTACTGTATGTTATAATGATACATTTTTTACTTGATCTAATAACCTTCAATTATTTTTTATTACTAGCTCGCAAAACTGTCATTTAGAAAGAGACTTTTTTGATTTACGAAAGCAACTACGCAAGTAAGTCTTACAATTATTGTAAAAAAAAAATGTTTATTTATAAAAATTATTATAAAATTTTACTAAGATCTACAACTCATGTTGGTAATTTACAACGGGAATTAAAACAGTGTAAATCACAAATAGCTGATCAACACAAAACATTGATTGAATATTCAAATAGAATGGATGAATATGACAAGAAAAATGAAGAAACTAATAGGAAATTTAGTACATTGTTGCAAGTAAGAATTTTTACATTTTCATTAGCTTAAAGCTAACTAGACAAAATGTATTTTTCATTATATACTTATAATTTAAAAGGTGGTGGAACATAATATAAGTATAAGTAATAAAATCATAAATCAGTACTTGTTAACTATGACACTGGTATTTCTGTAAAAGTTATATAATATTTATTCTTCCAATTATCAACATTTGATTTGTAACTAGTCCACTTTAGTTGAACTGGTATAAATACTATTTACCTGTAGTTCTAAATCTAATTTTAATATAAAAAACTCAATTTTAACAATTAAAGTATTGATCTAATTCAAAATTACCATTTTATAGTTTAATAATTGAGGGTTATTTCGCATCAGACAAATTTCAAAAATATTCTGAAAGTTAGGGAAAGTCAGTGAACCTGTGATTTTATTTTCTATATTCTATACAGCTTTCATCAATATATCAAAATGTTATTTTATTAAAATTTGTAGAATGCTTAGACATTTAAGTTTTATAATACATCTAAGGTATTACCAGAATGGTAGACAAAAGAGTTATAACATTTTATTGAATTAAACAATATATTTAAACATATTTTAATTTATTTTATTTTATTAATATAATTTTGTAGTGTACTTACTAGTATTATAGCTTACAATTTAGTCTAATATTTTATAAAAGACTGTGAAAAAATTTTTTAACATACATAATTAAGCAAATTTAGAATAGGTTTATAGTAGCAGTCATAATATAATTTTTACAGTGGGATTATCACTATTTATTTTTTGGTAAAATTTTTGTCTTGTGAAATCTTAATATACTCATTGAAGAATTAATTACCCTTTAAATTTAGTTGGATTTTATTAATTACCAGTAGGCAAGTTTAATAACGATTCTGTTATTTTATTTGGAAATATGGGGTGTTGTATGACAGTAGATTATTCAGTTGTGGCCTTAGTTCTGATGTTCAGCTGCTTTGTTTTCTGTTGGTTTCCGGAAGGGTGACTATACATGAACTTCAACAATGACACACCTTATGCTTTTACTGGTTCTACAATTATAAAGATCAACAGCTGGTTTAAAAATTTTGTCAAATTATTGTAAAATAGAGCCAACCTAAAATTGTTGAGATAGAGGCTAAGGAAATGATAATGATGATTTTATTTGGAAAAATGAGTTAGTTTCACAATTAAAAATGTGCAATAACCCTGTAATTGTAGTAGTGTCAAAATTAATGTATATTAGTTATATGTTCTTTATTGTGTATGTCAGGTGATATCAATATTACATATTTTATTTTTATATTTTTAACTAAAAATGGTATATTTTATTTACTCTTACAATTATTCTATTATGTATGCTTTAAAAAGAAATTATGAACTAACTATTAAATATGATATTTTACAGGAACTTAATAAATGTAAAACTGAAATACAATATTTACAATCTGCATCATCTTCATCTACATTGTCAGTATGTTCATCATGTAATAATACATCAAGTAATTTATCATTAGCTATGGGTCCACCAATATTGAATTCTACTGTTAACTCAGTGCGAACAAGATTGCATAACCAAGGCGAACAATCATATCAAGATACAGTTGAAGAGCCATTATTACAAGTTGAACCATCATCTGTTGAGGAATCAAAGAGTGCTGACGAACAAGAACCATCAACTAGTACTGGTTTGAAACGAAAAATGGAAGTTTCTGTACCCAAAGTTACTAAACGTGTTAGGACAATAGTAAAAAAAGTACGAAATACAAATAGTATAAGCTAAACATCAACTTAATTGAATAATGTTTAATAAATTTTGTTAAACCGAAACAATCTTTTACATTCATAGACGTAATGAAATGTCCAGTTAATATTTAATAATTAACAATTCAATTTATAATCAAAAATCAGTAAAATAAATTAAATATTTTCTTATTTCTTAAAAAATTACATGAAATCATCAATAAAGAGTTTTCAGTATCATTATTAGTATATTCAATTATTTTACTAATAATTATGTTATGTTTGCTTAGATTTGTTTCGATAAACCTTTTTATTCTTGCAACTTTAATTTAATTAAAATAAAAAATTACTTATATTTTCGCTTGAATAGTGTGCATTTTAAACTAAATTTTGAGACGTAACATACATTTTGATTATTAGCAAATTGTTAAAATATTTATTTTCTAGTTCTCAATATTATGTCGAGTGTTATATATTGATACTATTACAAGTATTTTACAAATTTTTATCTATTTAGTAATTATTCATAAAATAGTATAACTTAATTCATATATTTTTAATTCATTTTTATCAATTTAGACACAAATTGTAAGTGAGAATATATTTAAATATATATGTACATGTGTTCAATTTCTTGCGAGATAACCAAAATTTATAACTATTTTAAATAATGCATGTACATATATATTTATATATATCCTTATTGGATCGTTTTATTATTTTTATTATGAATAGATGAATGTTCGAACATAATGAAACAATGGCAATATATATTTATATATATATATATATGATTTTATTAATTATCTTGTAATGTTTTAAGACTGTCAATTTTTTTTTTAATAATTAATATAATTAAAGTATTTGAATTCATGATAATTATGTTCTTTTCATAAATACTATTTTATAGATTAACTGGTTGAATTATGCATTGTATTTCAAAAAATTATTTGTTTTACAAATTTCAACTTTGAATCTTCTTGATCTTGTCTTGCAATGATATTAGTTATACTAAGAAAAATAATGTTAATATCAGTTGTTCAATCAGAACAATTTCATCATTATTATTATATACTGTGGAGACAAAATTAAGTTATTTTAAATAACTCAGAAATTTTATATTTGTGGCAATAGTAATAAATGGCAGTATATTAATCATTTATTGGTGTTTAATTATTTAACTACATAATATTCATATGACAGTAAAAATAACTTAACTGATTTCTTCTTGTAACTGAAATGTATAGTGTTGTTACAATTATTTTTGAATTTTCTATAAATTATAAAATTAAGAGTAGTTTTTTATAATGGGATTTTAAAGATGAGTCGGACTTTTTCGAAGAACTTATTTGTACACCTTTGATAACATAGCATAAATTTTTGTTTAACATTTAACTGTAAGTTGTTTATCTTGTCTACTTTTTGACAAGAAAAACCTATAATTTAATACTGACGGATTATTATGTTATGTACAACATTAGTTTCAAGATGCAACATAAATATTCAACAAGAATCTTCATGTAATATTGTTTTTAACAATGGTTAAATAAAAAAATTCCAAATATATATAATAAATGTTTTTGTGCTATTTACTTAATTAATTTGAACTCTACAACTTCTAAAACATAAGGTACAACTTTATTTATAATTTAGTTTTTTAACTTCTAAATGAAAATCTATTATATTCTAATAGATATTAATCTTGGTGTGTTAAAATTGATTTCTTTGCACTATGTGGTGTGTCTATATAGTATTAGCTGGGGCGTCTTAGTCAAATCTGATAAAACTAGTAAAAATGTTGTAATGTTATTTATAATTTATGTTCTTGTGTTTATGCATATTCTTTTTCTTTTTTAATAAGCGAGTATCTAAGGGTTATTAGCAATGGGATAACCAGTAATGCTTTCAAAAGAAAGCTGAAAATTTTTGTTTGATTTAACATTTAAATTTTGTTCAACAAAATTTTAGGGACATCAAATACAAATTGCTCTTAAGCCCTGAAACCCTTAATACGCCACTGCTGGAGAATAAAAAACATAGAGAGACATTTAAAGAGTTAATCACCTAAATTAAACATTTATTAAAATTGTTAGTTCAAAAATATGTTAGCCCTCTTAAAATTTTTACCAAATATAAAATGATGAAACAAAATCCTTTACAAGTTTTTAATAAAAACAAATTTATTACATATTATGTTAATATAATATACATTATTTTTAAATATTTTCTTTACTTGAATTATTTAACTGATGCTCTATCTCTTTATGCTCATTAGGTGTATCATTAACAAACAAATCTTTCACAGTTACTAACCTATTTAAAGTATTCTGAAAATTAAAACTTGCTTGTTTGTTAAGTTGTTTATATGTTTCACAAGTTCTGAAAAGATCAAATAATTTAAATGTTTTTTGATTAATAATATGAGAATCAATTGTCCATGCAGCATTCCTTAGCTCAATTCTAAACCTTTCCGTTTCTTCTAAACTAACATTTTTACTAACATTAAAATTAACTTCAAGGGGGTTAACAATATACATAGCATTATATTCGGGTTTAGGTATTGTAGTGCCATAGTTTAGAGACATAGCATTTGTATTGAAGTCATAAGACGCATAATATTCAAAAAATCCTTGTAAAAGTTGTTCCAATGTTTTTTTATTTGAAGGTTCATGACTGAGTTTTGTTATATCTCTAAGGAAAGTACAATTTACGCCATCATCTGTAATTTGCACATCATTGCTACCTGCTAATTTAGCTAAATGCTGAATTGAAGGAATAATTTTTTCTTGTTGCAGATAAAACAATACTAATAATGTTAAAGAAAAATTTGTTATCCATCTACCTGGAATATCATTTGTAATATTTACTTCCTGAGCCCAAATTTTAATTGTAAAAACTAAAGGCCTTACTCTAGGATCAAAATTTCCCAAAATGTAAAGTAATTCTGACATATATAATGCAGTCTCATTGGAAACAGATAAATCACATTCTACACCAATAAAATCTTGTGAAAATTTTACAATTGGTACTTTAGCTTGAGAAATACGTTTAACTTTAGAGCATCCTGGTAAAAACAATTGTAATAAATCTCCTAATAGTTCAATATGTCTCTGTGTTTGTGTTCTACTGTTATTGGACATATATTTACCATGAAATATCAAACGACTATTTTTTTTCTCTTTTAATTTACTGTTCATTATGACTAAATCAATATCTGAACCAATCTTTCCAAAACTATTGACTGATGACCCAAAAGGTAGAACTTTTGTCAGAGGAAATATTCCTTTAAGTGCATTTTCAATTTGCATTGCTGTTAAAAATCTTAATCTAGTACCAATATCATTTAACTGAATATTATGAAGCAATTGTATCATTTGGTTAGACAAAGATTTATCTGTATCTAGCTTGATTGACTTTATAGTTGGTTCAATCATAGTTTCATAAGTTTGGAAAGAACAGCCAATCCCTTTATTCATTATTATATTAGGTTTTTTATTTGTATTAGAACGAAACCATAGAAAAGGAGACTTAACAGCAATCACATTTGTATCTTCAATATGAGCACTTTGATTGAGTAATAAATCAACAGAATTTTGGTCTTTAAATTCAGTAAGTACAAAATGATTAGTACCACTTAATTGATAATGGAACATTTCTTTAACTGAACCAAACTCTGAACAATAAGAATATAAATCTGAACACGAGTTTTCTGAACACACCTGAACTAAGATACTTCGTTTGGATTGTTTCCGACGAAAGTGCATTAAATCATTATATACAATAAATTTTTTGCTGTAGATGATATCAGATTTATACCTAGAGACTTTATGACCAACCACAAATTTAATATTTTTATTGTAAACATATTTTAAAAAATATACAGTATTCATTATTTTTTTAAAGAATATTTTATACTTCACTATACATATTTAAAAACAATCCTTTGATTTTAGTTGATAACAGTTATCATAATCCGATACTAACATGTGATAAACTTCTCAATTACTGGTAAATATATACTTATTGAAAAAAAATTTCCGCTTTTATTAGTGATATACATATATTTATTTATTAGTTACATACATTTCATGATTTATTGGCTATAAATTACTTTTTAATATCAACCTTTATAGCTTATTGAGGTATAAACTTTATTTTTTTAAATAACTATTCCAATTTAACTAGCTTATAAAATAGAAAATGATCTAATTAAAAATAATTACGGGTTAATAATTTCTTTTGAACTAATCAATCAGAAATAAAATATAGGCTGGAGAGAGACACGGATATAACTATCTATATCTTTGTTAGGGTGCGGAATTATATACATTTAAATTTTTGTTTTAGTCAATTGAAGAATCATGAGTTTATGCAACTTTGTGATAGAATTATATAGTAGCACAAAAATATTTTTGATTTGGGGAGGGTCATAAAACCTCGAAAACAATATATTACTAAATTTTAAAGTCAAATAATAAAAATGTATACTAGCTGATAATTAAGAAACTTAATATAATTTTGGTACATAATTTTACTTGGTATAGTGTATCATGACGATAAAAAAATACACTTAGTGACTGAATTTTTTGTAGTGATCTTAGGCAAAGTTTAGAAAAAATATTCGAGTGAAGGATTTTATTTTTAAAGAGACTCCGTGTATAGCTTATGTGCCCTAATTTAGTTACAGATAGCATGAAAACTACTAATTACTATTCGTATAGTCTATCCTAATAGCTAAAAGTCACTGATAATGTTTTTGTCCTCACGTGCCTAAAATACAAGAAAATGGCGAATTTATAGAAAATTGCATTGGGGTGTACTTAGAGAGCAACACCCGTTGCTCCCTCTAATACCTATTCATATAATACAAAATAATGTATGCCAATTACGTCTAAGTCCCTACGTGTTTGTGAGCATAACTTAACTTCAGCACCCCAACATTATTGCCTTAGTTGCGTCCATGACCTACAGTCTTGTAAAATTAAATAATTATATATATTTTAATTATAATTTATAATATAGATATATTTAACTTTTTTATTATTTGATATAATTTTTTTTAACAACTATATATCATAAAAACATATCGTATAAAAATTTGAAAACAATTTTTGATTTTTTTAACAATAGTACTTTTGGCCGCCTAATTTTGATTTTTAAACCATTATGTGACAATAGCTTGTAAAAACACTTGCGCCATTACATCCGAGAGTTTAATTTATATACCTGTAAGTCAGTTTTTAATCAGCTAATTTTTATTTTTTTTTTAAGTAAAAATTGACTAATGATAATTGTAAACAATTTCTATGTCTTTCTTTTTTTAGGAAATATTAAGACTTATTTCGTTATTTGGAAAGCGCATGTGATATTTAAAAATATTTTTAAAGAAACAACACAGAATATATTTTTATATAGTCTGTGGAAACACTGTAAAATTGATAAGAATCAATTTACTTGTCTAGGCGGTTACGACTAGTTTTTGGTTTGTGACTCATACAAAACGTATTAGATTATTTTTATCAATTCTTTTAGTTTTTGCATAGTTTTTAACGACGTTAAACAATAAAATTATCAATTATTAAATTATAATAATTAACAATTAGTGAATAATTATTTAACTTAAAATGTCAACTAATACGTATTTACTATCAGTTCCTGTGAAACGTGCATCAGATGTAAATATAGTTAAACCGTTGAAAAATCTTATTTCTTCACATTATAATTCATCTGATAATCCTGAAGATTACACGGAAGCTATTAATGAATTAAGTAAGCTCCGTAATCAAGCTTTGTGGAAAGTCTTGGATAAATATGATAATTCATTGGAACTGATTTACAGGTATTTTTATTGACTTAATTATATTATATAAAGCCAAAAAAAGTTTTTAATTTAATGTTTAAACACTAATCTCAAGCATGAATCGCAGTAATATCGTCTGAATACCCTAGGAATATTTTTTTAAATCCTTATCTAACCAGAAAAAATGATAAATGAATCTCAATCATGTCATTTATGAAGTTTCGATACTTAAAGACTGAGAGGTATACATTTATTCTAAACACCAACATTTAGTTATAAAAATGAATTTTTCAAATATAAGTATTTGATGTTTTTGTAATTTATTACATAATTAGAAATACTAAAAAAAAAAAAAAAAAATGAATTTTACAATAAAAAAATATGACTATTTAAAATTTTCAAGTATCAATTTTAATTATTTTTGGTTGAATAATATATTTTATTTGATAAATAAAAAAAAATTATTTGTACATTTGAAATAATGGTTAAAAAAGTAATTTTAGAGGTATTGTAGTTTTGAACGTAGTAAGTGTCTATGTACTATAAGTAGGATGTGTTGAAATAGATAAGAAAATGTTTTGTAGAAAGATATGCAAGGAATAGCTAGTAATCAGAATGCAGTGATATGTGGAGATATGAATGGACATGAGAGGAGAGAATGTAAAAGAGTACACCAAGGTTCTGCTTTATGCACTTACTTATTCTCTATAGTGATGGATGAAATTACTAAATAAATACAAGGAGAGGTGCCGTGGTGCATGTTGTTTGCTGACGATATAGTGTTAATAGGAGAAAATAGGGAGGAAATTAATCAAAAGCTAGAGGTGTGAAGATCTGCTTTAAAAAAATAGGGTTTAAATATAATTAGAAATAAGATAGAGTATATAGAGTACGAGTTTGATATAGAAGAACATGAGGTAGATGAAATGAGGAGATCAGTGGCAATAGGTGAAGACGTAATTGGAAAGGTGAAAAGTTTTAAGTATTTAGGATCAGTTGTGCAAAAGAAAGGTGGTATTGACATAGATGCAAGACACGGGATTAAGTGTGGGTGGGTGAAATGGAGAGAAGCATCTGGTGTTTTATGAGATAAGAAAATTCCAATTAGGCTGAAAAATAAGTTCTTTAAGACTGAAGAAAGAAGAGATAGAGGAAGACCAAAAAAGAGATAAAGGAATGTTATTGAATGCAATATGAAGACGGCTGATATGGGAGATTATGTGAAGTGGAAGTTTAGGATAAGCGTGGCTGACCCCAAGTAGATGGTATAAAAGGCATGGTATGAAAAAATAGAATCTCAAAAACCATTTTCTGCTGTTTAATTTAACATATTGAGTTTAAGTGAGTGTAACATTACTAGAAAAATTTACAATTTTTTTAATATTCATGGATTTTGGTTGAACATTGAGAAGAAAATTTGTTTTAAAATGAGCCATTTAATCAAGCTATAGAAATTTAACCATTATTTTTTAGTTACTATGATCAAATAACAGCATTGGAAGCTAAAGTGCCTCCTACAGAAGTTCAGATTCCTTTCAAATGGAAAGATGCTTTTAATAAAATGACTTCATTCTTTGCCAATGGAAAAGTTAATCTGAGTATGTCTCTATTTTTTTAAATATTTGTTAGTGATAATTTAAATTTATATTACTTCTTTGTTGTTCCTATTTATATTTAATGAACAAAATTAAAGTTTTAAATCATATTTCATTAAAAAAATGTAAATTTTACCAATGCACTTCACTGATGTTAACCAAGTTTTTAAATTTAATATCCAGATAATTCATATATTCTAATTTAGAGAAAATACTAATATTCAAAAATAATTTTAGTGATTTGGTGTGTTTTTTTCATGAAATATAAGTTTAATACACCTGGATCAATACTGATGCATATAGTTTTATAGTTATTAAAACTGTTTAGTTTTTGAAGTCTTATTGGCAGTAAAAAAACATTTCAGAGTATAGATCATAATTTCTATAAAAAAAATACTATAAGTATTAATTCAATATATATAATTAATTTTATATTTTTCAACTTAAATTATTTTTTTCTAATAGCCTTAAGTTCCATTGGTTATGAAAAAGTTTGTGTGTTATTCAATATAGCTGCTCAACAGAGTGCTGTAGCAGCTACACAAAATTTTGAAAGTGATGAAGGATTAAAACTTGCTGCAAAATATCTTCAAGTATGTCACTTTAAAAATTAAATTTATAAAAAATTGAATTTAAAGAATTTAAAAAAAAATTTGAATCATTGTTGGATGCTTAGCAGATTTGAAACATTGAAATTAATTTATATATATAACATAAAGAATGGTTTATTAAAGGAAAATAAATATTCTTAAAAATTGAGTAGGCTCAATTATTTTATCAGTTACTTCTGTAACAGGGATATTCTATGCTGCCTCTGATGATATTAGTAAGACAATTTGTTAATGATTTTCACTTAAGTTATTTGAATCTAATATACATAGAATTTTAAAAATCACATTTATTTGGAATTTTTTGGCAATACCCTCTCACAGAGAGAAAAAAATGATATAAAATTTAAACTAGCTTAAATAACCTTTTTTTATTTTGTGTCAGTCATAGTAGACTATTGCTGGGTTTGTAATATGTGATCCCGGGTCACTTGGGGTATCAGATTCTTCAAATTTTACAGAATGAGGTGTTTCTTTCATTTTTTCAAAATTATTTTATATAATTATAATATTTAGAAATTTAATTTAAATTTTAATATAAAAATACACTATTTTTTCTGAATTTTTATAATAAAATTAACAATTTTATCAATCTTTGTATAAATTTTGTTTGTAACATTATACAACCTCCCAAAAAATATAGACAAACTCATCATTCAAAAATATTTCTAATAACTGAAACTACAAAAATATTAAAAATGTTATTTTCATAGTTATTACTTTCAATTAAAACACAATCAACATATTGCAAAGTGTAAAATATCACTCTATACATTATAGGTATAAAAGTTTAACGTGGTGTAAGATAGGGGTATCACATATTTTTCAGAAGTTATATCCTTTTTTGTCCCATATAAGCACCTTCTACAGTATATGATACGTTTAAAGAACCATTTTTTTAAGAATCACATATTGTTTAGGAGATACATGTTTTCCTTGTCCTTTCTCTCTAATGGATATTCATGTATACACTGTAGGTATTAGAATTCAGTGTGGTAAGATATGGGAGAATGCCTAGTCCAGTGAAAAGAGTTGAAAGACACTCATGTCGATATATCACCATGCCAACAACTGTTTTGATACGCTGCATAAGATGTTTTATATCAAAAATATTTTTTAATTTTGACTTAAGAATACAAAATAATGTTTTGTTTTATAAAAGTTGTATAGCTTTAATAAAATAAAAAATTATTATATCTTATATCATTTTATAAAGAAAAATTTCTTACTCAAGTTTAAAATTTCTATATATTTTAGCAAAGTGCTGGAATTTTTAATACACTGAAAACAACTGTTATGAGTGTTATTCAACAAGATCCAACTCCTGATTTAAACCCAGATATGTTAGCTATGTTGTCTACACTTATGCTAGCACAAGCTCAAGAAATGTTTGTTCTAAAAGCAAATATAGGTATTTTTTTTTTTTCATTTAAGCTGTATATCTACATTCATATGAAAATTTCCTGTTTAAAACCACAATTTTTATATGAATGATTAATATAATTATGTTTACTTTAATTTAATTTTTCATTGTATTCGTTAATAATTAAAATAATAAGGTTTCAAAATCTCATTTTGCTTATTTTAAACAAAAGAGGTTTGGCCATAGTAAATAATTTTTCATTTACTTAGTTACATGTAATTCATTAACTATAACCTATGCAATATGTTCTAAAGTATATGATAAAGTATAATTTTTTGTGCATTTTCACTTTAAAATTAACAAAAAGATAGTTTATTATATAATTAGTTAACTTATTGTTTTTATCACTTTATGTTTGTTTAATTAGACAAGATGAAAGACCAGTCAATTGCTAAACTGTGTTCTCAATGTGAAGAATACTATTGTGAAACTGTAAAATTAATGGAAAAAGAATCTGTTTTAATGTCATTGGATAAAGAATGGACATCATGTGTATGATAATTTATTACTTTAACGTATAAAGGGTTAATGATTTTTTTTTTTAGATTTTAGCCAAACAAGCAATTTTTCAAGGATTGACTCAATTTCATCAATCTATGGTTTGCAAAAATAATAAATCTATTGGTGAACAAATAGCAAGACTAAATGTATGTTTTGTCCAATTAAGAAAAATTGATTTTTCATAATTTTAATTCTTTAGGAAGCAATTAATTATCTAAAACTTGGTCAGAGTCGCTGTGGTCGGTCAATTTATCAAGGGCAATATAACAAGGCTCAACAAGAACTAGCTGAAGCAAAAAAAGACAATGATTTTATTTATCATGAACGAATTCCAGAAGTAAAAAATTTAGAGCCAGTTGCAAAAGCTACTATTGCTAAGCCTACACCCGTACCTTCAAAATTATCATCTAAATTTAAAGGTAATATTAGTATTATAGTTTTTTTAAATTTATATTATATGATTTATATATTATAAATTAATAAAAAGAGTGTAGCAGAGATGAGAAGATAGGATAAAGAACGAGCATATAAGAGAGAGTATAGGTGTAGTGTCACTCGTGGATGTTATGGTGAGAGAAGGAAGAAGAATCTGGAGCTGTAAAAACATTTCATTAGAAATGAATGTTGAATGAAGAAGAAGTAAAGGAAGACCAAAAAAGAGATGGAAGGATGCTATTGATGTGATATGAGGACAGCTGATGTGGGAAATCGTGTCAAGTGGAAGTTTAAGATAAGGGTGGCCGACTCTAAGTAGTTGGGATTAAGGGGAGGAAAAAGAAAAAGAATTTATGTTATCAGAGTTAAACTGATAACTTAAGTATCATTAAAAAAAAAAAATTAAATAAAAATTTATTAATATACTTATAGTTGGCATAGAAAAAAATAAAATTTTGAGTTTTCTTGTCAAATTTAAAAAATTTCAGAACAAGTTAGATAAATAGCAATATAGAAATTAACCCTTTTAATAATTGATATATTATATAAAATTATATATATTGTTTTAATATTTGGCGTTCATTTTTCTATAAGGCATTTTCTGAGGATTTTTGGTCTTTTTTTCTTGGTATATAATATTAGAAATCAAGTTTTATTAATTTTAATTTTTGTTATATTTTTCTGGATATTTTTCAATTTCTATTGCTTCCTTATACATTCCTTTTCCACAATGAGCTTTGTTATTCAAAATTTTGACCTTATCAAATTTAATTTAGTGTTTGCTTTTTTTTGTGTTCCATTACTGCAGATATTTTGACCCTTTGTTAGTCTATGTCTTTTGTTGTTTTCTTAACAGAAAACATCTCTCTTAGCGAGTTAAATCATATGTCGATAATTTCCTAAGTTAAATGAAATGTAAATTAAGTTTATATGATGTAAATATTTGTTATCAAAAAAAAAAAAAAAAAATTATACCATTCCAAACATTTTTTAAAAAATTATAGTCATATTTTAAAATTTAAATATTGAATATTTTTTAAATTTTAAAACTATAAATTTTAGAATATTTTCACTCATAAAAAAAGTGTTTTTTTTTTAATTTTGGAAGTAATATTTATAAAAATAGATGTAATTCAGATTTTTATAATGTATTGATTGAAAAAATTGTTTTATTTAAAGCTGAGTAATAACAGTGACATATTTGAGAATTCATCTTGAAAAGGGGATATATTAAGGTAGGTCAACTACTCATCTACGTATCATCTTGAAAATGATTAAAATTCCCAAATTTAAATCTCACCATAAATATTACTACTATTGATTTTAGGTTTTAAAATATTGAATGTCCTCTAAACATAATATTTCCAAAGTTTATGTGAAAAGCTTAACAGTCCCACTCTTAACATTTTGGTCTTAGAACATTAAGATTAATTATTATTCAAATATTACACAAAAATAATTGTTGAATTTGGATTATTCAATTTATGATTACAGATTTGTTTGAAAATTTAGTGCCCGTATCTGTACAGCAGGCATTAAGTACATATGATGTTAGGAAAACTGAATTAGTGAATACTGAAATTGGAAAACTTAGAGAAGCTACTCAAATTCTCAACGGGTAATATTTATATATTTTTTTTATTATATTAAATTCATTCAAACTGTATTGGTTTATATATTTATTAGGTGTTTAGCATCTCTTAATTTACCAGCAGCATTAGAAGATGTCAAAGGTGTTGGAATACCTCAATCTCTTATTGAAAAATCAAATAGTGTGCGTATGAATGGTGGCATTCAAAAGCTTGAAACATTGATTAGAGAATTACCAGAGTTGTTAAAGCGAAATGAAGAAATTATCAATGAAGTAATTTTTAAGATTTTTATGTTTAATGCTATTTTATTATTAAAAATTAATTCAGATTCTGAAATTTATATTGAATTACTCTGTACCAAACACTTGAAAAAACTTAAAATCAATGTTCTGCTTTAAGCCCTTACTTATTCTCTATAGTGATGGATGAAATTACTAAATAAATACAAGGAGAGGTGCCGTGGTGCATGTTGTTTGCTGACGATATAGTGTTAATAGGAGAAAATAGGGAGGAAATTAATCAAAAGCTAGAGGTGTGAAGATCTGCTTTAAAAAAATAGGGTTTAAATATAATTAGAAATAAGATAGAGTATATAGAGTACGAGTTTGATATAGAAGAACATGAGGTAGATGAAATGAGGAGATCAGTGGCAATAGGTGAAGACGTAATTGGAAAGGTGAAAAGTTTTAAGTATTTAGGATCAGTTGTGCAAAAGAAAGGTGGTATTGACATAGATGCAAGACACGGGATTAAGTGTGGGTGGGTGAAATGGAGAGAAGCATCTGGTGTTTTATGAGATAAGAAAATTCCAATTAGGCTGAAAAATAAGTTCTTTAAGATTATAGTGAGACCAACTATGATGTATGGTTTAAAGTATTGGGTGGCTGAAAGTAGATCAGAGAAAGAGTGTAGCAAAGATGGATGAGTGGAGTGACTACAGAAGATAGGATAACAAATGAACATATAAGGAGAGTATAGGTGTAGCGTCACTCGTGGATAAGATGAGAGAAAATAGACCTAGATGGTTTGGTCATGTTATGAAGAGAGAAGAATCGGAAGCTGTAAGAACAGTTATGAAAATGAATGTTGAAGAAAGAAGAGATAGAGGAAGACCAAAAAAGGGATGAAGGAATGTTATTGAATGCAATATGAAGACGGCTGATATGGGAGATTATGTGAAGTGGAAGTTTAGGATAAGCGTGGCTGACCCCAAGTAGTTGGGATTAAGACGAGAAAGAAGAAGAGAAGAAGTTTTAAAAACTTAAAGAAATATTTCAAAAATTACACTTCTGTAAAAATGAATTTTTTAATACCTTTTTTCCTGTGTTTATAAACTACTGTAAACTTTAATAGAGTACTAGTGTAAATAAGCATTTATTTGATTGGGTTTATTCAATAACATCCAATGAAAAACTTAAATTTAAATTTACATCAAATTAAAGTTCTAGATGTTTACTAAAGTATTGAGAAAAAAAAATCACACTTAAATTATTTATTTATTTTCAACTCAGCAAATTATTTAATATTTACGTGATATTTTAAAATAGAAATTGTGAAATTACAAAATATTGTGAAATTAACAGATTTACATCATAGAGTTTTTTATGATAGATGTTAATTACTGTCAGTTATTATTTATATTTGTCCCAACTGTTTTGAGTTCTTTGTTTTACATTTATTTGGAAATTTCACAGTAACAATTTTATAGAACTTTTTTAGAAAAATGTTTTGTACAATAAACTTTTATTTGAATTTAATCATTAAATTGCTAGTTTTTTGAAATTTGATTTTTTTATGTATTATTATTTGCGTTATATTTTTTATACTATCAAAGAGTGGTCTATGTTATTATAAAATGGATACAAGTTACTATATTTTTTTATACTAGCTATTTATTACAGTATTATTTTTTTTTCATGAAAATTATTATGGTAGAGTAAGCACATATTAAAATAATTATAATTTTATAATACATAATGAAAGAAGTGTTTTCTTATATCAATTTATTAGTAATAATGACTGGTATAAATATTGTTATTATGTTATTTAATATTTTATAATGTTACAATATTATTATTAGTGTTATACATTTCAGTTCAAGCATTGATAATTCTCATGGAAAAATCCTTTTTCTTTTAGCGTTATTGAACTTAAAAATATTGTTTTTTTTCTATCATATTTTGACCTTATCGTAGAAAAGGTATATACTAAATAGATACTTTAGTGAAGTCTATTAAAATATATATTAAAATTTTAACAAACTTCTAAAGTAATATAATAGCTAAATTAAAATAAAAGTTTGTGATATGAAAGTTTTACTTTAATATAAATCTATAATATCCTTGTAATTTCCAAATAAATTTTAAAATAAAAAATCATTATTAAAATCTGTTTTGGCTATATAAAAAATTATAAGTATTTAATTCAGAATATAATTCAATTCTTTAAAAATTGAAAAAAAAAAATTGATTAAATGTTCTACTCTGTATAAAAAAGGATAATTTTACCACTATGAACTACTTGTAAAATAAAATAAATTTATGAATTTTTTTTTAGTTACATATATTTCTTAATTTTTTAATTATTGTAATATATTTAGTCCACCCATTATGCCTTAGAAGAGTAATTTCTATAGAACAATTCTTGAATATTTTTAATTTAAATTTAATATATTAGTCTGAAAGAATGCTTAACGAAGAACAAGAATCAGATGATCAACTTCAAGCACAATTTAAAGAAAAATGGAATCGAACTAAGTCTAGTACTCTTACTCAAGTATTTAGAGTAAATATTACTAAATATCGAGAAATAATTAAAAATGCCACATCTGCTGATAAGGTATTTATAAAAATTAATTTTTAGTTTTTCTGATACAAAATAATTTTTCAATTTATAAATTTACTAATTAGTTAAATGAAAAGTTATGTGTAGTTTTTAATTTATAAAAATAGTTCATGGAATTTTACCTTAATCTTTTATTAAAAATATGTGTTTTAGATGATACGTGAGAAATTTGATTCCCAAAAACGAGCTATTCACTTATTATCAGAAGGTCAAGAAGCAATTCAAAGTGTTCTGCCAGCTGCATCAAATTCTGGAGTAAATTTTGCAAACTCCACTGCAGCTGATAAATTAAGACATTTAATGGAAGAGGTAAGTATTGTAATATTAGAACAAAATATGTTAAACATTATGAATAAAATAAAGATTTGGTTCTTCTCTTTGACAATAAATTACTTCATATTTTAATTAGTTAATAAATCTATCCACAAAAATGTTATGAAAGAAAATTTCATATTAAGAAAACTCTTAATAAATATTAAATTTTTTGTTATATGATTTAAAATAATGAATTTATACATTTTTTACACATTTTAATGTTAATAATTCATTAATATAAGTGGAGTAGTTTAATGGTTAAAATTGTTTTCATAAGAAAATTAGAATCGAATTAAACTATTTTTATGAGAACTAATATTTTGTTAAAAAGAATTATAATAATATAATTTATTGCTTCAACAATTTTTATTATATAAGTAACCTTTTTTCAAATTAAATACAATTTGAATTGTTACAAAAATTTAATTAATTTTATGAATCTTAAAATTTAGGTGGAAATAATGAAAAATGAAAGAGATGTGATTGAGACCGAGTTGAAATGTGCGTCAACTGATATGAAATCTAAATTTCTAAATGCTTTGGCTGAAGAAGGTACTATAAATGAAGGAAATCTTTCAACTGAAAGCTTAGATCAGTCTTATGCTCATTTACAAATACAAGTTCGAGACAGTCTTATAAGACAAGAAACTCTTTTGTCACATATTCAGGTATTAAAAATAAAATGTTTTTTATTTTTTTACTTTTGGGCATCCATGTCCAATGATTATTTGAATTGATAATTAATTTGAAAAAATTTAGTCATACGTATTAGCTGTATGCCAAATATCTAGACACAAATTAATCTGAGTTTTGGTCTAAATTTAAAATCAAAATATTTTACTTAAATAGTAGGGAAAAAATATAAGCTCAGCTAGAATAAAATATTTAGAGGTGCTGAATTTATTTATACCCACACTTATATTTTTTTAATTAACATATACATACAGACTAACCAACAGTCCCAGAGTATCAATGGTTTAGAAACTTCCTCCTTGTTGGGGAGGCCACTATGACCCTTTAGGGGTCTATAAAGTGTTTAAAAAAAAACATATACATATGTTTATTTTTATACACTTTTCAGGGAGCTTCAATCTTCAAATTGGGAAGTTGAAGCCTTCCTAACTCCCCCGTTACGCTTGTGATTGTGATTTTTCAAAATATCACTCAATTACTTTTTTAGTAAACCAATTATATTCTATTTTTAATTATAGAATTATAATTGTAAATGAGTGAGTATCATTAAAAATTACTCTACTAAAATGTTATTTTTCAGCATTTAAATTATTATTATATCATTAAAAATATTAAATATTGTATTTAAAAGCGTAAAAACCTTTTTTTCAAATTATTGTATTCTTATAACTTAATTTATCTGATAAACCGTTTTTATTTTGTAATTGTTTTAAAATGTGGATTTGAAATAGAAATCCATCATTAATTTGGTTTTCATATTACCAGAGACAACAATAATCTGTTTCATTGGCCATAAATTATCAGTATTTATATTAACTATCATAAGTAACAGATATAATACCAAAAATTGTCATTAAAAACTTTTTTATGTGACATCATACAGTATTAACAACTATAGTATGCTAAACATCAGACTGTCATTAAAAAATTTGTCAAAAATCTCTAAAATGTTATAAGGACTAACAGAAAAATGGTTCATCGAAAAAAAAAATTGTTATAAGAATAACATTTTTTTTCTATTGTGTTTTTTAACTAAAATTTGTGGTTTTATTAAAGAAGATTAAAGTTTATGTTTTTAACCCCTAAGGAATAAAAAATAATTTTATAGCTACATATAAATTGCTGAGTTAAAAAAAAAATTTTTTTTTTAAATAAGTGTATCCATATTTGATCACCTTTTAATATCCAAAGTCATGGTTGTCATGATTCCTACCAAAATAAGTACAATAATCTATTAGCTAGTTCAGAAACATATTTATGATATATATAGAATGTTCAATAAATAAGGAAACGCTGTATAGATTGTAAACCCTTGTTTTAGATATTTTGTTCCTAAATTTGGAGTTTAGAAAAAATGAAATGACCCTTTCCAAAAAATATTTGAAGTAAAAATTTTTACAGGGGTCTGAAAAAAAAGGATTTTTGTGCATCACGGTTGGCATTACAATCGGTTAAAATCTTTGGCCAACATAGACGGATTATATTATTTTATTAAATATATGGTCAAAATTCTATTGTTCATAAAATTCTATACGTTCATCTAACAGCAGAATTTTTACCCTTTACCTAATAAAAAAATAGAGTCCGTTAATTGCAAAAAGTCACAGGCAGTCGCACACTGTTTGTATGGTCAAACGTGATTACTAAATATGACTTTCGACCATTATGTCAACCGTGATGCGTGATAATTATGTGAAACAGTTTCTATTGTTTGATAAACGTATCAGTTCCAGAAACATATATAAATAACATAAAAATCTGTAAAATCTATAAATGTAAGCATTCAACGGTTGTTTTTAATTTATTGTAATAATATAAAGATTTTGAATTTTAAATTCATAGAACTTTATTTTTAACCATTAAATATTTTTTTTCAACTAATATATTACTTTTTAATGATAATAATTTATTACTAATACATATAAATTTATAATTTGTTTATTTAGTTATATTGATGTGAATTAAATTTTTTAAATATATTTATTTTTATAATAATTAATAATAATAAATATAGTTAATATAATTATTATATTTACTATAGTATTTATTTATATTTTAATTAATATAAATATAAAAGTAAAAAAATATAATTAAATTATAATATAACATTAATAATAATTTAATATAATACTTTATTATTTATATTAGTGTTCTTATGAATAAAAATAAAGTATCATTTATTCTTATTTATTTTTATTAATATTGAAATAAGTAAATTTGTCAATAATAAATAATCAATAAAAATAATGATTAAATATAATTTATTATATTATGTTATATATTAATTAATATAAAAAATATTTATTATATTTATATTTATTCTTAACTATTTTTATCTGTTAATGAATAATTTATAAAAATAATTAATATTATTTATTATTATTATTATTTTTCATTAATATATATATATATATAATTCATTAAATTTACATTAATACTTACTATTATAAAAATAAGTAATAATAATAAGTAATAAATTATATTTTATTTTATAGTATAATTAAGCCCCTAAATGTTATATTAAATGCCTTTAATATATTTCATTTTGAAAAAAAAATGTTTAAAAAACCACTATAGATGTAATTTTTACATAATATTTTTATAAAATTCAATCAAAAACTTACTTTTTTTATTACAGTTAAATTAATTTCAACTGAAATAAAAATTTGTTTATTTTATTCCAATATAAACTTTAAAATCTATCAGTTGAATGATTCTGAAAGAATTTTCACTTCATTCAAGTGTACTCGTAACACAGGCTGGTTCTTTGGTTTCAATCTTAACTGAAATTAAATAATAATTTTTTAGGTTGTTAATACAGAATTCTGCAAAGAAAAAAGTAGCGGAGGCCAAAGAGAAGCTCTTTTTAAAGATTTAGCTGCTGGTTATGATGTTTTTAATGAATTACAAAACAATTTAATGGAAGGCACTAAATTTTATAATGATTTAACTGAGGTAAATAATAACATATTTTTTGATTTTAGAAAGCCACAGAATACAGCTTGTAAATTAGACAAATGTACTCATTATGCTTGTTTTTTATTCTGTATGATATCTATATGATAAAAAGAAGTCAACATCTCTTCTCCAGCAACAATCTAATTACTCTTATTTAAAAAATAATTGTTTACTAACTTTTATATGAAATATTCAGTGACTAACTGTAGATTTAATTAACCTTAAAAAAAAGAAATTAATGTAACACATTATGTAAAGAATAATTATTAAAAAAAAAATTTATTAATATTTACAATATTTTTAGATACTTATAACTGCTCAAAATAAAATATCAGATTTCTGCTTTGCAAGGAAAGCTGAAAAAGAAGAATTATTGAAAAGTTTGACTAAAAATTTAAGTCAAGAAACACCTGTTACTGTCCCCCCATCAAATCAAACTTGTAAGTTTTAGTTTACATTTTAAAGGGGTATAAATAAGATATTTAAATGTATTTAATAAATTAAATTGTGTTATGTTTAACCACATTCAAAATTAATAATTTTTAATGAAATGGGTAATTGTTAATTCAAATTAGAATCACAAAACCTTTTAATAACTTAGTCTTTTATAATTATTTAAGTATGAATAATAAATTTTAAATAATAATTTTCATTTATTTTAAATGTTGCAGTCCAAACTGGTACAGCTCCCTTAAACCTAAGTTCTTCTATAGCTAGTCAACAACTTCCTTATCCAATGCAGCCACAAGGTATGCCATTACCATACACATTACCAAGAACAGGTCCATATCCTGGATACATGCCTCCTATGCCAACTGCATATAATCCATATGCAACTTTACCTTATCCTCAACAAAGTATGATTTATTAATTTTTACGTATATACAGGGTAATTTATTTGTTATAACTCACTCAATTGCTTACACAATATATATATATATATATTTTTTTTTTGTTATTTTTAGTGACGAATTATTAGCTATGTAATACTTTTAAGTTCATCCCTTATCAGGGTTTCAACTTTGTTTTTTTTAATGAGAACTCATATTTTGAATTTAATAAAAAATTTTGAGTTTTTAATATTATAGTAAATGGCATTTGAATTTTTAACTTAACATTATTCGTTTATTAGATATAAAATTTTTTATTTTTGAGTTAATATACATGTATGATATGTGAGGTATTATAAGTACAAGTAGCGAATTGGTTTTTTTTGTGATGTCGTTATTCACAGATACGCAACATTTATTATCAAAGGTAGTAAGAAACATTGTTTTGAGTTTATAAATACATCAACTGGCAATACAGAAAGCATAGTCATAATTGACAATAACACTCCGTGACTGTAATAGCGACATCATAAAAAACCAATTAGCTACCTGTATTTGTAATCCCTCATGTATTATACATGTGTGTTGATTTAAACATTTGAAACTTTTAAGTTTTATATATAATATACAAATAAAGGTTTGTTACATAGTTAATAATTCAAGAATAATGCGTGACTGAAGATAACCAAAAAAAAATTGTTTAAATTATTTTTATTCTGTAAGTAGTTGAGTGGGTAAAAAAAATGATAAAAAAAATCACTTTATATACATATTAGTTTTGTAGTATTAAAATGAAAGATTTTTATGCAGAGCTTAGAGTGGCAATAATAGATGATCCTTATATAATTTTTAATCTTTTTACCTATAGAATCACAAACATTTTAGTGAAATGTTAAAAGGAATGATTGTCAAGAACTATATAAGATAGAGGGACTAAGTTTTCTAGCATTCCACTTCACTTTAAGCTTTGCTATTACCTATTAATACTTATCTACAAACATTTTCATTTATTTTTTTTTTAAATCAAATTTTAAGCTTAATGTTTAAATGTTTAATGTTAATGCTTAATGTTTAAAAAATGTATGAGGCTATTTTTTTTCTAGATTACCAGAATTACCCGTCTCAAAGTCAGCAACTTCAGTATCCACAATATCCTCAATATCCACCACAAAACCCACAGCAACCCCCTGCACAATGGTAAATAATTTTTAAATGTTTTTTGCTAAGAAAAATTTCAATTTTTATGTATTTTTAATAATTGTTATTAGACTTAAATAAGTTAATATAAATATATTATATATTTTTTTTTTATAAAATAGAACAATATTATTATTATTACTATCATTAACATTATTATTATTATTAATATTACTTATTATTTTCCTATGAAATATTTTAGTTTATACACTTTCTTGTATACATCAAATGTGTATCAATTATATTATTATATAAACTGATGAGTTACAGTAAAAAATATTTGTGTTACTCATAAAAATTTTTTGTGTTCCTAAATTGTTTTTCATATTATTAATACATATATATTATATATGTATATGTAGTATAATATTATACTTGTTAGGAGTATCAAAATTTGTTTTTAAATTCCTTAATAATAGAAGCAGAGATGAATTCAGAGAATTATTGTGGAGAGGTCTTTAACTCATATTATTTTTTAATATAATTCAATTTTTCAGTTTATTTTGATTCTCAAACTAGCTAGTAAATTATGGTGTTTTATTAATTATTAAAATTATATGTTATTCATTAAATAAAATATGTTACTAGGCTTAAAAAAAATTAAATTTGATATTCAAAAATATTAAATACTCACATATTGTACTATAATTTTATTTTTTCTAATTATGTTTATGATATTTATATTTGAAAAATTATTTTTACATTAAAATGTTAGTATTTGTAGGTAAAATGAACTTCCCTCATAATCCTCGAATATTTATGACTATACAAATTTCATGGTTTAAATTCATTTATAATTGTTTTAGATTAGATTTAAAAAAAGTTTACATAGGTATTCAGGAAAGTATTCTATCCAAGTATAAATGTAGACAAAATAATTTTTTTTTTAATGAAATTTTTGTGTTTGACTCCAACATTTTAAAATAAATTATGCTAATTCAAATTTGTTTATCTAAATTAGCATTTTTAATATAATTCACTGCTTAAGAACCTAATGGAATATTGAGTTTTTATAAGGAATCCTCATTTTCCAATACCATTTATTTTATAATTTGTCACTTAGTTTTCAATTATTTTTATCTGAATAATCGAGGAAAAAATGTTTAATTCCATATATTTGAATTTCAATAAATTGCTATCCAAGCATAATTAAATTAAGTGAAGATTTTTATGACGAAGATAGATTACTGTGTTATTACTTAAAAAGTAGGTTTCGGTGAATGTGTTTTTTTGTTACCCAATAAATTAATTAAGAAATCATCTATCTCCACATGACTTATATTGATACAGTTAATACAACATCTGTATGATAAATTGTCATAGTTAAGTAATACAGTTTTTTTTTTAACTCGAATTATATTTGAATTTTATTAAATTTTCTGCACGATTAAACGATTAAATTAAAACATTCACCATTATGAAAAACTAATTAGAATTTGATAACATTCATTAAAATCATTTTTAGAATAAATTGTGGAAATTTTTATTCAATAAGTTCGAAAATGTTATCAGCAAAAGTTGTCAAAATTCACTTCATACCCACCTAAAAATAATCTTTAGAATCGTCTGTGATTAAATCGTTGTAAAAATGTAAACTTATTTTTTTATAAAATATAATTTATAAAAAAAATGAATAAAATCATAACATTTTTATAATTTGGGGTATACATAGTGGTATTGAGTGTCAGAGCTCTATAATAATTTTAAATTAAATTGTGAAAATACTTTTTATATTTCAAAATACATTATCATTAGTGATGAGTAAAGTTGCACTAGTCTCAATTATGTACCAAGGTATACATTTTTTACTGATCAACCCCAAGTAGTTGAAATTCAGGCGAGGAAAAATAAGATACATTTTTGACTGATCTAAATGTTTATCAACCTTTTATTTGTAGCACGGTGTGATGAGAGTGGAAAAATTCTCCATTCATAAAAAAAAGTATAAAAATCATGTAAGAACAGAGAAACTAAAGTTACGACCTACCTTGAAAATTCTCCATTGGTTGTACAATACCAATAGATTTGGTATTTTTATTATTAATTTTTAAAGCCTTACATAAACGGGACAAAGGTAAGAAGGTTCCGCTAATGGATCATAGGGTACAGAGGTAAACGGTAGTAGCCCATATTTTTCGATTTTGATTTTATGAGTTGATTCGATTGTACATTAGCAGTAGTATAAAGTAATAATTACCATTTAATGAGAAATGTTTTCATTTTGCTAGCATTAAAATGTATAAGCGCATATTAAGGGAGCTTGCATAGCTAATCAAATTTCAAAATAAGCTTCTTCAAAAATTTTAGTAAAACTATATATACTTTTTAGTTAAATTAATATTATATATATTTAATTTTAAACTAATATATTATTTTACAAAATAATTTTAAAGAGAGGGAATTAGATATAATAAGCTCCTCCATAAATTTTGTGGAAATTGCGCATATGTTGAAGCGTCTATTTTTGTTTTATTATAAAATGGATAAAAATGTTTAACTTTTTTTTTACTCTTCTGCAAAATTTACAGAGAGAAACTACTTCCGTTTTTTTTCTGTATATTTCATCTGTTATCGTCAGGAATAAAGTTGTAAAACTTTATAATATGATACTTATTTGGTTACCCTTATTTAAGAACAAATTTACCACCCCAGAAAATTTTATTTTTTTGCATTATAGTTGATCAAATAACATTTTTTGCTCATGACTAGGATTTGGGATTTTATACATTTATAGAATTTGTTTGAACCACTTCCGTAACACCTATGAACATTTTTATTTTATTTTTTCTAGAGGGATTCCCACTCTTCTCCCCAAACTAAAATCTTAATTAAGATACATTGATTAGGGTTAAAAAACACAAAAACGAACGTCTATTTATCATTGATGTACTCGAGATGACTAAAATAAACTTAATAATGCAAAAGTCTCGAATCCTACTATTGACATTTCCAGATACAGTGGCGCAAACATGGTCGAATTTCCAACATAGATTTCAGCACCTCCAAACTCTGGGCCTTTATTAGTATTACAAAACCAGTACCGGCACTAGGGTTTGGGGGATAAATAGGATTTGCATGCTAAAAAAATAGAAATGGAGGATCGATAAATCCCGTCAGATGATATGATAAAAATAATTTTTTTTTATGAATGTGTTAAAGCTTTCATGGATTGTCTTGTTGCTTGAGGATATATCCATGTTTGCAGTTGAGTTCTTACGTTTCGGACTCATTGCAGAGTCCACCTTCAGAGTGATGGTTGCTAGTCGGTGGCTGCAACTCAACTGCAAACATGGATATATCCTCAAGCACTTCAAGCAATAATTTTTTTTTGTTCTAAAAGAATAATGCGAAAATTCCTCAGTTATTTATCTCAAACAACTCAAATTACGCCATTACTATACATGGCATTTTAATTTTTAAAAATTTACTATCGTTTAGGGGTATAGTATTGAAGTGAGGGTACGGATGTTTTATTTTTATGGCTATGAGGTATACATAGTTTTACTAAAAAAAATTAATTATCTACATGTGTTTAATATTTTTAATGTATTATTAAACAGTTTTTGCGTATATAAAGGAAAAAAATAGTTAATGTAGAATCACTTATTAAACGACTTAGTTAAAGAATAAAATTAATATTCTTTTGATTATACACTCAGTAGAAATGTCGTTAAATAATAGTGGAATATACTCTATTAGTATACTAGTGGGTAAATTTCTTGGGGTATATGCTAGTTCCCTAAATGGTCAGTAGCTATGCGCTGTATACCCTTAAAAACATCACTGAATATATATTATTGCAATGTTTGCTTAAAATGTCGTATATACAATGTACACATGAAAATAATGACGTCATGACAAAAAACGACCGGGCGTACCTTGTAGCACAGAACGATCATTGGCCACGAGTAACTAAGTAGCGCTCGCGTTCCTTCACACCACGTATAACACACTCTTTATTGCCATCACTGCTGCTGAGCGCCGATCCGTTGAGGAGCACCGCTAGTGTTAGCAGCACTATTAGGAAGGAGGTGAACGGGACGCACACCATTCTCACTGTGTACACGAGCAGGTCGGCAGGCACACCGTTGTTGTCATTCCGTAAGATTGTTGGTGCTCTTTGTGGGCGTCGTGCGTCCGTTCATCTTCGGCGTTGTACTCGCGAATCGCGATGCGTGTCCACAAATTAATTGTTCGTGTGAATAATTTATCGTAGTGACATCAAATTATCCATCGCAATTTCACCTCTGCCTTGATAACAATCCTTAAGTTGCTTTTGTTTACCTCTCTTCTTAGAAAGGTAAGCTGTTGGCCATGATAAATTAAATAGTATTACCGAGTATACATTTTTGTTTTTCTAACAATTGCAATAGTTGTTTAAAGAATAATTAGTGTACTGTCATCAATAATGAAAATAAATATTAACTGTTCTATTTTTCACATTCTGTCCGCCATGTCCCATTTGGATTCTATCAGCATCTACTGGTAGAGTATATTGTTATTTTTGACACGTTATTTATTGTATTCCACTGTAGATACCATTTCTTAGATTTTGTCAATGTTCGATTTAAATCTGCTAAATGTAATCTCTGATCTTTGGTTAAGGGAGCTCATAGTACGTAACTCGTAAATTTGTTATCAGTTTGATTTGATTGTGGGTCATATTAATTGATTGAGTAAAGAACTGGTCTAAATTCAAAGATAATTCCTGTATTTATGCTTATTTTTAATTATTTAGCCTTAAATGAATAATTAAAACATTAACAATGGCCAAAGTAATATTCACAAAGTTAAAAAAAAGTTATTCCATTTATACGAAATAAGAATAGAATTTGGTTTATAGATTTTAAATTTTAAAAAGGTTTTATTGATTTATCATATTCTTCAATCTATTTTTTAATTAATGAGGATTTTATGATAACTACAATGAAACTATTTCTAACTAAAATATATACTTTATATAAGAAAAACCTTGCCAATCTTTTATTATGATAACTATTATTCAATTTTTTCTTATACTCAGTAATAAGAATAGTAAAAGAGAAGTACTTAAATATGCATTTATTTTAACTCATGAAATTAGAAACCTTGTTAATTGCTTTGGTTTAAAGTTTCAATTTTTAATTAAGTTCAGTGTAATAAAACCAAATGGAATTTGTTATTAATTAATGGAACAAGTCCCGATAGATCTATATACTTAAATGTTAAAAAGGTAATGTTACTAGTATACAATTATAAATGTCTTAATTTAAATCATTAAATTATACAAACTTTTAGAAAATTTTATTTGATAAGTTTCAAGAAATATTAAAATATTTCTTTCTTCACAAAAATTTAAATTTAAAATAATTATATGTATTCTACTGTGATATAAATCTTTATTTTAATTTTATTAACTCTTTTAGAATTTTACATTTTTTTTTTATTCAATTTTATTAAAAAAATGATGTTTTAACTTTCTTTCAAATAAGTGAAATAATTAAAAAAATAAATATTATAAAGATTTTATCCTTACTATTTAACATAAATATGTTACTTAACTAAACTAAATCCGAATAAGTTATCAAACTATAAATTACCGCAAGTAAACATTTTTAATGGAAGTAAATGTTTTAGATAAAATAAGATAAAAATTATTTTTAGTTATTATTTTATTTTCAATATTGTACAATATCAAAACAATTTGATTTTTTTTTTAAGATGTCTGACTTAATTGTATTCAGTGTAATTCCATGTTTATGTGATTTTTTGAATACAATATGAGTATACGAATGTTGTTTAAGGATATACTTAAATTTACCAAATAGTTACTTAATTATAGTGAAAATTGTTAATTACTTTAATAAATAGATGATCATGCTTATTAAAAATATCTATACAAGTAAAAATATGTTATTTATATATCTTGTAAATAATTATTATGTATTTATGCTATTGTAAAAATTAGTCAAACAGTTACTATAATATAAAAAAAAATTTAAAAATTAAACTTTTATATACATTCTAAGAATTCAATTATGCAAATGAATAAATTATATAAATATAATGAAAGGGGTTTGGATGATATAATTATCATTTATTTGTAATTATACAAATAAATTATATTTGTAATTCGAACAATTTAGTTGAGTTTACATATATATATAAATAAAGCAAAATGCTGTTACATAATTAATATTAAAACTTCGTTTGGAAAACTATGCGTGTTTTAAAATGTATGAAAAAATATTTTAACTATCTAATTTTTTAATGAAAAACTGTTGAAATCAAGCAGAAATAAGATTATAGATAGTCGTGAGAAAAAACTTGCTAAAAATTAAACAATCCCATCGTCTTATTAAAGTGAATATCATTTTTTTTTTTTTTAATAGCCTTTATGAAAATAATATTTAACTAAGTGAATATCATAAAAACAATTTTTGATTCTATTTATTTATAATTTTTATCTCGTAAACATATTGTTTTGATAATAAAACAAATATTATTTTAAATAATTTATTTACAATAAAAAAAAAAAATAATTTGTATACATTTAAACCTTTAGACATTGAATAATTTTTATCTAAATTTATCAAATGTAGTGCTAAGATAAACTAATTGATATACCTTTTACTGGCAGGTTTATAATATGCTGATGTAAAATATTTCCTAGGCTGCATTCTAATACTTTAAACACTGTAGAGTTTTTAAAAACATTGCTTTGAATTTAATAACAACTTATGATCTTAAATTTATTATTAAATAAGTTGTATTTTCAAAACTGTAATATAAAGTAAGTTCATATGTCGGGCCATTTGTTTTGTATATGAATTAATATTAGTTTATCTGAAAGCTTTCCTTTATAAATGCATTATTGCATTTGAACATAATTTTAACAAAGTAAAAAATTAATTTTTTTACTGAACTTAATATAATCAAAAACGTTAGATAACTATAAATTTAAGAGTGTAGAATTTAATAATAATAACAGTGTTGGGAAAGTTCCTTTTTAAATGGAACTCGTTCCGTTCCCCGTTCATTTTCTAAAATATGAACTCGTTCCAGATCCTAGTTCTTTATATTAAGAAGGAACTTGTTCCAGATACAGTTCTTCCAAAATAAGAACTCGTTCCACTCTTCGTTCCTTTTATGTAACCAAGTTATTTAAAAAATTGTGGCAATGAGATCATGATAACGGACATCAATGATTTTCATCAGCAGTCGAATACAAAACAAATTTGTAGTATTCCTTATCTAAAAGTATTCGAAAATTATATTTATAAGCAGGTAGTAAATGCTAACGACTTGTGTCAACGCGACCAATGTATATTGTCTACATATAAGTTAGAAATAATAAATCAGAAAACCCAAAACCTTTAACATATATTAGTTAACAAGAAACGACGATAATATTCAGTGCATTATTTAATATATGTACACATATATTAAATATTTACTGTATACCTACATGTGATAATAACTCTATTTATAGTCAATTGATTCATTTAAAAAGCCTACGATCTCGGCTGGGTATATAGGGGACTTCCATTGTCAAAAGTCAACTAAAAATACCTTAATATTTTAATGTCTAGATACGAAGAAAACTACACTAAAACATGTTTATAAAAATTTTTAGGAACTGTAATTTCCGTTCACGTTCCTTAAAAAATGGAATTTGTTCATTTTCCTCGTTCCTTTATTTTAAAAGGAAGCAGTTCCTAGCATCGTTCCTTCAAAAAGAACTCGTTCCAGGAATCCGTTCCTTTTGGAACCAGTTCCTTCTCAACACTGAATAATAATAATAATAAATTAAGTATTAATAACAAAATAAAAATGTTTATACCTTTTAAGTCTTATACTTATTAGTATAAGACATAAACATCTCTTTTTAATATATGCGTGACATAAATTTAAGGTTCTTAATTTCAATATTAATGAAAAAATTTAATTTTCTTCTTTAATTAACTAATATTTTACTCGCTTGTAAAACCAGACTCATTACATATGAATAATGATTTTTTTCCTAGTATATCATAATAGAACTACTTATTGACCCATTTCTTTTTTAATTGTTAAGAACTTGAATAGATTTTTAAGTAACATTAAGGGCTTTCGATTAATTTTTATCACGAGATTTCGAGTGCATACTTCACATAATATGCTTAGTAAGTTTAGTCACTTCATTAATGACAAAAAAGAAAAATTGTACAAAACTGTTAATTGTATAAAGAATCCTATTACAAACCCATTTAATAATATTGTAAAGTTACAAGCTCAAAAAAGCTATGCAATCATATTTTATTAAAATATTTTCGTTAAGTTTAAATTTAAAAATGAATTAAACATAAAGTTAATTAAAATTAGATAAAATATATGATACAAAAATTCTTCTTTTGACTAGTTTTTAAAAAAGAAAATTCCATTTTTTATATAGTGATACAACATTTCATTTTATTTTTTGATAAAAACTCAATTGTTCAAATTTTTTTATTATTTATTTTTAGGTGTAGTTGAGAAGAGTATTTTTCCTAACTGTGTATAATATCTTTACCTTGGCCGCAATTATTAAGGATAAACGAGTTTTTTTTTAATTCACTTTATGAATTGTTAATATAGGCAAGTTGGTATTTATTGTACAATTTCAAGTTTTGACGACAATCGCACTTATTAAGAAAAATCCAATGTGTTAAAGGTAGATGGTGTATTGTTACTTATTAATATTCGTAAATTAAAAGATAACAAGTATAATGCATTTAAGATTAATTTTTGTCATGTTTTCTTTTTTGACATGCATATTTAGATTTCTTATCGTTGAAACTTTGTAATAAATACAATATATTACGTGTATTATATATAATGTTAACCACTTATAATTTCCAAGTCTCTAAACTATAAACTACATACTTTCTGAAAAATGCTTAAAAACGATCAAGTAAAAAAAAAAAAAAACATTTATAAATGTTATTTCCTTAACTAGATCATTTTTGTTATTAATAAATAATTTATCACTTCAAAAAAAAAAAAAACGTATTTGTTTTTAAAATTGTTAGAGGATATTTAGTTTAAATTTAAGGTAGAGAATAAATTTGGAATACTAATTGTACCCTAAACTTTTTTTTACCAGATATTCAAGCTAATTTTTTTATGCTCCTTTTAAAAATTATACAAATCCAACTTCGAAGGAAGTTAACATTTTACATTAATTTCTTATTAAATACTCTATTTTAATGTAGAAGAATTATTAGATTGAAAATCTTATTTCAAGTGTTTTGACTAGATTGGCATAATTTCTAACAAATACATTTTGATAGAAGAAGCGTTCATTTGAATAATCCAGCTATCTTATAAAATTATTTTCATAATATTGTAAAATATTCTGTTATGAATATAGTTACTTAATTTATGTTAACAACGAATGTCGTCTTCACTGTCCAGCTTACATGTAATCTTAACGCGTAGTTTAAAAATCATCTCTGTCGCATTACATATGCTCTATTTTAAAATTATTTCTTTGAAGAAATATTTCCTATCAAAATATAGTCCGTGTTTATTTTTTGTAATTTTAACATTTTTTATTAGTGTTTATGATGCATCTCATTTTTGTTTATAGTGAAAGTATTAAATACAAAGCGCATTTAGAAATGTGTAATGGATGAGCATAAAAAATTAGTTTTGCTCAATCAATGGGTTAGAAGGCACGTGCTCTTGATCCTCTTAATACGCCACTGATTGTATATGCTAATCAAAATTTAAATTGTATGTTTTTACAAACTAGGTAAACGATGACTAATTCATATAATTTACGTTGTGTATTTGACTGCTATGACTGTTAATAAAAATAAAATACTGTTCTTTTATTACTTAACGTGTTAGGTTTTTGTATGTTTATTATTTTATTGTCTTGTTGGCATTTTAGTTTGTTATTATTGAATTCGTATGATGGCGCCTTCCTCACCTCTTCACACATTTCTAGGTTTCGAATTTATAACTAACGTAGTAGTAAACCAAATTTTCAAGATTACGAGATGCAATTTTGAGTTTATATACATAAATGGGAGATAATAATTATATTCTATAAGCTGTCTACTTTATATAATGTGTTTAAATACGTTACTGGGAACTATTTTTACTTATATATATACCTATTTTTAATTCTGTTGTGTAATTGCAAAACATTAATCTATTAAAATGAAAACTCTGAAATTTTAATTTTATTAAATGGTTATAAAAATTCAACACCGATGTTACTGTCTCTTTACACGAGCATAGTTAGTGTATATTCTTATTTATTTTACCGTTAGAATTTTGACTTTTTCTGTTCAATGCATGATTTTTTTTTGGGGTACTTAGAATATAGGCATTAGTTAGTGGTGGGCGTCGGCTAAGTGTTTTGTTTAAATGTTGTGGTACGAAATAATGTCTGCTGTGATCATTGGGTGGGTCGGCTACATTTTAGATGCGTGTAGGTTGCTGAATAATATTTAAATATATGTGTATATGTATTAATTTTTAGTAATAATAACATTTATGTTTATCGCTTTCTTTTCTGGTCATCTCTTATGATTAATAGCGATTAATAACTATTACCATCTGCCAAAGATTCCGGTTAGAACGCTTAATAAAATATGTTTGGAATTTTAATTTTTATAGATGATTTACATTAAACAAAACGTTATTGATCCAATAAACAATTCGTGTTATTGTAGTCCTTTTTGTAATTTGTCGTATCTATATATTTAATATTATTTTTACATACGGCGATCATATTAAACGATTTCACGATATAAACCTTCCATTTCCTCCAGTAGACCGGAAGTGTATGAGCGTGTAGGTATCGCTGTAATAATTTGTGTGAACACATACTACCACAAACATTAACTTCTCTGATGGCTTATGCAGTTTACTCTTTATAACAGGACACATTTATCTTCCTAGTTCATACTTACATGTGAGAAATACTAAGTGTTATTTGTGGGCAATATATTCAAACTCGTACTGTAGTTCACCCTGTTAACATTGCTGGTGGTTGTGATTAAAATTATATTCGTTTCTTCTGTTAAGTGTTTCACTTTCTAATAAGACAGTGTCCTTTAATTTTGCCAAACTTGTCGCTTTCTTGATTTTGAGGTGAGCGCACGAGCTGAGACCTATACTGTTGACGGTCGTGATCGATGTTGCTCGGATGACTTTTACTGAGTACTAGAAAATATGTACAATAAATTATATTATGTGCTAGTGTAGACTATAATACTACTACATTGTACTAGTATAAGTACATTAGCTGTCACTGTACTGGACGTTTCCTTTTACGGACTATGTTCTTATGTGTGGCCGACCAGATGTCCGGAGGACAAAAAAAGTAGGGAAGTTGAAGAACAGAAAGATGAAAAAACACTCGTATTGACAGGAATTCCACACCCAAATCTGGAAAATATATAAACTTTTCTCTATGATGGTTTGTATTCATATTAGTGAGCCGGATTTAATCTAATAAAAGTTAATTATTTTATTAAATCCGATTATATGTCTAAACAAGTTATTTTGATTTTAGATCATTGTGCTAGGATCTTCACCGAAAAGTATCCATAGTTTTATCTAATTTGTAATGAAGTCTATTTTTTCATAATTGACAGTTAAGTACGCTATTGTTAGTATTATAAAAATGTTTTAGTTACAACGTGTTTTTGGTGAAATAAGGAAGTTTCAAACACACCCATCCGGTTAATTTTGTTTTTTTTTGGTCGAAAATCCCTCCTGTTTTGATAATAATTTCCCAAATCATAGTTTTATCGAGTTCGATTTGTGTTTTACTTCTATTATGTTCTCTTCTACAAAAACAGATTAGAAAAACATTACCATCACCCTGTAAAGTTATATTTTATTCTAATTTATTGATAGAATTGTTTAATTATTTTTATATGTTGTAAAGACACATTTTTCAAGAAAATCCTATCAAAATAGTATATTATACAGGTAAATGTACTAAGGGAAAAAACGTGACTGGTTCAAATTCGTTAGGATCAGCGCGCGTTTGGTCCTTAACATGAAATACCTGTGTACTATAGTAATAATAATAAAAATAACACTAAAATATTAAAAAATATTTTATGCTCTGAATACGTACGACCACGTGGTTTGTATTTCTTACGAGCAAATTAGTTTGAATAAAGTTAAGTTATGCCATTTTCAGTTTATCGCTATCAGCCTATACGATCGTGACGATGATGACGCATTTGAATTAGTTACTATCAAATCACTCACATAATTGTGTTTTGCATAGATTTTCACCTGTTTAAACAATACTTAAGTTATTTGGGTTTGCGCAATTTTTACCGCAATATTGTTATCAAAAATTAGTCATTGGGTTAATAAACAAAGTAAAAAAATATAGTACACAGCACTCTAGCTATGACATATGTATACAGTTATACGACGATAATTTTTGCTAAACTCGTTTTATTTCTTCCTTTTTTATTGTACATTCCTTGGCTTACCGTGGTGGATATAGGATGATAGACTTCTGAGAATTACCTGCCTCGTCTCAGAGTAAGATAGATTGCAAAACAAATTCCTAAGTCTAGTTATTTTGTTGTTTTGAAGTATTTCTTATGTATCTGTTTAAAAAACAATTTGGTTCGATTGGATCCACAAAATGTTATCTAACAGATTGTCTTGTATTCATTATTCAGGACACTATTATGTTGAATGGTCAATTATTCTAAATTATTTTCGTATTATTAAAACTACTGAAATCAAAAGAAGTTTTCTTTGGTGGCCTATAAATTAATATGGAGAACAAAAGACCTTTAATCGTTGTAAATCATTTTACCTGACCAGATACGTTCTAAATTGTCTTATTTGTACATGTAAGTTTTAAGATCAAAGTTGTTATTATGTCACATTATTATTTCATATGTTTACTAAGGTTCAAGTAAACGTCCTCAGTTCTGTCATTGTGTATATGGTTTAATATTTCTAATATTTTGCTCTACTAATACATATCATTGCATCCACGACGAGTTGATTTTCTTTTACGTTCTGTTATTGTTATTTAAAATTCAACAGCTAAGAAATAATCTTTTGAAGTCGTTGGAGTGTTGTATTTTATTATAGAGACGAATTTGTTGGCTAGTAGTTCTTAAAACTTTGGCTAAAAACAGTTTCTTACCGGAGATATCTTTCCACTGTTTCTTATACTGGAATTTAGATCTCATAAGATCTATTACGGATGGTGTACCATCTGTCGACAGATAATTTTCATTTAATTTGATGGATAAAAGTTATTGTTATTTTTAGATTTTTTTTAAATACTTGGTTTCCTTATTTATAAAAGTAATGAAATTAAATTTGTCATTAATTATTGTTGTAACAATGCCAAATTCATAAATCAATGGAGAAGGTAGCACGTGTGTCTCTTTAACATTAATATGTTTGTATAAACGTGGTACTTTTTGATTATTGTACTTTCTTAATTGAAAATCATTGAATTAAAGTGACCTTTGATAGAAGAACATGAATAATTTATTAAACCGTTGACTGCGAGATGAATTAATGTTTCTGCATTCAATATTATTTATAAACTTCTGTAGCAGTGTTAAATGTTTTTTTGAATTACTGTTGCATAATAGTTAGTTATCTATTTCAATAACAATTCAAATCCATTATATGCGTAAGAAATTTGATACAATATCAGCGAAAGTACACTAATAAACGACAAAAAGACAAACACATGATTAGATAATTAAACGACATTTAGTATTATAAGCGTTTGTTTCATTTGGATTTAAACGCTGTAAAATCATAAATCAAGATATGCAACAAAGAAAGGTCGACGGTTAACAATTTCAACCGTATTCGTTTTTACGTAACTTAATCTGTTAACGATTGAACGGGATAAGATCTATTGTAATTCATTAAGTTGGTTTTAAGCTACTCCAATAAAATAATTTAACAGCATGGTATTATAACCATAATATAGTCATTGCACATCACAGTACTTTAGTACGGAGTATGTATAATAATGTAATGTATATATTATAATAAAACGTAAGCCACTTTGTTGCTTGTACACACATGAGTACTACCGCACACGTATATCGACATATGTACACACTATTTGTGTGTACGCGATATTAAATTGAAGACACATTAATTTAGACAATTTAGCATCATTGCATAGAAACCCATTGAACGTGTCCGTTACTACCGTCTCGTATGAGATGTGTATAAAGAGACAATTTCTAAATAAAATGTTTAGAAATAAACACTATGTAGTGTGGAAGATTAGACAGTGATAATGGCGTCTAACTATTTTAGTTCGTCGAAAGCTTACTCTTTTTTTATTTGCTACGAAATTAATATGGCCACCTAAAGCATAATGTGTTTTTAAGTTATTTACAAAAATAAAACAGATAAATTTTCATTTAATTTGTCTAAAATTATTTCTGATTTATTTTCGTCGTATCTTATGTCTATTAACAAATATTGTGGGGTCACGACATTTTATAACTCATCTCCTTCGTACTGGCTTTTAAAAAAATATTAAATTATAAATAGATATAAGAGTAAAGAAGAAATGGTAATATTATGACTTTCGCCTTTCTAAAGAGTTTTTATCCAGTTGTTTCGTTTGCCTAAAACACTCGGTTCTCAAGTGTATTTTATAGAAATTATATGACATTCAATAAAACCAATTTAAAAAATGTATTTTTGTTTGCAGATGAAATATTTTAGACATTATAATTGTATAAGCAATTTTGTCAATCGTACGGGACCAGTAAAACTGCATAGAAAAACATGATTTTCAGCTGTTCTTTCACATGTATTATTATTTTAAACAATTTAGTTTTTTTACTTGTATAAATCAACAAATTAAATAGTAAAATGTCTCCGGTGGAAAAAGAACAAACACTCACGTCGAGCTCGATAGGAAGTTCGTTGAACAAAATCCCACATTCACAATCTACTCCTGGTGTATCAGGTTCAAAAACTCCACCGACGACGCCTCGTAGAGGCGGAAAAATGCTCAATGTACGCGTGCAAATGCTTGACGACTCTGTTACTCTATTTCAAGTGCAAGTTTGTATTACGATTAATTTTAGTTGTCTAATAAATCAAATTTCGTGTATAATATTTATACATATATGTATATATAGATTAAAGCTGATGGGTCAGTATTATTTGAACAAGTGTGTAAACAGCTTAATTTGTTAGAAGCCGACTATTTTGGATTGGAATATCAAGAAGGTTCTACTAAGGTATGCAAAATTTTAGGTTAATTTGATTTTAACTACTAAATTTTTTTATTTAAACCATGAATACATGTTATATAGCATTGGCTCGATTTAGAAAAGCCTTTAAATAAACAAATAGGACTTTCATTAGTTGAACCCTTGATGAGGTTTTGTGTGAAGTTCTACACACCTGATCCTGCTCAACTCGAAGAGGAATATACTAGATATTTGTTTTGCCTTCAAGTGAAAAGAGACTTAGCACAGGGGCATATGCAATGTAATGACAATACAGCTGCTCTTATGGCTTCTTACATTGTACAAGGTTGGTAATAATTAAAAGAATTGTAATTCATTTTGATAATATTTCTAATTTTTAGCTGAATGTGGCGACTATTCAGCTGATGATTATCCAGACCACACTTATTTGTCATCCCACAAATTTGTTCCTCATCAAGATAGAGAAATGGAAATTAGAATTATGGAAAATCATAAAAGACATATGTAAATTTTTCATTGTTATATTTTTATAAACATTATAAATTGTATAATGTTTATAATTTTTAATTATTTTAGAGGACAATCACCAGCAGAAGCAGATTTAAATTTACTTGAAACAGCTCGTAGATGTGAATTATATGGGGTGAAAATGCATTCAGCAAAGGTAAATGATTGTTTAATTATTATTATTATTCTAGTTATTATATTTCTAATTACTTACTTTTAATTTTAAGGATCCAGAAGGTGTACCATTAAATCTTTCTGTAGCTCATATGGGTGTATTAGTGTTTCAAAATTATACCAAAATAAATACATTTTCATGGGCAAAAATTAGAAAATTGAGTTTTAAACGTAAAAAGTTTTTAATAAAGTTGCATCCTGAAGGATATGTTAGTATATTTGTACATATTTATAATTGTATGAATTACATTATTTAATTATATGTAAATATTTAGGGTTACTTCAAGGATATTGTAGAATTTATTTTTGAAACAAGAAATGATTGTAAAAGTTTTTGGAAAAAATGTGTTGAAAATCACGGATTTTTTAGATGTTTTACTGTTAAACGTTTACCTCGACATAGAACTAAGGTGCTAAGCAGAGGATCATCATTTAGGTTAGTAATTCAGTATAATTATTTTTTAATTTTAATTTAGTTTAAACTGTAATTATGAATTACAGGTATAGTGGCAAAACACAAAAACAAATGGTAGAGTTTGTAAGAGAAAATTTTGTTAAGCGCCAAACATTCCAAAGGTTTGTTTTTGATTTATTGGCTGTATTATTATAATAAAAGCTATATTTAAATCATTTTATTAAAAAAAAAAAAAATACTATTCAAATTTTAAATTATTATTTTTGTAGTAAGATACACATAACATCAAGACTAGCTTGGTTGTTAAATTATTTTAAAGCATGCAACACAATTTAGATTTAGAGAATAAAATCTTATTTTTGCTCACATTATTTACAATGAAAGTGGCTCCAAATTTTTTTAGCACATCAGAAACAAATTGTTTTATATCATATAGCTCAACTAAAATAATTATTCAGTTCTAGATTAGAGCTTATATGTTTATTTTTCTTATTTTATAGATTAATAATAAATATAGTTTGAGACAAAAATAATATATCAAATAAATCTCTGCAACCAAATATTACTTGATAACAAGGGTATTTTATATTTTACTTTTAAAGCTACTCATTGCAAAAGATTATCAAAATCATTTGATTGTATACTTAATGAGTTTAAATATTTCAAATTTATATTCAGTTACAAAATATATTCATTTTAATATTTGTTTTCAAATTTTTCTTACAATTTAACATTACAATGTTTATGAATTTGATTTATATTAAATTGTTATTAACCCTCTATATTTGTTGTTTTTAAAATTTTTTCTCAGTATTAAATTACTTCAAGTAAATTAAATTATTTTTTACTTTATAAGTAAACATAATTTATTTTGAATATATGATAAATTTAATCCACAAATTTTTCATTATCTAGTATTTTAATAGTGTGTATTCTTCATGTATTTAATTAAAGTTTCTGATGTTGTTAAAAATGTAATTAAGGTTCACTTTCATTGTTAAAATAGTATTTCTTTACACCGGTGTTTGCCCTGTTTCTGCCAACAGGTCTCAATCATTTCGACATACTGGAATGTCGCATTCTACTATATCAAATGTTGGTTCCAGTATTTCAGCACATCCTTTATTGCCCCTCGGTATGTTTTTGCTATTAATAATTTTTAGTTAGCTTACTTTATTTTAGGATTTTACTTTTATTATATTGGAGCCACTTAAAAAAAAAAGTAGTAATGTAATTTTTATAAAATAATGTGTAATAGTCAATAATTTTGTTTGAATAATTAATGAATTATTATTTTGATAGTGGTATTTTCATATATAAACTACACTTTGCTAGGGGTAAAGGATTGATATTAGGGATGTTAGATGATGAGATTTTAGGGATTAAGAAGGGATAAGGAGGATAGATCCCCTTCCAGAATCTAAAATATTTATATGGTAAAGATACAATTTTTTTCATTAAAATCAAATTTCCATATAACAACACTCTAATTACGCCGTTGCATTTTATTAAATTAAGATGATTTACTTATTTTTATTTTTTGAAGAATTATATTATTATATCAAATTTAATTTAAAAATTATATTTTTCAACAACTGAATTCAGATATTGAAATATTAATATTTTATTATAAACCTTTATTTTTTCATTTACACAGAGCCTATAAAATATGATGTTTAGATAACTGAACTTTTTAAAAACAATTTTAATACTATTTCATTTTAAATAATAATATAACTATACATAATATAGTAAATTAAATATTCAATATTAAATAAAAATTGAATCATATCTTTTTTTATATATTTTGACTTTATTTTGTCTTCATGGTGAAAATAGCTACCGTATTTAAAAATATGCTATTTTTGTGTTAAAATTTTTGGTTTTGTTTTTTATTTTATTATAAGGGGATTACACTGATTTTTATAAATATTATATCAATCTAATTGACATAGTATAAAAAGTTAAACATATTTAAATTATTTTGTTTCTTTGAAGTCGAGAAAAATAACTTTAAAATTTGAACTAGCTAAATTTCCATTTTTATTAAGTGACGAATGCGAGGTACAATTTCTGAGATGGTAACAGTGTGGCACTGAATTTTTTCTTAATTCTTTTTGAGTTAGAGAAGAATGTTTAACTCATTTGATTTTTATCTCATTAAGATTCAATAACTTCAATAAATATCATGGATACCATTATTGTAGTCTCCTCTCGTGAGAAGAAATTCATATTAATATTATTTTACTATGTGGTATTTTTTTGTAGATATCATTTATTTTCTCAACTCTCATTTGAGCTACTTTTTGTACAAATTTTTTTTTTTTAATTAAACACTATCTACAGATTTGCATCGAATCGTTTTTTATGATAGTGATTTTAATCACTGTCAGATATCATTTATACTGGACCCAACTATGCATTGATCCCACTGTGCCGCCACCCCACTGTGCTGGGTTGTTTTTTGTTAAAATATTAATGATAACACAAGTTCTTAATACTTAGCAACATAATTTAAAATATAATATATATTTTATAAAACACTATCCTAAAAGAAATATCATGTGTCTTCAGAAATATATTTAAGTAGGAGAACCTCAAAAAGTAATATGGTATCACATATAAAACTGTAATTGACATTATAATTATATTGTGGTGATCAGGTAAATAGCCCTAATTTAAAAAAACAAAATGTTTAGAAATTCTGACTCAATTTGTGTTAGGTTAAAATTATTTGACCCATAGATTTTACAATTTTTATTAACTCATAGGTATAATAAAAACCATTTTTCAGATTTTTAGATATGTAATATTTTTTATAAACACTATACTATAATGATTTTTTGTATGAAAATTTTAATATATATAGAATTGATATAATTGTAATTAAAAGAATTTTGATAATTTATGTTGATATTATATCATATACCTTAAAAAATTGAAAATAGTTCACAAAAAATAATAATGACTTTATCTTAAGTCTACTAGGTAACTTTTGATTTTTTAAATATTGTTTACTTTTTCAAGCATGGCTTTCATATTTTTTTTGCATTTTAAATTATGATCATTAAAAATTACTATAACATTCTTTATTAAAATTCCAAAAGTAATATAACTCTTAGTTGAATCATTATTTATCAAATTTACAATAAAGGGAAATAATTTTTTTTTAAATAGTGGATTACTTAAACATTTAAAAACTGTTGGTCGTTTTATATAATATATAAAACGACCAACAGTTTTATATATTATATTATAATATCTTATATTTATATAATAAAAATTGATCATTAGTGGCTAATATAATTTAAAATTAAAGATATATTTGAAATATTTTATCTATTTTTTAGCAAATTCGGAAGCTACGAGCCTAGCGGGTTCTCTGAGTCCGAACGTAGTCCATCTCCAAAGATTATCTGGGGAGGTATTGAATGCTCAAGCTGCACATCCGACGACAGTGATGACGACCACTTCGGACATAACATCCATCACTTCGTCCCAGCATTCGTACAGCGTCAACGATCCAGGTCAGAGGCATTTCGCCGCAAACAGCATTATTATGTACCCAAACATCGTTTGCAATAGACCATGTACTCGAGTTCATGTTATTAGGTCTAATTATTACGATGATGAATATGATACTGATAAATCATACACATCATCAAAACATTCTGAATCTTTTAGGGACATTAGGTGCCAATCTAGTCAGACTGATTTGATACTTATAGATAAATCAGCACCCTCTCTCTACAGTTGGCAACGCAGCTCAAGTTGTAAAGATTTTAATTTACCCAAAGTTTGTCCTGAGGTCTCATCTCCTGCTAATATTGATGAAATTAATTTATCTTTTGATAGAAATAGTTCATTAGATAATCCAATTACTAAAATATTTTCTAGTAGTTACCCAGGTACTACTTCTAGTTTATCTACTGAAAGTGGTAGTGATCGTAAAATAGAAAAATTGGGTATTATAGTAAAGGCTATTGATCCAGATGACTTATACCAAGATGATGTCAGTCAAGATTCATACGAATTGTTAGAAAAAGAGGAAGTATTTGATATCCATGTAAGTGATGAAGATGAAATTTTCTATGTTGATAGTGATAACAGAGAGCACTCTCAAGAGATAGAAAAGCGGCTGGGTTACATGGAACCTAAATATAGAGATATCGAGTTTAATAAGTTTAATGAAATCTGTAAAAAAGAATTGGCTTCTAGAAGTAAAGAGCAAATATTTTCCAACCATACAATTCAATTCATAGCTTTTGAAAACAAATCTCAAACAGCTGCTCACCTTCCAGTGGAAAGAACAAAAAGTGATTCTTATATGAGTGTATCTAAGCCTAAATCACACAAGTTACTTCACCAGAAGTCTATAGATTTGACACCAATAGAGTCTTTTGAACCTATTGTCTCTAACTTTGGTATGGATATATCCTACACATTACATAAAAGACACACTCATGAAAAAGGCTCTCCTGAAAGAGATAGTGTTGCTAAGTGGTCAGGAAATCATTTTTCTCAGGATTCTGGTTTGTCATTATCTATGCAATCTACAAGTAATTTAAGTGTTGAGGATGATAGTCCAATTGATCTTGATACTCTTCTATTAAACAAGTATCATGATACTGTAGTTACCACCTCAAAAAGTTCAGAATTAATTCAAATGGCTTACAAATCCGTATCACTCAATGAATCTGAAGTAAGTAGTGATAGAAATCTTACAGATGATAAGCCAAACAAATTAAAGTCTTGTCATAGTGCTGAGAGTATGTCACTAAAAAGTAACAATAAACAAATTCATTATCAACCTTTAAGTGCAGATACTGCAAATCACAGGAAGTCAGTTGAAGTTATCAAAATCAATTCAACCGAAAATATTGATTCTAAACCTGAAGACATAATAATTGTGGAATATAGGGGTGGTAACAAAGGAAAGAAGCTAGCTAAAGATGAATTAAGATTTAATAGGGATTCTAAGAGTTCTAGTTATGGTGGGAAAATTGTAGAAAAAAATATTTCAAAGTCTCCCTCTAATATATTTAGAACATCTGCCATAACATTAAAAACCACTTCAGTTCTAGTATCTAATAATAATAAGGTTCACATTGTACCTAATGTGAATATTGTAGAAGAGTCATCAAACAATAGGTCACCAATAGATTATAACTCTCTTCCTGACATAGTTTTCAATTCTGTACAATGTTCTTCTGTATCTGAAAAAGCAGACAAGAATATTATTGAACTAATAGGGTCTAAAAATAATATTTTATCTAAAAAAGATGAGGAGCAAGTTGTTCCAAATGAGGTAATGAATACCAATGAAATACATAGTATGTCCACTTTAAAATTGAAAAATGCATTGTCCAATTTGGTTTCAGGAACTAATAATCCAAATTATTCAGAACAAAATATTTCTGAGTCCAAAACTGCTAAAATAAACCGATTTCAGACCTTGGCATCAAAAATTTCAGCATTTGATGTTTTTGCTAATACTGTTAAAATTACTGAAAAATCTAGTGCAGAGTTACCTAGAAAAAATGTCCCTAATAAAATGTTACAGAATCGTGAAAAGTCACCTGTACTTTACGCACGACTAGGTTTATCTGATGGTTCTATGTTTCCTACTGTTAGTGGGGTACAGTTGTCAGTACAGCGTCGCGCCATATCACTTGACTCTCCTGTTGTATCATTACATCATCTACCATTGGCTACATCGTTCTCAAGTAAAGATGATACTGTTGCAGATATAGAAGATAGTGCTAAATTAGAAATTAAGCCAATTATATGGTGGAATGATAATGAAGTGGATCAAATGATAGTTGAGTGTATAGCTGAAATAGTAGAAATTACTGTGGCTAATCAAGTAGAACAGAAAAGAGATAGTGGTAGCTCATTATCACCTGATAAGACGTCTGAAAGACGACGATCTAGCACACGACAAGAGCGCTTAGATTCATTTAAGAAATTAAAAAATTTTGAAATTGAAATTTGGGATTCAGATGAATTAAATGCTGCTGCTTTAATAGATTATGAGCATAAAGATTTTGAAGATGAAACATTTGACATACCTATTGAAGTTACACCTATAGAATGCTCAAAATTAGTTAAAATATCTGATACAATGATTGCATCTCCTGATAATAATTCGGTATCTTTAGACGAATCTGGCAATGGTAGTAGTGAAGAGATACCTTTCAAAGAGTTAAACTCTCAGAGTTCAGATGACACAAAAAAAACAGCTCGAAAGAATAGTGAGCACAATACTTTTTCAGATCTAATTAAAGCTGTAGAAAAAAACAATCTTGATGATAAATTAAATGAACCACTAACTCCAGGAAGTGAAAGTAAAGTTGAAGTTGATCAGAAAGTCCAAAATCAAAAGAACTATCAATCTTTTTTGTCTACTGAAGATATTATAAATCACAGTGAGCTCATTAATAAATTAGGCTGTATCGAAATTCCTCCTAAGCTGGAATCAAAGCGTCATAGACTATCTGTTGAGAGTTCTGGAAGTTCAAGTTTAGATGATCCACTTCATATAGATGATTTAAGTGGTAATATAGCTGATGAAGAAGATGTTACATCCAGCCCTTTGCCTCCTTTACCTGACTCAACCTATAGTGGTGGTATGTACCTCATTGGATATGGAATGTACGGTATGTCAAGAACCTTATCAAGGATCAGTGAGCAAAGCACATCAGAACGTTCTGAAATTGATGATGAATTATCAACTAAACACTCAACTCAATCAGCATCTCTTGACGATTCAATTTTATCTAGTGACTACTGTCAACCTAGTTTATGTTCTGATGCTATGGATAGTCTACCTGATTTACCTCCATTGCCTGAAGAATATGCATTCGATATACCACCCCCCGCTGTTGATGACGTAGAATGGCCATCTCCTAAGAGTGAAGAAAAAACTCCAATTCCACAGCAGCAACAAAGAAATTTAGAGGAAGATGAAGATGATGCTAAAACTATTCACAGTGATGATGAACCTGATAAAGAAATAGATGTTACAAAAGAAAAATCTAAAGAAGTGGAAGCATTGTATAGATCTCATTATACAAATAAACCTAGGTTATCACTTGGTGATGATACGTCAGCTGGAGTGTCCACCTCAGAATTTTCTAGCAATGCCACTATAGTATGTCCATTTGATAGTGTGTGTCCCCCATCAGATTATTTGATAAGAGAAGATTATTCAGATGAGTATGATTCACCATTTACTGAGGAATCTGATGAGTCCAAATTTTATCGACCACCTGCTCATTTGTTTGAACTTCCCAAGACTACTAATATTCGTATCAAAGGACGTTTATCACATGGGCCAGCATCACTAGATGTTACTACTAATACATCAAAATTTAAAGGATCTACTAAAACTCGTTGTCACTCTTATTTTTCTCTAGCCCGGAGTCCACCAAGTGATGCATCCTCATCATCACTTGATGCTCAAGATCCTTTAAATGTACCTAATACTATTCCTAGAGCTTCCAAGAAAAGACGGTACACACATACTCTTAGAAGAAAAATCAAAGCTATACAAATTACTAAAGTTTAAAATGTTAGAGAGAGAGGTGGTAAATACAAAAAGTATTTATTTAACTATAAAAAGCAATTTTTCAATTTGTCTTATTTGTTATAAGTATTAAATTTTGTAAAGTTTACCAAATTTGTGTTTTGAATAATTGCTGTGCAAAATGTGAAGGCAGTTTAGTGATTATGATGTAATTTATTCCCATATAATATTTTTACTACCCCTCTAATCCTTATAATTAAATTTATTCAAAGGATTTTCATCAGTTTGATTCAAGGTTGTGATAAAAATACAATTTTACATTTGAATTAAAATATTTGTTAAACTATATTTTTAAAACAGGGTTGTCACTTAATGGAAACCTTTATTGTTGAGGTATATGTAAACTAAATATAGGGTATATTGTCTATTGAAATTATTGTCATTCATTTTTATTGATCAAAAAAGTTAAAAGTATTAACATAATTCATTTTTTCGTAATAACCTTCATTTGAAAAAATTAAAAACATATTTTATCTTATAAGTTTTAAATTTTTAAAAGTCAATATTTTTTTTTTATATCATTTGAAAATACACTTACAGATATTTTAAATAAATTTACCTTAATTTTTTTTGTTCTTATTGTAATTTTGGATTTGAAGTAACTAACTATGAATTAGCATGATTTGCCAACTTAATATTGGCTGTAGGTATAAGTCAGTACAATTTGTAAATGGGAATAAGTATAGTCTAAATTGATTTATTATTGAACCTATATTATATGCACAATATTTTAGTGATCATTTTGTGAAACATAATTGAATTTTTAAAAATTCAACTATATAATTTACTAGTAATTTTTTTCAAAAAATAAATTCTTATTTTTAATTTTGATTTATTTGTATCTTAATTCATTATGTTTATTTTTTTGACAGCCATTAAGTATTATCATGTCCAATTTAATAATGTTTTGTCGTTTAAATTATACATATTAACTTCGTTAAGAATTTTATTTCAATATTTATATTAAAAAATAATTGAGGAAATTAAAAGAAAAACTATTAGATAAAAAATTGTGACAACCCTGTAATAGTTCATATAGATATTCACAATATGTTAAATTTTTAAAATTAATTAGAAAGTACAGTTAGTTATGAAATAACTTGTGTAATGTATTATTGATTTATGTAAGGTATCAAAATTAGTAGAATATTTTTATTTATGCAGTTATTGTATTTATTTGATGAGAGTTTAAATCTTTGATATTCCATGAAAATCATGTAAAATTATATGCATTTTCATTTATGAGTATTACTTAAAACATGTACTTAATTTTATGTTGCCATGAAAATAACAATTAAGCTATCATGATATAAATATAAATTTAATAAATAGGTAGAAATAGACTGATAATATATACATTAAATATTAGTAACAATTTTTTCTATGATGTTGATCATGAGCAAACTTAAATTTTTTCAGTATTAACTGTTTTATGAATACTAAGGTTAGTTAATCCAAAAGCTTAAATTTAGTTTTCTTTTCAATTTTACTACAGCAATCATACCTTTACAATTTATCTAAGTCATTAGAAGAGTAATAATATTGTCTTCCTTTTGTACATTATGATTATTATTATTTTAAAATTTACATCATCGGTTCAATGCAATTTTGCAATAATATTGATTAATAAAGTATACTAATGACTGTGGTGTAATATAAGTTAAAAACACTAATTATTAACAATTTAAGAATAAAAGTAATTAATAATAAACTTAAGTGCCACAAAAATTATAATAGAAAAATTTCTTACACATATTTAAAATAAATTTACCTTCAGCAAATACTGTATGCTCAATATATATTGACTATGCTAGTATAATACATAAGTATTTTTTTTGTGGCTTTAAGTTTTATTACTAACATTTCTTGTTTTCAATTGATATTAATATATATATAATTTTCAATTAAGTTTCAAGTTTAGAGTATGATGATTAATTTTATTTTGACCAGAAAAATATTTTATTGATAGTATTGTTGTTCATACTAAGTATGTTTTGTTAATAATTTAAAATAATGTTTAGTTTGGTGAATTATTTAACAATTATTGTAGGTGATTTTTTTATTTCTTCAAACTTTGTTGGATTTATAAATTGTGTATAGTATAATACAAATGTTTATTTCAATGAAACCACTATTAAATTGATTCTTATACGGATTTTTTTAATTGAATATCAATAGATCTCTTTGTGAATTTTTAAATAAAATGTCTATTGTATTATTATATTTTGACAGTTATTTTGTAAATAAAAAAATTAATTTTATGAAGAAATAAATGATGATAAATATTTAATATCTGCATTAGTGATTTTACTCTAATGATATAAATTTTAAATATATTTAGTCAAGTCTGTTTTATTACATACCATTGGAAAGTCTGTAAGTTAAATATTTTAATAAAATATTTCAAGAGCCTAAATCTAGTACCATTCCACTATTTTTTATTCTAGTTGTAGTGAATTCATTAAAAAGATGAGCTTTACATTGGTTTTATTTTATCTGTCATGGTCATTGTTATATTTTTATTTTGATATGATTATATTATTAATTTTATTTTTTAATTGCTATTACAAATTGAATATAGTTTTAGTTAATTCTATTTACACAACTCACTAATTTAATTCATAATTTTTAAGCATGCTTTTGTTTTAAATTTAATTTAGTAAATTCTAGTTAAATAAATTTTGAATATATATTTTAGGTGATACACCTGAAGAAGTAGATTCGCCATTTAAAAAAATGAATGGCTCAACATCTTGTATTTCTTCATCAATTATTAAAGAAAATGGATTAATAACAGCTGCGTCTTCTACACCAAAAAATCATGTATCTAATGGGTCAGTAGGAAATGTATGGTAAGTAAAATTGTATAATATAATGTCAATTGGTTGTATTATTTGTTCTAATGCACAGCTTAGTTAACAATAAAATGATATTGTTGTATTAGATTTTCAAAGAAAATAAGATAAAATTTATTTTAAAACATTGAGTAATTTTATTAATTATTTAAATTTAACAACTAATAATTTAAAAAAATATTTATAAAATGTTAATACAATATTTGGGGGTTTATTTAAAAAAAGAAACACATTTATTTTATTATTATTATTATTATTAGTATTTTTTATTATAATCCACTCAATACTTACAGAAAAATAATAATTTAAATATATTTTTTTTTTGTTACCTCTAGTTACACATTATTCTTAAATTATTAACTTTGTAATAAATCGTTATTTGTAGATTATATATAAAAAGTTTCAAATGTTTGAATCAATACTCATATATAATATATGAGGGATTACAAATACAGGTAGCTAATTGGTTTTTTATGATGTTTCTATTACAGTAGCGGAGTGTTATTGTCAATTATGACTAGCAATAGATATGCTTTCTGTATTGCCAGTTGAGGTAATTATAAACTCATAACAATGTTCCTTACTACCATTGATAATAGATGTTGCATATCTGCAAATATTGACATCACAAAAAAACCAATTAATTCAAAAATTAAAAATGTTATATCTAATAAACAAATAATGTTAAGTTAAAATTCCAATGCCATTTACTATTATACTAAAAACTCAAAAATTTTATTAAACTCAAAATATGAGTTCTCATTAAAAAAAACAAAGTTGAAACCCTGATAAGGGATGAACTTAAAAAGTATTACATAGCTAATAATTCAAAAATAATATGTCACTAAAAATAACAAAAAAAAAAAAAATTATATATTTTGTGTAAGCAGTTGAGTGGGTTATAACAAAAAAATCACTCTGTAAATATATATAGTAACCATATGATAACTATATCTTCCACTTAAATTTTTGGCTAGCGTTAAAAGAATCACTCTGTATTCAATTTAATATATATATATAATTGGACCTACCTTGAAAGAATTGTTTACTTATTCTAAAGAGTTGCAATTTGTTTTATAAGTTTTTACCAGTGAAAATTTTTAATTATTATTTTAGTGATGACCGTTATGGAAATAATAATATTACTTCAATAATTTCTACAAATCGCGAAGAAAATTCTTTAAATCATGTAGCAATCAATACGGAGACAAAACGTAAAGTATGTGTTTTTAAATTATTTTCTGAATTTTCAGTTGATTATTCATTATAAATTTTTATTTTGTTTTAGAGACCGACTGATAGAGCATATTTTATTACTAAAGAAATTCTTATGACTGAACGCACTTATAGAAAAGATTTAGAAGTTATTAATTTTGTAAGTATTTTATTAATTTGTGTAGGGTTTTTTTTAGTATTTGGTTTTTACATTTCTTCTTATATAGTGGTTACGTGATGAAATGAGTAAGGAAGATGATGAAATAGGACATATTGAAGCTGTGAATATGTTATTAAATTTAATTGATCCGATTTATGATGCACACTCTTTGTTTTTAAAAGATGTTGAAATGAGGTTGAATAATTGGGATCCACCATGTATTGCAGATGTTTTGTTAGAACATTTTAAAAATTTAAATGTAAGATAGAAATTAATTTTTTTATTTTTTCCAAAAATCATTTATTTTAATTTTAATTGTTATAGTTGTATGACCATTATTTGGATGAACATTTGACAGTACTTGAAAAAATTGACCGTGCCTACCGTACCAATAAGAAATTTGAAATATTTTATAAAGATTTTGAAATGGAGAAAGTGTGTTATTTACCTCTCTCTGCATTCATTTTAAAACCTCTTCAAAGATTACTACATTATTCTCATCTTTTGGAAAGTAAGTAAATCAATAAATCAATCATAACAAAGGTAATAATTGTATAATTTGACAGAATTAATAAGGCATTATGGTCCTTCACATTTTGATTATAACAATTGCCTAGAAGCAAGGAATATGTTATTAAAAGTCACTAAAAGATTACCCAGTGCACTTAGGAAATCTGTAAGTCACGTCCTATTTTAAGCAGTGTCTTGATTTATTTATTAATTTTATATTTTTTTTTAGGAAAATTTTGTACAGTTGTGTGAACTTGAAAGAGATATGGTTGGAATTGATACACTTCATATTCCTGATCGAGAGTTTATTAGACAAGGATGCTTGACAAAATTTTCGCAAAGAAAAGGTTACCAACAGCGCATGTTTTTTCTGGCAAGTTATAGCATGTTTTAATAATATCTGAATTTTATTTTTTTAGCAGCTCTGTCTGTGCGGCATGCTATCCATACATAATAATCAATGTACAAAGGGTCTACATTATTTAAAAGAAACTATTTTGCATTGTAAAAATTTTTTATAATATAGTTTCTTATTGAACTATCAAATTATAAATTTTTCTTTTGTAGAATATTACCCTGTGCTCCTATACAATATCAAATTTTACAAAATTATTATTAAGTTTTACTTAATTATCATTCTTTACATTAGATAAATATTTTTAACGTTTCAATATAGCATAATCATATAGGATATATTCTAAGGGTATTTTAGATTAAAGTAAAAACTACAATTGTATGTACGTGATAATAGCCTAAGGTCAATTACAAATCATTTTTTTTCTTCTATTTTTCAAAAACTAATTAAAATAAATTTTTAACATTGTTATTATGATCAAAGATTTATTAAATAAAATATTGAACAAAAATTGCGATTTTTAATGTAATTATTTAAAAATGGAATTTTTAGATTATGTTTGAAGCATATTTTTTATTAAATATCACTAATAAAAAATTAAATCATTTTTTTTTTTTTTTTTCAAAATTTCAAAATAGCAATTTTTAGCCCTTTTTCTACAAAAACTTTTGATGAGAAGGAAACAATTTTAAGACATAATTATTATGGATTGCATTCACCTGTGCTACATACCCACTATATATAAAGTGCTTGTAACTTAATAAGCACTAGTCCTAAAATTGTTATCAACCTATCAAAATTTTTTGTAAAAAGAAGATTAAAAATGGCATTTCAAATTTAAAATTAAAAAAAAAATTGATTTATTTTTATTATTATTGATTTATTATAAAAAATATCCTTTAAACATAGTCTAAAAAAGCAATAATTATTAAAAAAAAATTCAAAAATGATATAATTGTTCAAAAGTTATAATTGTCAGTTGAATGTGAGATATTCTATATACATGTATGAATGTATATATGGATATTAAATTGTAAATTAAAATCTCAAACAATTAACAAAATGTAGTATTACTAATTTCCATCAAGTTTTATTGATTAAAAAGATCTTTGAATGTTTAATGTATTAATTAATTCTGTAATTAATATTTAAAGTACTTTATCAGTAAAAATAATTTTGGGTCTTTATTAGGGCTTAGTTATCTTCATAGATCTTTATATGATGTAAGGTGTTATTAACTACATTTTATAAATATTTTCAAACAATTTTTTGATAACTCAATAATATTATGACAAATATAAAGATTAACTAATTAATTTTTTTTTTAAGTAGTTTTAAAATAAAATAATTATTATGTTAAATATATTATACTTTTTATTTATTTTAATAAGATAGTTAAAAATGTAATGGAGTTGTCCACAATGAATATCATATAAACATGATTAAACACTGAATCAGTTCTTTATTATTATTATATTAATAATTTTTCTTTATATGTTATAATTAAAACAAAATATTTAAATAATAAATTTTTACAATGATACATTTTTAAAAAAATTAAAATATGAATCTATAATATCAAAATCAAGTGTTTAGAGTGAATGAGTTTGTTGTCTCTTTGAGAGCTGTAATTACAAAATTTACACTATTTAATACATCAAATGATCATCTTTATTGGTTTATGTTTTATGACAATATTATAGCCATCATTATATTATTATGAAATATTTTAATAATTGTGGAAAAAAATAATGTTGGCTCAGCCTTAATCTTTATTAATAAAATTAATATATATAATATAATAATGTCATTACTATATTAATACCAATGAACTATTATTGCTATTTATATGATATCAACAATAAGTGCTTGAATAATTAAAAATTATTTTTAGTTATAAAAAAATTAAGTTTGCTGTATTAATACTTTTTTTATGTATTTACATTTAAAATTTTGCCGCACAGTCTTCAATTAAGCTTAAATATAACTTAAAGCTTTTAAAAGTGTTCAGCTTAACATTAGTGTTGCGCTTTTGTGCATGCCAATATAGATGTCTGATATGTTGTTTTATACGGCAAGGGTTGGCCACATGTTCCGCATTCATGGCCAGGTGCCTCTCAATGATCTGGTTGTTGAAGAAAGAACTGACAATCCAACACAATATTCATTTTCTATTTATTCAAACAATAAGTAATATAAAATTATTTTTTATAAAATACTGTAAAGCTTTATTTTTAAATTGAAATTTTTAGGGTTATCACTATTGCGGCCAGTAGTCAAGAAGAAAAAGATAAATGGTTGGAGGATATTGCGTGTAGTGTACAGAAGTATAAAGGAGAATGTACTACTAATATTGAACCATCAAATATTTACCTGAGTTTAAAATCGTGTAGTAAGTTTTTACTCTACCTATATATTTGAGTTTATATATATATTTTAAATATTGAACTATTATAGATTCATCTGATGATATGATGAGTAATAATGGTGATTGTAATGGTGATTTATCTGAGATAAACAATAAAACACCAAATACTGCACAAAGAAACAATACAACTGTTCATGTCTGCTGGCATAGAAATACAAGTATTGGGATGGCTGATCACTTGAAGGCCATCGAGGTTTAAGTTATTATTATAAATATGTTGTCTGTTTTTTTAACTGTATTTTTTAAAACTTTTTAGAATCAATTAAGTGGATTTTTGCTTCGTAAATTTAAAAATAGTAATGGTTGGCAGAAGTTATGGGTTGTTTTTACAAATTTTTGTTTATTTTTTTACAAATCTTTTCAAGATGATTCTCCATTAGCAAGCCTACCTTTATTGGGATACAGTATATCCAAACCAAATGAAAAAGACTCTATTCAAAAAGACTTTGTTTTTAAATTACAATTTAAAAGTCACATATATTTTTTTAGAGCTGAAAGTGAATATACATTTGGAAGGTATGTGTATTTATTTAAGAGCATAAATAGTTATCCATTTTCATAAAAAATTAGTTTAAATTTTTTAAAAAATTAAAAAATTATGAGTAGTTTTGACTATATAATATTCCAATTTATATTGAGTCACAAAATATTTTCTTTGTATTAATAGCTCCATATTTTCTTAAATCAATATATTGTAACAAGCTACTAAAAAATTATATTTTAGAATCTTTTGAACATTACATTAAATAAAAAATGATCATTTCTTTATTATAATAATCTATGAGGACTTATAGATATGGAAAGAAATATAAAAATATAGTTGAGTTATTTCTTATAGTTTTTATTAAATAACTAATTTTAGATGGATGGAAGTTATTGGAAGTGCAACCCAACATTCAGGTCGTATGAGACTGTTTAGTCGCAAAGATAGTGAAAACAATTACACTGATTTAATAGTCAAGTAAAATTTGTAATCAAAATTTTTAATTTGTGAGATAATATTTTAGTAAATTAATTTTTATATGTTAAAAAGGGGTTATTGTGTTATTAATCCATTCTTTTCATCTCTCTACTACACTAATACATCCAAGATTTAAAAAATAATTGTTTTTTTATTAAATTAAATTCCTTAATTTTATTCGTCACAATTTATTTATTTTACTATTTATTTATAAAATGTACTTTCAAATATTACGAAATATAAAATTATTTTTTTACAGTTTTTAGATTATTATAAGTATAATATGATGATAACTTAAATAAATTTTAATAAGTAATAATAAGTAACATTTTGGTGTAAAATATTATAACTATTATTATGATTATTATTTATTCCATTTTTTGTCCAATATTATGTTCTAAATTATAATTTTTATTGTATGAAAAATTTGTTCTTTTATACCTGTTGAATAAAACAATTTCAAATATTTAAACTTGTATTGATTTTATAAATATTTTTTTTATAACTAAATTTTTTTAAATTTCTAGATATTCATTGCTGTTGGAATATTCTCTAAAAGTTATATTAATTAAATAATATAATTTTTAAATAAAATTTGAAATATATTTAAATAAAACTATGTTTTATAATTGTTTAACAAACAGTTATGCAAATAAAAAGAGCTCTATATAATTAATTACATAAAAAAAAACATCATTAGCATAAAATGTTTTTAAAGAATATTAATATTCTTTAACGTCCACAATTTTATAAATAAGACTCAAATTATTTCTTCTAAGTTTTTCGTTAGATAATAAGTATTAAATTTCATAAATTTAGAGGAAAATTTTTTTTCATTTTTCATCATTAAATTTAGCACATTATAGAAAATTGTATTTATTTGTGTAAATGTACAAATGTGAGTATATTAAAATCATTAAATTTAATAATAAAAATAACATATAAATTTTAAGAATAAATTAATTTATACAAGCTAAATCATCATTGATAAGTCCTAATATCAAAACTTTACTACATATATAATTATATATAGATTTATTTATAGTCACAGTAATGTTTTAAAAGTAGGACTACATGTGATATTGTATTTTTTTTTTGTTATTATTCAAAAGTATTAATTAGAGAACATTAATAATATTGAATGTATTAATAATACGTAGGACATAAGACTTCTGTAGTTGAGCATTTTAATAATGATGTAAACGCCTTATAACATTACATCTATGTCTATAGATTTATCACCATAAATGTAATCAAATACTGTTTGTTCCATTGTTTCATCTTCTAGATTCTGAGTACTTCTCATAGAACGGTCTGATGAAACTAGGTTTTCTTCACCAAATTCTTCATTAGTATAACGATCACGAATGTCTTTCATTATACAAGACTCCAGTTTTTTATGCTACAACAAAATATAATATTTGATTCTTCTTTATTAGTTTGGACATTAACAATGCTATTACTTTATAACATTTAAAGAAGAACATTGGTCTGACTAATTCTTTGGCAAACTTGTCTTTTCTCTCGTCTGGTACACACATCTATAAAAGCACGTTTAATTAAATGTATTTACATAATGATAATAATATCAATATGTACAAACCGAGAACTGTTTGCAATACTCAATTCCATCAGTCATATCTTGTTTAAGTTCATCAGAAATAGGTAGTCTACGTACTCTCTCGTTCATGTTTTCATAGTCAGGTTCCAGATTATGATTGAGCTGTAGAATCAACGCATTTTTAGTTGTATATTACAAAAATTCAAGACACATACTTACATATCCAAGTTCTTGCATAACACATGTTATATTTCTGATTTTTCCAGACATTTTAGTGGTCAAAGAATCCAATTGGTTTCGGACATCAAATCCTCCAACCCTCTAAAATTATTATTATTTTAATTATCATAAAAAAAAATAGTTAAGTTAGTGATTCAATCTTATTCTACTGAATGAGGAGTACTCAAAAGAGACATTAGAGGATATCGTGGAATGAAGTGCATATTGTTTGCTGACGACATAGTGTTAATAGAAGAAAATAGGGAGGAAATTAATCAAAGGCTAGAGGTGTAGAGATCAGCTCTTGAAGAAAAGGGTTTAAGAATAAGTAGAAGTAAGACAGAGTATATAGAGTACGAGTTTGACAAAGGAGAACACGAGGTAGGTGAAATGAGGAGGTCAGTGACAATAGACGAGGACGTGATTGGAGAGGTGGAAAGTTTTAAGTATTTAGGTTCAGTTGTGCAAAAGAGTGGTGGTATTGACGAGGATGTAAGATACAGAATTAAGTGCTTGTGGTTGAAGTGGAAAGAAGCGTTTTATGCGATAAAAGAATTCCAATGAGGCTGAAAGGTAAATTCTACAAGACTGTAGTGAGGCCAGCTATGATGTATGGTTGGCTGAAAATAGATCAGAAAAAGAGTGTAACAGAGATGGATGTGTGGAGTGATTACAGAAAATAGGATAACAAACGAACATATAAGGAGAGTATAGGTGCAGCGTCAATCGTGGATAAGACGAGAGAAAATAGACTTAGATGATTTGGTCATGTTATGAGGAGAGAAGAATCTGAAGCTGTAAGATAGTTGTAGAAATGAAAGTTAAAGGAAGAAGAGGTAGAGGTATTTTAAAAACCATGACTTTTCAAAAAACAAAATGTTATTGGGTAGTTATAGAATAGTATAATAATAAAATTAATAGTCTTTAAAAATTAAAAATATTTACTAATAAATCATTATTACAAAGAGTAATCATTAAGAAATGAACTTAATGAATATAGCGTAGAATAAAAAGTGTATTATAAATTATTTTATTTTAGTTTGATACTTAAATAATAAATAACTTATAAGTTTTTCTCATTGTACTGTAAAACTTACTGATGTCCGATGAGACGAAAAGAATGGTTGGTAAAATGGTTGGTACATTTGACCTCCAGTCATAGTGGATGCTGACATCATTGGAAAAGGGACTGATGGGTAAGTCGCTTGTTGTATTCCTGTAGGAGATGAAATCCTGGCCAGAAACATATCGTTTGTATTAGCCATAGAAGGATTTGGTGGATAAAATAGTGTATTAGCAACGTATTGAGGCTGTTCTACCATAGACTGCGTAGTCCACGATTTTACAGGTTGTGACGAAAAGTGTGATTGTTGAGAGGATTGTTTCTGAAAAATATTTTAATCTTTGAATACATCTAATTTGAATTTAGAATAAAAATAATACAGAAAAAAAATTTTTTCATAATAAAATGATGAACTGTATTATAGAACTGGGAATCTTATTTCTTTACGGGCCGTATATTCAATTGTTTAGAATTTAGTGAGTCAATATTAATAGGGTTTAAAGTTAGAATTTCTAAGTTATTAATTTAAAACGTTAAAAGCATAATTTTACAACTGTACTTTTTAATATAATTAAAAAAGTGATCAAGTAATTTAATACAAATATACTGTACTGGTATATTATTGTTAAATTTTACTTACAGACAATAGAGAACTATTAAGGTCGTATCGATGGGGGGAGGGCAGTCATTTGCAACGAAAATAATTACACGTTTAAGTTATAATTTGGCATAAGTAGTTGACAGGCTCTGATTTACCAATTTATTGTCTAGTACAATTTAAAATGTTGGATCCCTTAAATAATATATTTAATTCGTATAAGCCAAAAAAGAGATTCTTTATTGCTAAGACGCTTCCTTTTGGGTATTTTTTTAAATTTAACTACACTTGTTAAAATCTTGATGAAGACTGACGATACATTTGATCTACAAGAATGTTGTCAAAAGACGCCGAATTTCACTGTAGTTTTACTAAATATTAAAAAAAAAAAAATGAACTACAGTTAACAGACCGGATAATAGCTAGCAGGCCGCCGTAGATGAATATATCTATTATAAAGTTAAAAATATTTCATTTCTCGGTAAAATTTGTAAAAATGTGGATATTTAATATAATTTATGTTTTTTATTCGAAATTTTCAATAAATTAATTTTATCAAAGTAAATTAAAAAAGTCAGACTTTTTAAGTAAATTTGTGATAATTGGTAGAGTAAAATCATCCCTATCGTTGGAGGTGGTAAGCAGCAGAGCAATCGATTCGCATCATGGGACCCTGGTACAAACCGTGCCGATTCGCTGAGGTGCAACATACTGTATATGATAATGACTTTTTCAAAAGAAGGGGAAGGTAGACATGCGCAGATTAATATAGGTAGATAATCTAAAAAGACCATGTCCGTTGAGCGACGCGTATTCAGAATTAATAGTTTTAATAGTTCATCAGCTACTCAAAAATACAATCTACTATGGAAAATAAACTAATATCTCTTTAGTGTCATCATGGATGAATCAATAAAAAATAGTTTTCATATGCAAATTAGTTTTATGCCTTTAATATCAAATAGAAAATAGTGATTTACTTACATTGCTTTTTAAATTATTGATTCGTTATTATTTTTTAAATTAATATTTCTGTACAATTATATTTTAAGTTATATCAATTTCAAAAAATAAATGTTGTATTCTCTTTTTGTTATCAGTGTCGATAATAGGAATCACGGATCACAATGCAAATATTTTTCACAATATAAATTATGACTTGTGTACGCCGAGTTTATTTTTCATGAAATAAGTTTGTGAAGTCTATTTAAACGCGGATTCCTAAGTAAACGCAAAAGTTACATTTTCATTACACCAGTTCTGCTAGCAATTAAAAGTAGGTTTTATTTTATACTAAAGGGACCAATATTAAACGCGTACTTAAGACAAATCTACTTATGTAAGTCTGTAAAATAATCTTTAATAAAATGAAAATTTTTTAATTTTTTACTCTTTCACAGAAAAACTGTTTGTTGTTCTATAAAAAAAATTAGACTTCATACCGTTTATAAAAAACAATATATTTTTTATAAGAATTATTGTAGTTTAATGGCCAATTTAATTATTGAATGAAATCAATTAATATTATATGTCAATTGATATATAGCCTTTGAGCTATGTTTTTAATAAAGGAATAAGTATAGTATGAAAAAAATAGAAATGCTAATTTAAATTTTGGAAAAATTAGCTCCAAAAAGTTTCTGAATTTCCAAATTGCGCTTAATAAAGGATACTAAGGGCTATGAGATCCGATGGGTAATAAAGTTATCCTATCGAAAGTCAGAGTATAATAAGACGATTGAGCAATATTTTGTAAGTTTTTTTAATTGATTGAATGAATAATTTTTCTTTAAGAAAATTAAAAAATACTTACAACGTGTGAATTATATCCAGACAAAATAGCTTGCTGTAATTTAGCTAAATCGAAGCCTGGTTGATTTTTACCAAAAGCATCTTCTTGGTTTGGCTTATTTTGGTGATGACTTACAAACTCGTGTGCATTGGCGTTCTGACTTAAAGCATGTTTTAGCGATGCCAAAGTTGGTGTAGGTACACTCATGGGCATATTACCATTGCACTTGGCTGTAGCAATTTTCATTTCTTTACGCACTTCTTTTACAACTTCGGGACCAAAGCAAGTCTCGTATATCTAGACAGACCACAATTTATTTAGAACGAACAATCGTCCCTTTAATATGTAAGTATTTAGAACACATGGAATGTAGTTCCTATTTTCACATTTAAATAATTATTACAAGTTTAATATGAGGGCGAATTAAATAGATTTAGATGTTGACCCTACCCCTTTCAAAATTAAAATTAAAATATATCTGTTTAATAACAACGTATTTAATTACCCTCTAATTCGCATTTAAATTTAACTGGCTATTGGATTGTTAGAGATAAACTCACCCAATTGTTAGACGCGACACTTATGAAAGTTTTACCCACAAAATTATACCTGTTATGGTCAGTCGATTTCAGTGCGCACATCAAGATATATTGTCAAAACGTCAGTTTTAGTACTCGGTAGTTGCTGTCTAATATCAACCTTATGTCAAATATTAGTTTGTTTATTCTTGACACTTTTAATCATCTCTTTGTTTCCTAACTCAATTACTTGTATCATGTACTTACATCATGTTAGTTACATTTTTCACCGGTTCGCTTAGTATTTGTGACTTGTATTTGGTCTGCACCTTATACCTTGGCATTACCCTCCTAAACTTCTTATAAAAACGGCTCTTCGACTCTTTCATTATAACTAAAGTGTCAGTAGAGTACACTTTGACTACCAACACTACATCGTAGTTTTTTCTTTTTTTGTTTTAAGACAGAAGAAATACCCCTTCAAAATACGTTTTAACTACTTCTTTTTTTACTCTCTCGCCTTTACTTCAAATTCTAGGGAAGGTTACTTGTATCCTAAACCTCCGCTATTAATACAATCTCCCATATCATCAATACATACACCAGCAGTTGAAAACCCTCTTTATGGATCTTTCTTTTTTATTATTATTTTTATTATTAATGAAAAATGAGACTTGTTAAGGCTAATGTGTTTAGATTTTTTAATTCATCTTTATGTTTTCAATAAAAATCAAATAACAATATTTTTTAAAGATTTTTGGTTTTCTAATAAATGTTCGAAAATATTTAAGATAATTAAAGTTAATACCCTATGATTAAAATAAAGGAAAAAAATGTGATTTAATCAAACGGAAATGAATAAAAATTTTACTGTCAGGTTAATGAATTTCTTCTTAATAATACTTAAAAGTTGGTCTTTAATAATTGCAGTTTACCTATTATCAGTTAAAAAAGTAAAAATGTTATTATTTATGATTTTTTTTACCTTCATCATTGCGTATTTTTTTATAAATTTGTCATCTCCGGATGTAAATGCCAAGTAACCGTTGATTCTAAGTACAATTATGAGCGTAATAGCCAACAAAATATTCTTCATAGTGCTCTCCTATAACACATAATAGTTTACCCAAATATTTTACTTACAAATTTGAAGTTTAATGATATAATTTCAGCAATTATAATGAGTATGTATCTATACATTTAATTTTAATCATGTAGCTGTGAGTGAAAATCAGGTGAAATATTAGGTATTGAAAGACGATAAGACAAAGTTTAAATAAAATTAAAACTATATTAAAAATATTATTTATTTAAAAACTAAAAAATATTAAATATATTAAACTCAAAAGTCACAAAAAATTACTGAAAAGTCGCGGATACGTATTTCTGAAACAATGTTAACATTATCAACGCTAATGTCAGTATGAGTTTAATATTTTTTAGTTTTTGAATTAATAATATTTTTAATATATTTTTAATTTTCTTTAATTAATTAGCCACAATGATCAATTTTTATTATGCATAAATAAACAAGGTTCGTTTTGGACAGGATATTGTAATTTATGTCTGTTTTTGAGGATTTGTTGAATTTTGAGTTTTGGTGTTTGGGATCTTAGTAAATGTTTCAGAAGTAGGAAAAATGATCCTCAATTAAAAAAAGTACCAATTCGGTAAACTTCATGAGATATACCCCTTAAAAAACTTGTAGAACCACCTCTAATCTTGTCAAGTGCAATAAATATCTAAATAACTAAATTTAATTCAAGTTTTTTGAACTTTTTCAAACCCAACCCAACTTTTGATTGATTCTATCCTCTCACAAAATGTGTATAGATATTTAAATATTGATAGTCAATACTTTTAGTTTATATTTACTAACAAAGTATAACATTCAAATACAACACAGGATTTTTAACACAATTATTTATATTAGGTTGAATAGAATGTTTTTTTATTAAGTTTTAGAAAAACTTTTGAAATTTTTTTATTATTTGTTTGATTTCAATAAAAGTTGATTTTTATATTTTATGTTCTTAAAAAAACTTATTAGAAACAGGATACTTAGGAAAATAACTACCGTAGTCATTTTTTATATAATTATTATTTTTATTCTTCATGGGCTTAACTGTATTGTAATTTTAAGTTCTAAAATTAAATAACCAAATAATTTTGTAAAAAAACACTACAAAACTAAATTATAGAAAATTAAACAGTTTTTTAAATAGGATTTTAAAATTTTAATTTTAAATAAAAATACGTAATAAAATAATATACGCTAATTTAATTTTAATAGAGTTTCAAAGAAGATAAATATTTAAATTAAAATATTTCAGTTCATATTTAAGTAATAGATAAAAATAATACTAACAACACTGAAAATGAATACTAAACAATTTAAAATGTTTATTTGGATAAAAGTCTAAATTTTGTTTTGAAATTTAATTTTCGATTTATACTGCTATAAATCAATTCCTAAATAATTTTTCATGATAAGTTAGATAATTTGTCAAAGAAAATTTGTCAAAGAAAATTTAAAAGGAGACATTTTTTTCGTATAAGATGATTTGTATTATATCAATAAAAGTAATCATAACACTTAAAAATTATGAAATAAAAAAGTATCTTATACAATTTAAAATCATTTTTTTGTATTTTTTGTTTAATATGAGTAATTTGATAAAATATATTTATTTATTTGAAGTTATTACTTAGTAATAAGTAAATGTTTGTTTATATAAACATAGTTTAATTGAAAATTTTCATTTGTATTAAATTAATGTTTTTTATTCAGTTTTTGGTCAAAAAATATCATAAAAGTTATTTATAATGTTATTAATACAGCTGTTTGAAATCGGGCATTTGTAAAATAAAATGTGAGAGTTTTAATAAAAGTAACGTAGGATAAACAAAAAGAAATATTAAGATGTTTGTAGCTGAACATTTATTGACACATAATCAATTCATTAAAACCATAAAATTAATTAAAAACGTAAATAATTATGAAAAATTTATTATAAGGGAGATAATAGAAATGTTTAAAAATAAGAACAATTTAATAATTTGGTCCAATAAAAGATTATTATTAAACTTGTGTAAATTGCCAAATTATAATATTACTTAGTGATAACGTCACAAGGGGTAAAAGTATTTTTTTGGTTAGGGTGTCGTCAGTATGTNCTAAAAAAAAATTAATTAAAAAATTACTAAATATATTGAATACGTATTTCGAGAATAATGTTACCATTATACAGGGTGTTCAGTAAGTCAGGAAACGGGTTTCTATTGTTCTCATTATTTGTAACAATGAGAACAATAGAAACCCGTTTCCTGACTTACTGAACACCCTGTATAATGGTAACATTATTCTCGAAATACGTATTCAATATATTTAGTAATTTTTTAATTAATTTTTTTTTAGTTTCAAATAAATTTTTTTCATTCTAAATAATAAATCACAATTTTTATCTGACCGATCAAAATGTTTTGTAAGAAAAGAACTAAAAAAATTACTATTTTGTACAAATTAGATAATAAAAAATGTTTTTTTTTCTTATTAAGGATACATAATAAAAGATATTCTTTTAATAGTGTCTAAAGTTGAAAATAATTTATAAAAAAAGTAATATAATCACTTGATATGTTTATTATGTTGAATATTTATTAGATTTGTCACAATATCTTAAACCACCCTTTGTAGGTAAAGTGAGGTACTGGTAAAGGTAATTAGTAAATTACTTAAAGTATGTTAACATTTTGATATGGGGAAGGTTATCGACTTACGAGAAAGGAATTATTTTCGTGCGAATAGCATAACATTCTTTCGTATGCCTCGCAAATTATAAAGACAGCTAAATTGAATAAATTTTGAAGAATTTTTTTTGTTTATCGTCCATGTTTTGAAAAGTGATTTTTTTTTCAATAGTGTCTATAAATAGCTTAATTATTTCAAATTTGTTTAAATTTTGTTGAGAGTACTTATATCTAATAATATTTTTGTGAAATAAATAGTTTTATTAGCTGAATACTACATTTATTTTCTTGATTTAACAAAGTATTTATTCATTTTATTAAATTTTTATTCTTCTAATAAAAATGATAATATTTAGAGAATCACTGAGTATGCAACAACTTTATAACTTTTTATAATTTTATGTAAAAATTATAATACTAAATTTAATTACTATAAATGGTATGCTTGTATTATACTTATAAATCTTAAAACCTGTAATCAGGGCATAATTAAGAAAATAGCTATTGATGTTGATCACTTTCAGATATCATCAATACTTGTAACAATTACGCGACATCATTCAAATTATGCTGTGACCACACTGCTGTGTTTTTGAAATCATTATCTAACCTAAATAAAATTATTAATAAATCTAATTTACGAAATTTGTACAGAATGATCCTTGAAGATAAAGTAATTTCTATAACTTTTGATACAATTACATCAATTCATTAAAATTTTTGTTAAAAAGAATTATTGTCCTCTTAGATTACGTTAAAAATATATTTTTCATTATTTATCAGAATTAAGAAAAAATAATTAAAACAATATACAGGGTGGCCCACCACTCACTGACAACTTAAATAACTTTTGATCCAGTTAATATTTTTAGTTGATTTTTTTTTTAAATAATATTTATACGTTAGGTCTATAGCTATATCTCAATAATTAATTTTTTTACATTTTATTAAAAATATTAATTATTTTAAAATTTTAAATAAAATGTAAAAAAAAAATCTAAGATAGCTATTTTGTAGAGTAGAATTTAAGAAAAATTTTAGTAAAAAAATATCTTATTAATATTCAGTAGTAAATATTCTGTAGCGTTTTGAAGTTTGTAAAAATTTGAATTTTCATGTACTATTTTACGGTTATAAACATTGAAATACGTATTGAGAAAAGGACAGAAGAAAACGCTATCTTTTCATGATTACTGTGTATACATATGATGATAGTGTGTATACATTACAAACATGGCATTAATACCATGATAAGAAATTAGATAAGGCAATTATTACTTATCACTCTCATTCAAAAGTATATTGAAAAGATAGCGTTTTCTTCTGTCCTTTTCTCAATACGTATTTCAATGTTTAATACCGTAAAATAGTACATGAAAATTCAAATTTTTACAAACTTCAAAACGCTACAGAATATTTACTACTGAATATTAATAAGATATTTTTTTACTAAAATTTTTCTTAAATTCTACTCTACAAAATAGCTATCTTAGATTTTTTTTTTACATTTTATTTAAAATTTTAAAATAATTAATATTTTTAATAAAATGTAAAAAAATTAATTATTGAGATATAGCTATAGACCTAACGTATAAATATTATTTAAAAAAAAAATCAACTAAAAATATTAACTGGATCAAAAGTTATTTAAGTTGTCAGTGAGTGGTGGGCCACTCTGTATATAATATATATTAATAATAATAATCATTACTTATTCGATATCTTAATATTAATTTTTAACTTTATAAAAGTCGCTGTAAAGTCATTTGTTTGGTATTCCTTTAATATAAAACTTTATAATACTATGGTTGTTAACTAAAAATTTTATAATAAAAATTTTCAGATTATTTCATTATACAAAGGTATTAAATAGCTGTTCTAATTTTTAGCGCGAACTAGATAATAAAAATGTAGGATAAACATAATAATGAATAAAAATACACGCGATTGTCTAGTTCAAAGCGGTTGTATATTAATGGGAAAATAATTTTATTCGCTTTGATCGAATTCAAAATATTTTCTTTTGAACATTAATTTAATGGTTTAGTATGAAAAATTACACTATAGCAGTATAGTTGTATCTAATACGATGCACGAAAAACCTAAGAAGACTTGCTGAGAATACGGACGTTTACCTAATTTTTTATAAATAAATATTGTGATATACACAAAATATACTTTGTGGACACGCAAAATTTATCGTTTGCAGTTATTTTTTTTTCTAACTGTAGCGTGTGTTATTTTTCCCATTTGTGTTATTACTATAGTTGTTAACGAATAATAATATGTATAGCGTGTTTTCTGTGAATTAATAAAGGTACTTAAATATTTGACACAGAAAAGAAGAATCCAAGTGTGACAATTTATTTAATTCGTGTTGTCTTCTCTAAGTATTACGTGCATTTAAAAAGAAAACTCATGACAATAGCAATAATTGAGATAGAAATATGAACATATTTTTTTTCGTTGTAATAGATTTTTTTTGGATCATTAATGAAAATGAAATTAACCTAGTATAATATTTTATAGATCATTATTTCTAGAGAATTTTTTTTTAATCGTTAAGATATTTTTTACAATCTAAATATTTAGAATTATTTAGTAAAATAAATAAGGTTTATATAGTTATTGTAAGATATTTTGCAACAGTAATTGATTAAATAGGAAAATTCAGCCTTCTATTTATCTGTTCTTAGACTACTATTTTAATATATGTTGAAAAGATTTCTTGTTAGAGATACCTTGAGAGATTAAAACCCTTACCCTTTTTACATCTTTTTTTAATCGACTAAAAAATTAAAAATTGTTTAACGATAAAACTGTGTAATGTAGAATATTACATTTAAGTAATAATGTTAAATAACAATAGTAATCAAGTAAATTATACTTTTAATGAAAATCGGATAAAATGATAATCTTTTAATAAATTTAAAATGAATTTAGTGTGTTGTTAGGTCAATATGTGTTAATAAAGTGTGGTTAAAATTCATTCCGTTAGGTGAACAGTTAGAAAATACTATTTAATATACGTGATATATTTATTTTATGGACAAAGGAGGTGCAATGTAGATATTTATTATGAGTTTTTATATTATATGCTGAAGGCTTTTAGAGATGTTATGCATGAGTACACATCTCCATTTTTTAATCCGTTAACTTGAATTTATATTCATTTCTTCGAAAACAGTAAATACTAATAATGCAGTTCAATTTGCAGACTATCAAAAAAGATTACTCGATTATATGATGGTGTTGGTTAGTGAATAATGAAATTTATGTTTTATGATAAAAAAAGAAGTTATTTTAAATATTTATTAAAGAAATTAGCGTATGACAAATCGTCATTAAATTAAAAATTGTTAAATTCTTGAATATCTATTTTTAAGAGTCAAGATATAATAATTTGTCCAATAAAAATTATAAAAATATATGTTACTGAAAAAAAATTATTAAGTTAAGTTCTAAACTATAGTAATATATTTATAATTTTTTGTCTAAACATTTTTTATTGCTGTTATATTTCTTAACATTTGTCATTTTTTTTTATTTTGAATGGTTTTTTATTTATTGTACAATTTATTTAATACTAAATTTCATAAAAAGAACTCACTGATAAAACTATACATTATTAAAAATAATAAAATTAAGAACATCTGTTCACGGCTCCCAAAATGGAAGACTTACGAAACGTTACTAAAACAATTAATGACTATTGACAGTTTTTATAATTCTTGCGAATATAATTATTATTAAATATTTTAAATTAAATTATTACATAATTAAATAAAATAAAATAGTAGTTATAAAGAAGTTCTATGCAATGAGTGCAATTAACTAACGAGTGTCTGGTTCACGATCGTCTCGCTCATACTCATATTTTCTCAACTACGTTAACATTTTCTCCGATGTTCTTACTGATATGCATTTAATCGATAGGAAAAATACACTCAAATCACTTTAAATATCAAAATTTAAAAAAAACCTGGTAAACTTCGGTTTAGAAAAACTCATTGTTTTTTTCATATCATAAGACGTAACTACGTAACAAAGTTGGTAAAATACCTGTTCAATTATTACCCTACTAACAAGATATGACTTGTTTTATGTATTTATTTATTTTACCATATTTTCCTTATTTAAATAGTTACTATGAAGTGTTATTAATACTTATGTAATATAGTTTCCTTTATAACCAGCCATACTATATATTGGTTATCTAGTTGTTTTTCACTAATGAAAAAGAATTGTATTATTCTTAAGAATTTATATACATACCTGACTTTTAATTAGTGCTATAGATTAATAATTACATAAAGACTATTTTTTATGAAATTATCAAAATATAATTTAAGAAAAGTATTTTGATGATGTGCAATATTTGAACCGGAAATTCAAGTAATTAATGAGGTTTTGTCGGATCTAATAATTAGATATGTTTCATCTAATACTTGTGGTATCGCAAATCGTTTTTATTACACTATATTATTTAAACTCATTGATTTCGGCGAAAATAAAATAAATAATTTATAAATTATAAATTATGAATTATAACCATTAATTGATACATATAAAATATAATATTTAATATACATTATTTCATTACCTTATGTCAAAATATCACTTCCTCGACCACGAAATATATTTGTGTTATATTTTCACTACTTTAATTTAAAGTTTATTTTTGTAAATATTTTGTAAAGAAACACCTTTTTGTTGTTATTAAATTGTAAGTATTTTGATAATTATGTATATTTATATGTACTCTGTGATATACCAACCAGCCACAGTACTGTGTATCAGGTCAGTAACACTAAACACGACTAACTTGGTTCTAACCGTCGCACAAGGAACAGACAACGAACAAATAACAAACAAGCGTTGTTGTTCTTTCGCATTTCTTCTTGGACGCATAAAACTGCATGTAAAAAATAGCATCCAGGAGGGGAATAGATCTCTTAACTGTGCTTTTCCTTTTTTTAAGAGGATACGAAGTTATAGTGTTATAGCTGCCTTTGTTATTCGTGTTAACGTTTAGGAATTCATATAAAAACTGCGGTGGTTAATTTGGCTGAGCTATTTTAATTTGATTGTAGCTCTTATGTTCTTTTAAAATCTTTTAAGTTAAAATTAAAACAATTTGTAGTAACCATATTTAATTGTCAGCTGCACTGTTGAACCTCATGAATAATATGATTTCTTTAATAGAAATTTTGTTTTATAATTTCATAAAAAAATGATTTTTAAATTATTTATGAAATAAACGTATAAAAAAAACCCTCTTCAAAATCGGCGGCGCAATTAGTGTTTCGTCTTGAAGGAATATATCTCCCATATCATGTGCCTGATTCATTTTATGGTCATAGAATAAAGTTTTTAATAAGCTTAAAAAACCGAGTTTTACTGTTATCTCATTTTCAGCGAGGACCAAGCAACGATAGAATTATATTTAAATGAAAAATGAATTAATGCGTAAACTATCTAACCATGTTTTTTGTTAATTGTTAGTAATACTATTCTAATAATTTGGTGGTTATGTTGTTAGAACTTTTTTTTCTCAAATCAATTGTCTGTATACAAAAAAAAATGTGTTAAATAAAAATTCTTGAATTTTATTCGCTGTATTGGAATTAAAAATAATTTAGTACATTTTTCTATTGTGGGTAAATTATTTTTATTTTATTTTAACATAAATTTACACTCATAATTTCGCTATTAAAATGTATATTAGTAGTTATAAATGTTTAATTAATGTAATTAAAAATTATCCGGTTATAAAATGAAAACCTTATGCATACAAGTAATTAAAAATACGTTGAATTAGGACTTTCGTTGTAGATTTTAGGTCTAATTTCTCACATACGGAGTGTATCTTTACCGACATAATTATAATAATAGTTTTATTCTCGTGTATGATCTTTTAAAGCTATTGTTATTTTTTACGTTTTTGTGCACACTTAATTGAATCCGTTTTTTTTCGTGGTAAATCCGCTATTTTTTATTATACCGTATCCTTAATTCCCTTAACGGTGTACCTCCACCGCACTCACTATAAAAACATTAATACTAAGCTTTGTATGTATTTGATTTATTATCTATTGGTTAGCTTTTGTTATTCGGTAATAGCGTGTATACCATTCTGGAATAGGAAGTGCAGTTTTCAAATCTAGATCACTAGTTGTTTAGTAATTTTGTTGTTAACTATTTAACAAATAATATACACCAAAACAGTAATTTTTAAAACGCGCCAAACCAACGATAGATTTGTCAGTCGATTCTTCTACAATATAATTTAGAAAAAATACTATCCAGTACTATAATAACAATTATTTAAAATCATTGAAAATGGTATTTTTTTACTATTCGTACTACAATTAGCAGGCACATTTCATTGTATAAATGAGAAAAAATTAAGTTTTATCGAATTATTGATAACCGATTTGCTTTTAAACATGAATTCCACTTTGATTTGCATATGATACAAACCAGTGTGTAGTTACGTTGTTTGTTTTTTCCCAGCGTTGAATTAACGAAATATGCGTGTAATATAAATAAAACAATCTTGTTGACGCCTTAGATTTTTTGAAAGAAAATGCCGCTATACACATGTGTTTTGCAGTGAGAATTTGCGGTTTTGTGTTTTTATCGTCATCATCAGTCATGCACTATGAGATGCTATACCACCGTGTGAAAACCACTTCAATAATAATAATTTGTAAAAATTATACCATTGGAACAGCGGGTAACGTAATTTGATTTTAAAACAGTAAGTTTGGAAAAAAAAATCGTTAACTTAGTATACAAATGATCTGAGAAAACTATTCATTTGAATTTAAATCAAAATATAACAAAAATATTATTCAATAAGTATTGTTTCTAAACTACACTTCTTCTTACATTACATTTATAAATATATTTTGCTTCGTCATTTATACCAGTGGGGCTGGCGGCCAATAATGAAAAATACTAATTTGTTAGTTAATGTATTTTTCTTTCAATTTTCTTTTTAATATAAAAAGGATTTTAAAAGCAAAAACAAAGTAATATAGCAATATAATTCTTATTATAGTGTAATTAGCTATTTACTTCAAATTAACTAACAGAGTATGAAAAATATTCGTGATTTAAGTCAGTTAGTAAAACACTCTTTGAATCCACAGTCTACTTTTGCTATTACAAAAATAAATAACTGTTCACTATGAATTGTGATTGTAAGTGATAAACCATTTTGGCATTCATCATTCTGGTAGAACGTGTTCGGTAATCGGTTACTGTACTCCGGTATACAAAAGGTATTGGTGGCTGTTGAATAAAAAATCTAGTTTAGAAAGATGTTTCATTTTATAATTCAAAAATAAATTTTATACTAGCTATTGTTAAATAACCTTGAAATTATTAATTATTAAAACGATCTTCATAAAATATAAGCTATAATCTTGGACCACATTTAAACAATAACATTACATATTAGAGACTTATCAAATAAATAAAAATAATAATTTTTGTCTTTTAATTAATTGACAACCAAGAGTAGTCGAACCTTTCTTTTTTCATCAAAAAACAATTGAGATAACATATGTTTTTGTTTATATTATACAACAAAAATATAAAAAAATTATTATTTTTAAAATATATTTTTCAATCTACTATTGAAATATTCTACATACACTAAAATATTAATTTTTGTCATATTTCACTTCAAATCAATATCAATCAGTTAAATATATTTAATTGTAATTTTATATTGAACTTGGATTTAATGTAAATAAAAAACTATATTTTATAAGTAAATGAAATACTAAGGAAGATATAATATATAGAATATATACATTTATTATATAGAAAAAATTATTTTTCAATTAAAGTTAATGAAGAAAATGTTATATTTATATTTTAGACAATGAATAATGAACATGTGGCAATTATATCTTTTTTACGGTTTGCAACAACAATTCGTAAAACATACTGTTTTTCTATTTCACGTTTTGTGTGAATAATATTGTAATCTTGTATAAGTTTATACCTATTTTTACAACGTCGTTCACAATAACCGATTTTTAAAAATTTTATAATCCATTTAGAACATTATGATCATTCTACCATTTAGAAAAGTTTTTTTTAGTTAGAAAATGAGCAATAATAGAAAATAGTAAATAAATTTTTGGTGTCGGATGTTATTAATAGTGAAACTATACGTGTTTCAAGAAAGAAAACTCATTTTTGAAGTAAAATATACTATTTAGTTTTATTTTCATCTTCTTTCTCTTATCAATTTGTATATACCTTCAATACAGATCGGATCATATTTGTTTTAATTGTTGTTAAAACATTAACATCAAATAAGGAAAACCTTACTGTTTTAGAAACTAAATACCTAAGATAATTTGAAAATTTTTTTGAAGTTATCATACTAATTTTAGAATCATTATTTGAATAATTTATAAATTATTGCATAATGATAAAATCATAATAAGCACTTCAAATACTTCTAATGATAGATACAAAGTTCGGACATACGTTTCAGCAAAACAAAAACACATTTTCTTAGAGATATTTTTATCTGTAAGAATTAATTTAAATTTAACTTGAAACAAGTATATCTTAAATGCATAAATGACTTTGGCCATCCATCTGGCATAACTCACAGCTCATGATATTCAAAATGTTTTTCTGTTTTAGGAATAATTCCAAGAATAATCATTGTCAATCATAATAGATCACGTTAATATTAATTTTTTCCTAAAAATCTTTTTTATTTTCTAATAAAACTTGGTAATAAAATATTGTTATTTAATAAAAAAATTTGAGGTTTACTTAATAAATTATACTTAATTTCATATTACACAAATGAAAATAAAAAAATTTATTAACAATTCAATTCATTTTTATTGCTTAATAATTATTAAATTATCAAATTAAATATAAGACAAATTTTTTAATATAAGGTATTTTTTTTATTAATTATTAAAAAAAAATTTAAATATTGTTCAAAAATTATCCTACTAATATTTGACAGGTGTTTTTAAAAATTGGGTGCAACAAATTTATACAATATTTAAAAAAAATCTACAAATTATAGTATTATATTTTAATTTCAACATTTTTTTTAAATTGTTCATTATAAATAAGTTTATATACAGGGTGTTCACTAAGTCAGGAAACGGGTATCTATTGTTCTCATTGTTACAAACAATGAGAACAATAGAAACCCGTTTCCTGACTTACTGAACACCCTGTATACAATAAATTATGAAAAAACAATTTTAATTTAAATAAACTTTAAATTAATATGTATATTGACTATCCGTTTATTTAATATTTTGAATTGAGAGATTTAATTAATTTATCAATTCTAATTTTTTTATTCCTTCATTTTTTAGAATACCTACAAACTGTATTCCCATTTTTAATAGTAATGTATTAATAGCAAATTATAAAATAAATTATTACTTTTATCGGTAATAGTTAATTTAATTAATTTATCAATTCTAATTTTTTTATTCCTTCATTTTTTAGAATACCTACAAACTGTATTACCATTTTTAATAGTAATGTATTAATAGCAAATTATAAAATAAATTATTACTTTTATCGGTAATAGTTACTCATTGATTGTTATTCTTAAGAGCTTAACAGCCATCTTTAATTACATATGTTTATTTTAGTCTTAAATAAGTTTTTCAATGTTTCTGTCATAAATAAAAGTACTATCATACTTTTTTTGTCAGTTGTTTTATTGACGAAAACACTTAACTTTATCTTTTACACTTCATAATATTCAATTAATCTTTATTTTATAAAAATGTCAAAGCTAAGTGTGTGCTTGTATGTAAAACCAAACGTATTCAAATTTGCCAAACAAAAATAGAAAAAAGGATAATGCATAGAAGTTTAACTATTCAGGTACGTTAATGGCAGTTTTTTCTACGATAAAAAAATTAATTCAATAGAGTAATTCGTAATTATAGAAATTTCATAACCAATACATCAACACCACTTTGCATTTATTTAATTTTTTACTCCATAGTAACTTTAAAATAATGGGTCAAAATTTGTTATTGCCCAGTAATTTTTATAATTAAATCATTTTAATTTTATTAAAAAGTTATATATGTATGTCGCTATTTAAGAAAATTTAGTTGAAACCAAGGTATAAGGTATATGGATTTATTTTTATAACAAGGTATTAGAATGAATTAAAAAATACTTTAAAAAAAATATTAAAAAATATTTTATGAACGAAGGAATATATAAAACTAAATTTACCAAATTTTCTTAACAAAATTATTATTTTAAGAGAAATCGAGTGGTTAAAACTTACTAGCGAGTTCCTATTAAACAAATCATTCTATATTATTTCGTTCCTTCAATTTATTATAAGCTATTAGTAGCTAAAATATTTTTTTGAAATGCAGTCTTCTTTCTTTTAATATAAATATTGGTTTGACCTTAAAAGTTGCTAAAATTCTTAATGAAAATATTTATAACTAACACATTTAAATTATTATTATTATTTTTGGAAAATTAGGGTCAATTACGGTATATACATCTTCCTTCCTATAGGGCTATACCGTATGGCCTAAAATAGGGTCAAAATAATTGAAACAGAAAGTTATAACACGATAAATGGGGTTTTTTACATTAAAATAATATTTTTAGTTTAACTTAAAAGACCGTTTACATATAGATAATAAGATGTCCGACAAGTTTTTTTTCTTAACTTATATTATTTAACATAAGCTTTAATTTAACATACGTTCGATGCTTAGAGTATTTCTGGAACATTTTGAAAAAGATAAATTTTTATACAAAAGTTGCTATTTTGAATCCTTTCTGTGGACATGTCAGGATTTTAGATAAATTAATAACAAATAAAAGGGAAATAAGAGGTGTGTTCAGAAAATAACGGTAATTTTCGTTTTTTTAAAAAAATATTTATTCGTCTACAGTAATATAGTCGTCTTTAAAGAAGTTCTCATTAGATATTATTAACTTGTGTCAACGTTTCTTCTAATCCTCGAAATGTGGGATAGCTTTCAGTTCATTCAAAAATGCACTTTTAAAGTCATCTATGCTTGTAAAACGACGGCTCTTTAAGGTTCTTTTTATTTTTCGAAGTAGAAAAAAGTCACACGGAGCCATATTTGGCGAATGTGAGGCTAAACCATCGTTACAGTATTGTTTTAAATTTTACAAACAAGCAATGAAGTGTGAGTAGGTTGGGTTTTTTTAATGGCCAAATGGCTTTTTTACCAAGATTTCAAACCATCTTGGTAAAAAAGCCATGAATCCACCACAAATCCGGGCGTTTTTTTAGATTACTTAACACAAATGGCGTTGAACTCGTAGATAGTACTCTTTATTAACCGTTTGACATCGTGGCAAATTTGATGATTCATTATGCCATTAAAATCGAAGAACATAGTAAGCTTAACCTTCACGATCGATTGCACTTGTTGAGACTTTTTCAGTCTTGGCGATCCAGAATGCCTCCACTGAAACGATTGAGACTCAGTTTCCACGTCGTATCTATAAACCCATTTGTCGTTATCTGTTATAACGTGTTTCAGTAATTTTGCATTATCACTGACTTCATTAAGTGACTCCTAAGCAATTCTATCGCCGCTGTTTTTGTTAAAAATTCAACAATTTTGATTAAATTTTGTTGCTACGCGTTTTTTACCCAAAACATATCATGGAATGAGCAAATCGATAATCTATCATTATCAGCGACTTCTCTGATTGTGATTCGGCGATCGTTCATACATTTTTACTTTTTTTAATTTTCATCGGTTATTGATGTGCTGGGGTGTTCGAGGCGTTCGTTATTTTCAATGTCTTCACGGCCATCATGGACACGCTTATACCACTCGTAAACCCTTGTTTTACTCATGGCAGACTCACCATAAACCTTTGTTAACCTTTCACATACTTTGTTACACTTTATTTCATTTTTTACGCAAAATTTAATACAAATCCTTTAATCCATTTTTTTTAAGAAACAAACATTGCTAAGCTCATAAAATCACTTTTAACCTTAGCACATTCCATTGACAAAGTAAAAAATGAATCCAGTTGAAATTTTATCATACTTCAAGAACATCTGTACTAACATTATGAAAAAAAAATCGGACTTTAACCCGCGAAATTAAAAAATTTCCGTTATTTCCTGAATACATCTCATACATAAGGTGCCTACATAAATAAATTGTTTTGATTCATCTATTTTTAAAAAAGTAATTGCAGTATTAAATAAAAGTAGAAAAAAAAAAAGGTTTATATTATTGATTTTAAAAATTGTATTTTTTGTAGGAAATTCCCCCTATTTACGAGGAATGAGAGTAATATTTTCAATTTTTATGATTTACGATTTATTTAAAAAGGNTCGTCTTTTAAAAAGTTTTGTTTTATATTTGAATAAAATCAAGTTTTATAAAAATTGAGTTACTGATTTACAAAAAAAAAATTTATTATGATTTAATGCATTTATTAAATTTTAATACTATATTACAAAAGTTATAAACAAAAAGAAAATTTTAAACTTTTTAATTTTAAGTTCTTCAAAATTGTTGATGAAAGGCACTTATATATATATATATATAAATAAATTCTATCTAATTTTTTTATTCTAAACAATCTGATTTACAAGTATAATTTCTACTGAGCATTATGGCCAAATCAATTTTCGAAGAATTACTTAATCTGAGGAAGCTGATTAACTTTATCCGTCGCACAGTCTTTTACAGGTATGTAGTAATGGATTATTTTGTGATCCAAGTATAAACTGAACAAAATTTATAAAAAAATTTAAGAACATTTTTTTAATGTAAATAATATTTTTTCTCTTTTTATGTAGGATTAACGAGACTATATGATTTTATTTTTAGTTTTCTCTTCCAAACACTTTACAATGGACAACAACGTGATGTTAAGTTTCCCTTGATGTACACCTCTTCAAAAGGCTGGATAAACGATCCAAATGGTCTTGTTTATGCAGAAGGAACTTATCATTTATTTTATCAAAACAATCCGTATGGAAACACTTGGGGCAATTTATCTTGGGGCCATGCTACTAGCAAAGATCTTGTTCGCTGGGAAGATAAAGGCGTAGCTCTGAATTATAATCAAACGACTAATGAGATGATGTTTTCAGGTAGTGCGGTTTTCGACAAAAACAATACTAGTGGTCTTGGCAGTGTGGAAAATCCTCCAATAGTAGCGATCTACTGTGCATATTATAGTAAACCAACGACTCTTGCTGATGGAACAAAAATTAAGGAAGGTACACAAGCTCAGTCAATCGCATACAGTGTCGATAAAGGTAATTCTTGGAAGTTTTATGAAAACAATCCTGTCATTAGGCAGCCGCCTAAAGAGTACGATGTAGAATACAAAAATTTTAGAGATCCTAAGGTTTTTTGGTACCCTCCACATAACAAATGGATCATGGTCAATGTCGTTTCTAAATTAAAAAGAGCACTCTTTTATTGGTCTAAAAATTTGAAAAATTGGACTTATATGAGTACATTCACTTCAAAGAATAGCCCTGGTGAAATATGGGAATGTCCAGATATTTTTGAACTTAAAATTTCCAGGAACGAATCCAGATGGATTTTATTGATAAGCATAAATCCTGGTGGGGTGGCAGGTGGTTCTGGTATGCACTATTATATTGGTCACTTCAATGGATACACGTTCGTTGAAGACACTATCCAAGATGGCATAAAATGGTTTGATTTTGGTTCTGACTTTTATGCCGGAATCACGTGGAACAACGTTGACAGTGGACGTTTTATAATAGGCTGGATCAACAATGGGGATTACTCAGCAGCAATACACGAAACATATAAGGGAGGACTTGGATTCGTAAGAGAATTGAGTTTAAAATACATCGATGGAAAAATTAAATTAATTCAGATGCCTATAGAACATTTATATAAGTACAAAAAACAAGAAACAATATATTTTATGGAAGAAGTACAAAAAGGAGTGACAATAACAAAAAATAAGGCTTACGAATTGATTATTAAAATTAACGATATTAATGAATCAGGTTTCCTATTTATTTTAAAAGATGAAAATAAAAACAACGAGCTAGAGATACAGTATGTTGACACAGAAAAGATTATTTCGATTAAAAAAAGGAGTAGTAATCCCAGTGACCATGGAAGCTACGTAAAGCACACAGCACACTTTTGTCCAGAAATCAGAGAAGAACTAAGAATTCTTCTCGACAGTAATTCATTGACTTTATTCAACAGGTTAGGTGATATAGTTTTCACTGAGTTGCTGCTTTCTAATGCACAAGAAAGAACATTTTATTTAGCACAAGGATCTGGACTTAGGGTGTCTGTGACCAAATCTGTATTTTCCGGATCCAACAGAAAAATATTGTCAATCGAGATATTCACTGCATGCATTTTCAGTATTGTTACCATGATGTTTTGGGGAAAAATATAAATAACTTATTATTATAGTAAATTAAATATTCAATAATCGTAAACTACACTTAGGTAATAAGCTAATACACTTAGCTAATACACTTAGGTATACATATTCTTTAAATACACGGTAGTAAACTCATAGTTTATACAACTGCTGTAACGAATGATTTAATTCTATTTTAATCAATGTAATCAATCAATTTATTAACACTCACATCTGCCACTCTTTTATAATTGTCTTTCTTCATCTTACATTGTGCCAATGCTGTTATGCCATTTTAGAAATATATTGTTAAAAATGATTCTTCACTCAGTTCATCTTTACAATTCTTTGAAGAAACACATTTATTATTTTTTTAAAGCCTAGTGTAAAATTTGTTTCTAAAAAGTAAGTGATTTGTTTTAATAATTTAAATACCCGCATTAATATAATATTTAAAATTATTATTTTCACTAAATTTTTATTATTTTATTAGATCATGCTCAAATAAACATTCATTTAATACCTCAAACATTTTGTGTTAATGTCATTTAATTGAGTATACATTATCTTGCTATCGCCAATGGTACAAACAGAAAATATTATTATTCATCGCATAAAACTCAACAATAACCGAAAGGATAAGTACACCTAGACCAGGTGGTCTATTTTTGAATTTTATATTGGTGTACTAATCTGTTTAGTATACTAAAACATGACGTTTTAGTGCAACTATTAGTGTGAAACTAAAAAACCGTATTTTTGAATGTTGTTATGCTAAAAAATATTTATTAGTGTACTAAAGTTTTAGATGATCTTTTTAGAGTGGTATCTACCACACTAATTATGATTTTAGTATACTAATGTTACTGTTATCATTCATATTTATATGAAAACTTATATATTTATAACGTTTTCAAATTTATTTAATATTAAATATTAAAATGGAACACTTTCTTAATATAAATTATGTGCAAGTTATTAGTAATTTAGAAATAGTTGAAGATAATGGCCATTCAACAATGAAATTTCGTTTAGCGGAGGATCCGTTCATTGGTATGTACAAAACAAATTACAATATGTAAAATTATCTATTTACATTAATAAAATGTTATTTTCTGTAGTTTTGTCAGAAAGGGCATTTATACAAAAATTTAGACTGACAAAAGTGCTTGCATTAAATTAAATTAATGAGCTACGCCTATATTTAGAACCCCCATCGAGGAAGTCTGCTCTAAGTATTAGGGTGGTCCTTAATCATATAAGAAGAAATTTTTTATTAATATTTTTTACACAGTACCCTCTAGATTGGTTAAATACTATTAAAATGTAATGTAGGTAAAATTTGGAAGTTTTTATTCAACCCCTTTTGGTGCCGCATTAGGGTTGAAATATGGTACTTGATGGTTGTTTTTGCTTTTTTTGTGTTTAACTCGACAACTATTACACTTAGCGCTAAAATGAATAGAATATTAATTATAGAACTTATTATTGCCTATAAAAAAAGTAATTACAATATTTTTCATAAATTCATTATATTTTGAGAAAAATAACTTAACATAAAAATTTTTCAAAATTTAACATAAATATATTTTTTTAAATATTTTAATATTTTTACTGAGTGGTTGAAGTTTCATAGAATTTTTCCTTTAAAATTGGTTTTAGTAATATTTCCTAAAAAAACTCATATTATATTTCACGTTAGTGCAATTATATATTGATGTATTAGAATTTATGGCGCAAAAATCAAATATCAGTTTACCTGTACTGTTCTAAATGCTATACTTATTATTTTGAACGTGTGGAATTTACTGTGATTATCCATAGAAGATAAGAAATGTGGCATTATTGCTGTTTGTGTAATAATAGGTAACGATAAAAGTTCTTACCAATAATCATTTTTCATGGACTAATATCAGATATTTTCTTGTAATTTAGTTTTTTGCTTATTATTGTGTCAAGTTTTAAGATTTGTTAAAATATTAGTTTAGTGATACAGTTTTTTTGAAATTTTATTTTATTTAAATATGTCACGTAACCAAGTGTATTTAGTAGGAGCAATGAATTATCAAATTACTGGAAGTAAATTACCTTCAGTTAAAAATGTTTTGAGTGTATTGTATTATAATTTAAGATTTGTAAAATTGAATTTGCATGAAAGTGCGGCGCTTGCTGTTGACGAGTGTCTAATTTACTGGAAAAAAGCTCGAATACCTACGCAAGATCCAGCTAATATTATAAGAAAATTAAAAAAGTTTTACGATGAACTGAGAAATTTAGAGAAAAATAAAACCAGGACCAGCGACTTATACAAGAAAAGAGAACAAAATTTTGTAGACCAAATCGAAGAATTGTTTTATATAGCTCATGCTAATGCAATCAGTCTAATGAAGATCCAGGAAGATATTGATTTTTTGCGACTTCAACGAACTAAGGGACGTCCCGGATGTATGATGGGAGTAGATATGAATTTAACCCAAGCAGAAAAAAAAATGCAAATAAGACAAGAACAGAAAAATAAAATACTTATACCTCACTCAGATACAGAAACTTTATTAGAAGGTAATTTTTAAAAATAATGAATGTTTAATAAACATTGTTTATTATATTTTTAATAATTATATATGATTTAATTTAGAAAAATATTCATGTACTTCATCGGATTCATGTGATATGGAAATCGTAAGTGAAGAAGAGAGACAATTTTCACCAGTAGCAGGTCCGTCAAAAAATAAAAGAGGTAGAAAAGAACTTTTAACTTCTAGATTATCTGCCACTCTTGATAGGTGTAAAATAAGTGATAGGGATGCTGTTCATTTGTTAACTGCATGTTTGGATGCCTTATCATTAGATCCCAGCATATATGTTTTAAACCGATCGTCAATTAAAAGGTCCCGTGAACATTATAGACAAAAAATTGCAGAAAATATTAGTTCTAAATTTCATGAACAAAATTTGAATTTTGTTGTGATCCATTGGGATTCAAAAATGCTTCCAGACCTTACAGGGAAAAAAAAAGTCGATCGCCTCCCTATTATTGCAACCGCCTTAAATTTTGAACAGCTTCTTGGTGTCCCTTATATACCCTCTGGGAAAGGTTTAGAAGTATCATCAGCTGTCTATGACGCTTTAGTCAAATGGTCACTATTGGAAAAAGTACAGGCTTTCACATTTGATACTACGGCCTCTAATACGGGAAGGTTGAATGGGGCGTGTTTTTTATTAGAGCAACGTCTTGGAAGAGAAATTTTATTCTTAGCATGCCGACACCATATTTATGAACTTTTATGAACGTATTTTCAGATACCAAATTATATNCGACACCATATTTATGAACTTGTTTTACAAGGCGTATTTTCAGATACCAAATTATGTCCTTCAACCGGACCAGAAATATTATTATTCAAGAGGTTTCAACAAGAATGGGAAACAATTGATAAAACAAAATTCTCTACATCAATTTCTGATACTTATGTTCATAATATTTTAAAAGATGAAGCCGATGAAATTATTTTATATGCAAAAAGTAAAATTACTGAATATCTCCCCCGAGATGATTATCAAGAGTTTTTAGAACTTGTTATTATATTTTTGGGCGGTGTTCCTCAAAGGGGAAATGCTTTTCGAAAACCGGGTCCTTATCATTTAGCCAGATGGATGGCTAAAGCAATATATTGTTTAAAAATATTTTTGTTTAAAAATCAATTTAAACTAGACAGTAGAGAAGAAACATCATTAAAGGATATTTGTTGTTTTATTGTAAAATGTTACGTTCAAGCTTGGTTTTCATCTCCAAAAGCTATAGAAGCTCCTTTTAATGACATATTATTTCTTAGAAAATTAGAATCTTATAAATTACAAAATAAAAAAATCGCAGACGTGGCATTAAAAAAAATAACTAATCATTTGTGGTATTTAAATCCAGAATGTATTACTTTTTCCTTATTTGACAATCGTATAGACTATAATACAAAACGCAAAAGGGCTGAAAAAATGCCAAGTTATAATGATGATGATGATGAAGAAACTAATCTGAATAAAAAGTTAACTCTTACACCAGACGATGTCCCCAATTTTCTTCAAAAAGACCTACCAACTGATTTAATAACTTCCAAATCAATTGAAATGTTTAAGCGGTTTAAAATTCAAACAAATTTTTTAAGCATTGATCCAGCTTATTGGAATTATCAGGAAGACTTCAAAACAGGTAGAGAAATAATCAAATCATTGAAAATAGTTAACGACACAGCTGAGAGAGGAGTCAAGCTAATGGAAGAATATAATGATAAATTTACTAAAGACGAAGAACAAAAACAATTTTTATTGCAGATAAATTTAACAATTTTTATTTTTAATTTAACTTAATTATATCGTTTAAATTTTTAGACCGTCCAAGACTATCAAAAAAAATATCCAAAATGTGATAGAGAAACATTAAAAAAAATATATTAAAAGACAAATACTAGTTCCATGTAGATAAATGTGCTATGAATTTTGTAATAATTATGTGTTGATAGAATGGATTATACATTTTTTTTATTTAATCTTAGTTAATATTCATGAAATTATTATATAGTTATTTTATACAATTTTTTATTTAGCTTTTTTTTTTTAATATTAATTTTATAAAAAAAGATTACATGAAAATTTCATGAAATTTCAACCACTCAGTAAAAATTTAAAATATTTAAAAAAATATATTTATGTTAAATTTTGAAAAATTTTTATGTTAAATTATTTTTCTCAAAATATAATGAATTTATGAAAAATATTGTAATTACCTTTTTTATAGGCAATAATAAGTTCTATAATTAATATTCTATTCATTTTAGCGCTAAGTGTAATAGTTGTCGAGTTAAACACAAAAAAAGCAAAAACAACCATCAAGTACCATATTTCAACCCTAATGCGGCACCAAAAGGGGTTGAATAAAAACTTCCAAATTTTACCTACATTACATTTTAATAGTATTTAACCAATCTAGAGGGTACTGTCTTAAAAAAATTGAGTTTGAAAAATAAGGACCACCCTACTAAGTATAGAGCGCAAAGTATGCAAAATATTGTACAATATTGACTAAACAATAAGTAAAATTTAATAAAATTTTTGTTACGATAGGTACTAACAGTTTTACGATTTTTCGCTAGTGTCTTCTTTGGGCCAACAGTTTCATTTAAAATCTTGGTAATATTTTGCCATAATAATTGGGCATCTTTCATGGTAAAAGATGGTTCAAATTTTTTAGAATTTAATTTTGGATGCTTATGAACAAATTCAATTAATAATTGTTTTTGTTCATAAGTCACACTTATTGACTTTTTTTCCCCTCCATTGTAAAACATTACACAAATTGAAATAAAAAATACTGACAAAAAACTCGTGACAAATTTCTTATGGGTAAATTTTGTAGTTATCATAAATATTATCAAGTATTAACTATAAAATTAATATAAAATACAGTACAGCCAATATAATTTAACATATCGCACTAATAATTATTGGTTTGACATGACATTAGATTAGATAATGTACGATTAGTGCAAGATTTTTAGACTGATAATAAATAAAATTCAAAAATACGAATTTCCATTAGTGCACTAAAATCATAATCTAATGTTTTAGTGTACTAAAACATTCGCCAATGATTAGTCCAAGCTCAAAAATAGACCCCCTGCCCAATAAATATAATCTAACTTCTTTCTTTTCTGAAATTTTTAGCTTTGATGCGAAGCTGAGAAGGAATTGGTTTTACTAAGATGTGTTTTTTTTTTGTGTCTGTTACCACTTTTTCTCAGCTCTCACCGAACCGATTTCAATCAATGATACGCCAAAAGATCACAAATCGTATCTAGTCGACGACATTACCTTCAAAAATTGAAAAAAATTCCCTCGTTTCCCGTAAATGGGGGAAACCTCTAAAAAAATTACAAATTTAAAAATTACTAATTTTCGAAATTTTCGAAATTTTTTTTACTTAAAATTGCTATAACTTTTTTAAAAATAACTGAATTAATAAATTTTTTTTTATATAGATGCATGATATTATTACCTTTCATTTGGTATATTTTTTTTTATATAGATGCATGATATTATTACCTTTCATTTGGTAAATTTTTTTTTATATGTGACCCTTTACTTGCTCACAGGGGGGTATTTAAAATGACAATTTTTTCATGAGAAGTAGTATTTATATACATCTTTCATTCGACATACTGTTTTTTTAAATCGGAACATTTTCCTATATTTGAGGGGGGTTCAAATCTAAAAAAATGCATGTAGAAAGTAGAACTTTTTCAACTTAAATTTCGAAAGTGTTCCGGAAGGTCTGACACTTTTATATATATCTTAAATTAAACTAATGTAATTTACTTTATTGTACAAAAAAAAAATTTCGGACTTAATTTTATCTTCACGGTGAAAATGGCTACCGAATGCTATTATTGTGTGAAAATTATCCATTTTGTTTTTTACATTTTTAACTTAATAATGCTATGACATATTGAAAAGTGTATGGATCAACATTATTTTTTTATGAGAAATAATATTTTTTAATAATCCCTTTTTCATTCGACATACTTTATCTTAATTAGGATATTAATAAGGAACTAGCAGATCATGTAGCTTTTGGAATAATCCACCAATTTTTTAAAATTAAACACTATCTAAATATTTGCATTGAAGCGTTTTTTTTTGATAGTGATTTTAATCATTGTCAGATATCATTATACTTGATCTACCTATGCCACATCACCACTGTACCGCGACCCCCTTGTGCTGGGTTTTTTTTTGTTTTATTTTTATTCATATCATTTTATATAAATAAATTAACATTAATTTTTCTCAATTATATTATCCCACATATTTCTTTTTTATTTTATTAATCTTGTATTAATACCTATATATTTGGTTATTACAATTGTATCGGAAATTGAAATGTAAAAAAAAATTATTTAAATTATGTATAAAAACCTAGAACAGGGGGGTCGCGGCACAGTGGTGCCGTGGTATAGTTGGATCAAGTATAATGATATCTGACAGTGATTAAAATCACTATCAAAAATAAACACTTCGATGCAAATCTTTAGATTGTGTTTAATTTTATAAAGATTGGTGTAATATTCCAAAAAATATAAAAAATAAAATCGAGAATTTTCACACGAAAATAGCATTCGGTAGCCATTTTCGCCGTAAAGACTAGTCCAGAGGTCACTTTTTTTTTTTTTTCATAATAAAGTAAATTACATGAACTATAACTTAAGATATATATAAAAGTGTCAGACCTTCCGGAACATTTTCAAAAGTTAACTTGAAAAAGTTAATTTTTTATGAAAAAGTTGTCTTTTTAAATCCCCCTCTGTGGGCAGTTAAAGGGTCAAATTTACCAAAAAAATATATCAAATGATAGGTAATGTCATCAAGCATCTATAAAAAAAATTATATTGATATGTTCATTTTTGGTAAAGTTACGGCACATTTTAGTAAAAAAAATTGAAAAAATTTTGAAAGTTATCGATTTTTAAATTTGTAATTTTTTTTGAGGTTTCCCCCATTTATGGGGAACGAGGGAAATTTTTTCAATTTTCAAGGGTAATGTCTTCGACTAGATACGTATTGTGATCTTTTGACGTATCGTTGAAAGAAATCCGTACGGTGAGAGCTGAGAAAAAGTGGTAACAGACACAAAAAAATAAATAAATAAACACATCTTAGTAAAACCAATACCTTCTTAGCTTCGCATCGAAGCTAAAAATTAATAATAACGAAAAAAGAAAGGAAATTAATTAAATTGTATTTATTCTTTGTAATATAGATATCAGTTATAGTTCACTAGTTAGCCAATAGTTTTAATAAATACTTACATATAAGTTCTAATTTCAATGTAACAATAATTAATTACACAGTAAAATTTATTTTGTTGTATATTTAGAAAATATATTCATATTTTAAAAAGTCATTTCAAAAGAATATTTAATATTATGTGGGCCATAGTTTTGTCGTAAAGCCGAACGTCCGACAGTTTTTTTAAAACGTGTCCATAAACACAATATGATTCAACTTCGGAATCTTCAGCGTTTGCTGTCTTCATACCATCATTACCACGTTGTGTCGACCTAATTTGCACTTTTTTATGTGCGAATTTCGATTTCCTACTGACGTTCTACTATGTACTGTATATATACAGATATAATAACTATATAACAATAATAATAATAATAGTGAACGCCCACAGCTTTTTTACGGTCTGATCCACTCGCTTGGTTTGCCATTTGATCAAACGAATTTCCGAAACGAATACGGAAAACGATTTGTTTTTATTCGCTCAATTATTTATAATTTTCTATTTTACCAGTATATTTATAATGTCATTATAAAGCATAGAATTTTGGCAATTCTCATTGACAAATTCTTTCTTTTTCAATTGCTGCCCATTATGGTATTGTTCTTTTTAATTGCTCAATGATTTCCGGAACACAAATGAATATGAAAAAACTGAAAACAAATTTGACCAACTGTAAGAAGTTAGGACCGACTTCTTTGTTCATTCTTTTGGTTTTAATTAATATAAAAACTAAAAAAAATGCAAATAATTATTTGAGAAAAGTGTTTTGGTAGCAAAATTATGTGTTGCAATAAAATTAAAGTAATTGTGGTCGTAAAAATTACAACTTTATCTTAAATCACTTTACTAACATTATTTATAATTAAATAATTTACAGCAGTTCTAGTTCTCAATGGTAATATGTTTCGTTTTAATTAGTCATGATATAGTCTAAGTATAAACTATTTTAAAGAAAAATACTAGTATTACCGTTTACCTATATTGATCATTAATTATACGAAAAATATTTGGAACAAAGTGTTTTTCTTCCTATTAATATTAAAATTATTCAATTTAATTTGTTTTTTTTAACTCAAAAAAAACTTCTTTACTAAATCTAATTTTACTTAAATTAAGTGCCGTGTAAAATAAAACTTTTGAGTATCCAATAAATAATAAATACTATTAAGTTTGACATGAATTAAAAGTATTTATTATTGATGTATCTATTTTTATAGTACTTATTGTTACACACTAAAAACTTATTATTATGTATTTCCAGTGGCATAATTTAATCTTAAAGGGTCCATAAGTGATTGTGTCAAGTAAAGAAGTTTTAAATAGAAGTTGTCTCTTTTACATATTCAAAAATCTTAAAAATAATTTTTATCATTATGAAAAACAAAGAATTAAATTTAAAAACCATATTTAATATTTAATATTAGTGGTATAAGTTTTAATAAAATGTATACAAATTAAAAATTTTTTTTATCATTTTACTGATATTACACTTAAACTTTAACTTTTACTTTTATATTATACTTTTATTATTTCATAAAAATTCAGAAATTTAGAAAATTAAAAAATTAATAAAAAAATATAAAAATTATTATGTATTACTTTTTTTTAATCTTAATTGTTATTTTATATTATTAACATTAGATTAGGAATATATCTTTTCATAAACTTTATAAATAATAGTTTCTGACTTTTAGAGTTGAATATAGAGTTATATCTTGTTTGACTTATTTTATTTTACTAACGACTTTTTCAGCTTGTTATATACTAGTGAGATCTAATGGTCTAGAACAGATAGATCTTAATGCTATTTTAGTTAGCAAACAGTAATGATCATCGAATTTCTGTATACGAATCGTTAGTGTCTTTATATAAAAAATAAAAGTCATTTTATAACTAGGCTAGATTAAAGTATAACTGTGACTATTGTAGACTACTTGAATAAAACTAATTTGGAAAAAATAAACCAAATATTTTAATAGCAGTTTTTAATTTTTTTTTCCCTATAATTACTGTCCCCTCGGTTAGAGCCGTTGAATTGCAATATCAGTCTTATTATCTGTCAATGTTGTACAGAAGTAAAAGTTTATATCTTTTTAAACACATGATGCTTTATGTTTATTGTATTTATTTTAGTTGGTTATTACCATTTGTATAAGCACAAAATAAAGTCAACAGCAGCTATATGGGGTAACTAAAATTGAATTAACTGAATAATTTTCGAGAAGAATATACATTCGGTAAATGGTTCTTAAAATATAAATTAACATAAATTTATGTTGTCTTTAAAATTTAAATATAAGGATTAAAAGTTTAAATAATAAATAGCTTAATGTTTATTTCCTATATGTAAAATGTTTTTTAGTATGAAAGCTATATTTTCTATAAACAGTGTTATTTAAGTACAAAACCTTCATTTTACATACACAGAATGAATGAAGCCCGTATTAAAAATATATGGTTTTCTTTAAATAAGAATCCTTTTTATTTCTATATACAAGGTGTTCTTTAAATAAGAACCTGCATTTTATATATATAGAATATACGTTATGTACAATATCTGTAATTTATATACAGAGTGTTTTTTAAGTACAAAAAAAAAAAACGAAAACTCGAATTTGCAAGATAATTTTTGATCCGATTAATAGAGATTTTTTTGTTGAGATTTAAACTGTAGATCTCCAGTTGGAATAAGTATGAATGATATCTGACAGTGATTAAAGTCACTATCATATGTATCGCTTTGATACAAATCTGTAGATAGTGTTTTATTTTAAGAAATTGGTGGATTATTCCAAAAGCAATATTAACTCCTATTTCCATCTTTATTCCTAATAGTTCTATGTTTTTTTAGTATAATATATGATTAATTATTTAATAAATTAATATAATATGAAATTGATATTTAATAATTTAGTATTGTAATTTTTACGGAGAAAGATAAAAAATTATAAAGTAGTTGTTATTTTTATAGCAAACTTGTATAAAAATTGAATATTTTATATTATTACTGATTAGTTCAAAACGAGTATTAACATATAAAAAAAATAACCAAAAATATATAGGGTAAAATGAAATTCAACAACACAATAGTGAACAAAATCATAGGCACGTAATATTTCTGATAATTAGTATATTATAGTATACTATAGGATATAACTATACGAAATATAGTTTTAAAGTAAAAATATACTTTTAATATTCAATTTTTTGTGCTATTTCAAATCAGCAATTATATGTTTTCAATCACCAATAATTTTTCATATTATTACTAATTAGTTAAAAACTATATGATATAACTATAAGGAAAATAGTTCTGAATGCATTACAATCATCTGTTAACCAAATACTCATAGATGAACAGCATGAATTCCGACCTGGTCGATCTATCTCTACTTGTTACGTCCTCTTTTGTAATTATGTGTTTAACTCATTTCAGCTTGGATTTCAGACAGATGTAATTTATACAGACTTTAATAAAGTTTTTGACTATATTAATCATAAGGCCCTAATTCTTGTGCTCAAAGAAACTGGTTTCGGGGAGCCTCTTCTGTCGTGATTCAGTTCTTATTTAGACAATAGGTATTAATGGGTTAGAGTTTTCGGAATAAAATCTAACTTATTCCATACTAAATCAGGGGTACCTCAAGGGGCACAATTATCATGTTCTCTGCTTTGCGGATGATATGAAAATATTTATGCAAATTCAATCTCCTAGTAACTGTATAAGGCTCCAAGCAGACCTAGATAAATTTGTTGATTGGTTAACTAAGTTGGGTTTAACACTTAACCTATCCAAATGCAAAGCTTTTACATTTTCTAGGAATCACTCTCCGATTACTTTCCCATATCGCCTTGGTAACGACGAAATCCCTCGCGCATCTAACAATATTATGGACCTTAGATTCAAATTCAGCCACAATCTTGACCCCAGCGCTCACATCCAACATGTCTTTTGTAAAGCTTTCAAAATGCTTGGTGTACTTATTAGATTGACCAAAGAGTTCAAGCTTGAAAAGACCTTAAAAATTTTGTTTTGCGCACTGATCCGCCCTATATTAGAGTATGGCAGTGTGGTGTGGGACCCCCCACGGCAGACAACTGTCGCCAGTTAGTAAGGATGCAGAATAAATTTCTATGTTTTGCTGGGCGGGCGCTATGTTTACCATGTCTACCCCACGATTATAGCCCCGTGGCATATAATTTAGGCCTTTCCACCCTGTCATCGAGGCGAAGTATTGCTGGCTATAGGTTTTTCGGGGGTTTGCTTGATGGGAAGATAGAATGTCCTGCGCTATTGTTTCTGATCCCTTTTAGGGTTCCGCAGATGAATACCAGGTCGAATGCTCCTTTCCGAGTCACGCATGCCCCCACAAATTACCTAATGAACGAACCCCTCCACCGATGACTTAGAAGTGCAAATGCAGTTCCTAATTTTATATTATAATAATATTTGTATTGTGCTTAGTTATGTCTTATTTATATATTTGATTTATTAGTTGTAAACATTTTAGATTTTGTCTTTTTTTTTTTTTATGTATATAAATATTTTTTATTTTGTTTTTGTGTCTTTCTCAAAATTCAGTTAAAATTAATTATGTAAACATAGCATGCTTATAAAAAATAGGGATACATCCCGTAAACTAATATAATAAATACGTATGTTAATATTATAAGTAATAATATAATATTACAATTTCACCCCTTTCTATTTTGTCATACGCCCTCGTATGACACACACAAAGAATAATAAAAGCATTTTGTTCAAGTTAACTTAATTATAAGATGCATAATTCAAATAGGTTTGTGCTTAACATAATAATTAGTGCAGTAATAAATTGTTAAAAATAAAAATGAATATAAGGTGCTTATAATGTAGTAAAAATTGCAATACAAAGTGATTATAAATTGAATTTTTATAAATTTTTTTTTTAAACTTTTTCCTGGTTTTTAGATGCAAATACTCCAATGTGCGTTTCGATTGTACCATGACCCAATTGTGCTACAGTTTTTTTTTATTATTAATATATCTAAAAAAATTTAACATGATAAAGTAGAAATATAAAATTGTATTTGTAATAATAATTCTCCTTTTTTATTAAGTCAATTATTCATACCAATACTGATTTACCTATTGTTTCTTACACGTGTATGAATAGTTTGACTAAAAATAATAACTTTATATATTTCAACATTTACTTAAAATACTCTTTTTATATATAAAAATACAGAAGTAGGCATAAATTATGTTCGTAGTTGATTGTACATTATTGCATATATTCTAATGTAATCAAAAAATTATCAATAGTTATTCAGAATTTTACACTTAGAATAAAAATGAAGGTGAGTAATACACATTATCTGAGGTGCTCAATTGAAATATTAAAAGTCATTTTATTTTGTTCTAGTATTGGCAATTGATTACTCTTTTGTTGATAATATTCTGCGTAATATTTAACAAAGGTAAATTCTATGTTACATTATTTATACAATTTTTATTTGTATTTTATTTATTCGTTAGTTTGTACAATTTTGAATTTCAATAGTTTCAATATTTGTATGTAAAATTTACGAAGTTGTTTTATAGTTTTAAACTATGAAACATTTATGAACAAATTTAATATAAATTGAGAAAATAATTAATTGACATCAATCATTTATTATTATAATTTATTTAATTATTTTAACATAGTAGTTAATTTATTTAATTTTACTATGACTTATTTTTTTGTGTCTGTTGGCTCAAATTTTATATTTATCGACGTCTCAAAACATACATTGTTAGCGCAATCTATGTTCGAAGCTTAGGAGATATTAATTTTATATGTTGTGTTTTTTTTTTGTGTCTGTCACCACTCTTTCTTAGCTCTCATCGGACCGATTTCTTTTAACGATATTTTTAAAGATCACAAATCGTACATCATTGAAGACATTTCACTTGAAAATTGAAAAAAAAAATGTTGATTTTTAAAATGGATGAATTTCGACATTTTTTAAACTTTTTTCTTAAAACTATTATATTTTTTTGAAAAATAAACAATTTTTTTTAATAAATAATGTAGGTTAATATTCCTATTCTTTATCTACCTACAGAGGTTTTTTAAAATAGAAAACAGCTAACTTTTCCAACTTATTTTCTTAAAATGTTCCGGAAATACCATGTCTTTTAAAAATATGTTAAATTAAAGCTTATGTTACATATTTTAAGTTAAAAAAATATATATTCGACGATTTATCTTTTATGTGCAAATGATTGTTCAGTTAAAAATGTTTTTTTAATTTTATTAGGTAAAGGGACGCCCACCAAAGAAATTCAATATGAAATTATCTTTACGGACATTTTTTTTCAATTTAAATTTTATACTGTTATTCTTTTTAAAAAATATATAACTAGATTATATTTTTTATTTTTAATTACCTTACAAGGGCTTGTCATATTTATGAGGTAATCGACTTTTATATATATTACCCTCGAAAATTGAAAAAATTCCATCGTTTCTTGTAAATGGGGGAAACCCCCATAAAAATTACAATTTTAAAAATTGTCGACATTTTTTAAACTTTATTTCTTAAAATTGCCATAATATTTTAAAAATGAACATAATTTTTTTATAGATACCTTAAATATTTACCTAACATTTGGTATATTAAATGTGAAAATTTGTTCCTTGCTCACAGGGAAGTTTTTATTTAACCCTTAACCTGCCCACAGGGGGGGATTTGCCGTACAAATTACAATACTAAATTATTAAATATAAATGTTAGACTATATTTATTTGCTATAACAAATATTTATTCATATATTATACTTATAAATCACAGAACTACTACTCAAGAATAATAAAGGAAATAGGAATTCATTTTGCTATTGGTATAATCCACCAATTTTTTTAAATTAAACACTATCTACAGATTGCATTGAAGCGTTTTTTATGATAGTGATTTTAATCTCTGCCAGATATCATCTATACTTATTCCAACTATGTCACCTCTATATTGTTTCGCGACCCCATAGTGTTATCGTTTTTTCTGATATGTATCAATTTACCTTATTTTCGAATTTATTAAGATTTTTTTTAATAGCAATATATCGGAAAAAAAACCAGCACAGAGGGGTCGTGGCACAATGGTGACGTGGCATAGTTGGATCAAGTATAATGATATCTGACAGTGATTAAAATCACTATAAAAAAAACGCTTCAATGCAAATATTTAGATAGTGTTTAATTTTAAAAAATTAGTGGATTATTCCAAAAGCTACATGATCTGCTATTTTCTTATTAATATCCTGAATGAAAAAGGGATTATTAAAAAATATTATTTCTCATAAAAAAATTGTGTTGATCCATACACTTTTCAATAAGTTATAGCATTATAAAGTAAAAAATCTAAAACATAAAATCGAGAATTTTCACACAAAAATAGCATTCTGTAGCTATTTTTATCACGAAGACAAGTCCAGAAGTAAAATTTTTTTTTTTTTTTTCATAATAAAGTAAATTACATGAGCTTTAACTTAAGATATGTATAAAAGTGTCAGACCTTCCGGTACACTTTCAAAAGTTAAGTTGAAAAAGTAAATTTTTTGTGAAAAAGTTGTCTTTTTAAATCCCCCTCTGTGGGCAGGTTAAGGGTTAAATTTATGAAAAAAATATACCAAATGATAGGTAAAGACATCAAACATCTATATAAAAAAAAATTATATTGATTTGGTTATTTTTAAAAAAGTTATGGCAATTTTTGAGAGTAATATCTTCGACTGGATACGATTTGTGATCTTTTGATGCATCGTCGAAAGAAATCCGTTCGGTGAGAGCTGAGAAAAGTGGTAACAGAAAAAAAAAAAAAAAAAAACACATCATAGTAAAACCAATATCTTTTCAGCTTCGCATCGAAGCTAAAAATGTATTGTTAGTCAAAAAATGTGGTTATGATTAATTTATGCTTGAGAATAAAATTAATATAATTGCAGTTGAACTTAAATAATAATCTAAATTATTATAACTTTATGAATGAAAATTTTAATTGAATTAACTTAACTAGGTAGACTAATTTAATAATCTAGACTATTAAAAAAATTTTTTATAAGAATATAAATATTTAAATAAAGCAAAAATTAATAAACAATTGTTATATAGCGATTCAATATTCAGATGACGATGTAATATGTCAATTTGAAAAAGGTACCACCAGAAAAGCTGCTGAAATTGGAAACTTGGAATTTTTAATATATGCTCATGAAAATGGATGTAAATGGGATGATGATACGACTATTGTAGCTGCTGGAAAAGGTAATTTGGAATGTTTAATATACGCCCACGAAAATGGATGTGAATGGAATGAAGAAACAACAAAGGCTGCTGCTACTAAAGGATATTTAGAAATCTTAAAATATTTACATACAAATGAATGTCCCTGGGATGAAAGCACAACAGAAGCAGCAGCAAAATATGGTAATTTAGAATGCTTAAAATATGCTTATGAAAATGGCTGTAAATGGGATGAATTAAAAATTGTGAAAATTGCTTTTAAAAATAATGATATAGATATTTTGAAATATGCCCAAAAAAATATACTCAAATTAAATAAAGTTTTATCCATCATGGCTGCCTTTGCAGGTAATATAAAAATTTTAAAATATGCTCATGAAACTGAATGTCCTTGGGATGATCGTACAACTGATACGGCTGCAAAATATGGTCATTTAGAATGCTTAAAATATGCCCATGAAAATGGCTGTGAATGGAATCAATTCAATATTGTGATGACTGCTATTCAAACAGGTAATCTAGAAATTTTAAAATATGCCCACAAAAATTTATGCGAATTGAATAATGACGCATCTACTATGGCTGCATTAAAAGGTAATTTAGAAATTTTAAAATATTTACAAAAAAATGAATGTCCTTGGGATGAAAGTACAACAGAAGCAGCTGCTTCTAGTGGTAAATTTGAATGTTTAAAGTATGCTCATGAAAATGGATGTCTTTGGAATGAAGCTACAACTAGAGCTGCTGCCTCTAATGGCAAATTAGAATGTTTAAAATATGCCCATGAAAATGAATGTCCATGGGATAAAAGTACGGCTGATGCAGCTGCTTCATATGGTCATTTAGAATGCTTAAAATATGCCCATGAAAATGGTTGTGAATGGGATGAAGATACGGCTATGGATGCTGCTATGAATGGTAATTTGGAATGTTTAAAATATGCTCATGAAAATGGATGTAAGTGGGATGAAAGCACAACAGAAATGGCTGTTTATAATGGTAAATTAGAATGTTTAAAATATGCCTATGAAAATGGATGTCCTTGGGATGCAGGCACAACACAAGGAGCTGCTTTTTATGGTGAATTAGAATGTTTAAAATATGCCCATGAAAATGAATGTCCATGGGATGAAGGTACAACACAAGCAGCTGCTTCTAATGGCAAATTAGAATGTTTAAAATATGCCCATGAAAATGAATGTCCATGGGATAAAAGTACGACTGATGTCGCTGCAAAATATGGTCATTTAGAATGCTTAAAATATGCCCACGAAAATGGCTGTGAATGGAATCAATTCAATATTGTGATGACTGCTATTCAAACAGGTAATCTAGAAATTTTAAAATATGGCCACGAAAATTTATGCGAATTGAATATAGACGCAACTTCTATGGCTGCATTAAAAGGTAATCTAGAAATTTTAAAATATTTACATAAAAATGGATGCCCATGGGATGAAAATATAACAAAAGCAGCTGCTTCTAGTGGTAAAGTTGAATGTTTAAAATATGCCCATGAAAATGGATGTCCATGGGATAAAGCTACAACTAGAGCTGCTGCAGCAAGTGGATGTTTAGACTGCTTGATATATGCTCATGAAAAGGGATCTTATTGGGATAAAGATACAATAGCTGCAGCAGCTGTACATGGTAATTTAGATTGTTTAAAATATGCCCATAAACATGGATGTGATTGGGTTGAAGGTACAATGAGATTGGCTGCAGCGAATGGACATTTTGACTGCATTAAATATGCTTATGAAAATAGTTGTGAGTGGGACGAAGGCACAACAAGGGAAGCTGCTGCTAGTGGTTATATAGATTGTTTGATATATGCACATAAAAATGGATGTAAATGGGATGAAGGGACAATGAGTGGAGCTGCTGCAAATGGTCACTTAGATTGTCTAAAATATAGTCATTTAAATGGGTGTGTGTGGGACAAAGAGACAACAAGACTTGCTGCTGCAAATGGTCAATTAGATTGCATAAAATTTGCCAATGAAAATTACTGTCCATGGAGTAGTGGTACCATTTATGAAGCTTTTCAAAATGGTTATATAAGTATAGTCAATTATGCTACCGACAATGGCTGCCTTAATTAATTGTATGTTGAAATATAATTATTTTTATTTTATTCACTTAAGAGGCGGCTATGTCATTATTTTTTATATAAATTAACTTGAAATTTGATATGTATTTCAGAAGGTATTGATTTTAATAACAGCATTTTTGATAGTTTACTTTCTTAAGAAGTACTATTTTTACGAAGTATTACCAAAATCTTATATATGATATCAACATTTTTTCTTTTCTACTTAGTTTTCCGTCACATTACAAAAAACTAGTATATTCAATTATCAATGTGTATTTTAATACGTTTAAGACGATTTTTGTGAATTATTTTTTGAGTATAATCTTGATGAAATATTATTGTGAATACTATTCAACTAACGTTTATAATTTAAATAACACTTTTAGAAATATAAAGTTGTTCAATTGTAACATAAAATTCATTTTAAAAAACTTTCTCAGCTTTACAAATAATATTTCCAGAATAATTTTTCTAGCATTGGCTAATTTTTAATATTCTAAAATATAATAAGATACTATATTGAATTAATATAGAAAACTCTGTGTATTATTTTAATTTTATAGTATTGAAGTTGTATAAGAATAAAATGTTTACCATTCAAATAATATAATATTCCAGCCATCTCGAAAATTTAGATTTCCCTTTTTTCTCTGTTATGAAAATTGTTCAAGTACTTCGTTAGTAAATAATTTTTCCATTATTCTATTTAACGTATATTTAGTATGTTTTTGATCAATTAATGTTAATTGGCGAATTTAAATTATTAACGAAGAAAATTAAATTGGACCAATCGCAATGCACAATTTTTTTCTGATATCTCACCAAGTTATTATAAAAATCTCTATTTCATAAAATTTTATCATTGAATTTTTCTAAATTCTCAACATTAAAAATAGAAAACAAGTAAGTTAAATGAACATAATTAAATTGGTAATTATGTTTATTAGAATTTGATAAAAAGTAATTATTAATTGATTGAGTTTCATTATATCCAATTTTTGATTATTCTCAATTTGTTCAACTCTTCTTAATTCATACTGGATAAATATGAACTTTGTATACGCCCTGGGAGTGAAAAATCTAATGACACTAACAAAGGGAAAATAAAGACTAAGGATTGGTATAAATAAAGGAATATCCAAGTCGTTTATCCACAAAAAAATGTATATTAATGTAACAATGAAATTAAATATACATCAATAAATAATTATAATTTAAGTAATAATTTGCACTTTTGGCACAATTATGATAATGGTAGCTGTATAACATATTAAATTATTAATTTAAATAACAATAGTTAACCGTGTGATTCCAAGTTTCCTTTTCATAATATTTATTTTAATAATTTTTATATTTTTATTATTAAATCTTTTGTATGTAAATATTTTAAGATTTCTAAATATCCTTTAGTAGCAGCAGCCTTTGTTGTTTCTTCATTCCATTCACATCCATTTTCGTGGGCGTATATTAAACATTCCAAATTACCTTTTCCAGCAGCTACAATAGTCGTATCATCATCCCATTTACATCCATTTTCATGAGCATATATTAAAAATTCCAAGTTTCCAATTTCAGCAGCTTTTCTGGTGGTACCTTTTTCAAATTGACATATTACATCGTCATCTGAATATTGAATCGCTATATAACAATTGTTTAATAATTTTGGTTTTATTAAAATTTTTAATTATCTTAAAAATAATTATATCAAATTAAAATTTCTATTCATAGAGTTATAAAAATTAAAATTCTTATATGAATTGAACTCCAATTATGATTAATTTTATTCTTAAGCATACTTTAGTCATGCTCATATTTTTGATTAATAATAAATATTTTGTGTCAATATATTACTATTAAAAAAAACCTAATAAATTTGAGAAAATAAGATAAAATTGAAGCATATTGTAAAAAACACAAAAATTAACTTTTTTAGAAACTTTAAATATTTTGTATGTAAATATTTTAAGATTTTTAAATATCCTTTTGTAGCAGCCCGTGGCGCCAGAACCAGGGGGCAGTTGCCTTTTTGGTCAAAATACAAGGGAGACAAAAGTATCATGCTCCCTCTTATAGAATATGACAAAAAAAAATTACAATGAATCTGGAAATTAATATAACATTACCATACTTAATTATTTAGCTATTCATATTTAAGATTAAAAAGTGTTTATGAATTTACCTAACTTTAGTTGAATATTAAAAAACGGTAGCACAGTGGAGTCGTGGCACAGTATGGACGTGGCATAGTAGGGATAAGTATAAATGATATTTGACAGTAATTTTAAATCATTATCATAAGAAACCTTTCGATACAAATCTTTAAATAGTATTTAATTTAAAAAAAAAATAGTGGATTATTCCAAAAACAAAATTAACTCTTATTTTTTGTTCTACTTTGACTGCAATTTGTATAAAGAAGATAGGTCGACGATAGCTTTAATTTGACATATGTTTTAAGAATCCAGTGTTTCTGGAAAATTTTTAAAACTTAAGTTGAAAAAGTTGATTTTTGTAAAATTTGCTACTTTAAATCCCCCTCTGTGGGCAGGTAAAGGGTCAGATTTTCAAAAAATTATATTAAATAAAAGGAAAATGTATAAAGCATCAATAAAAAAAAATTATTTTGGTTAGTTTATTATTCAATAAGTTATGGAAGTTTTAAGTACCAAAATAACATTGATTTTTTACACGAAAATTATACTTTTTGTTCAATTTTGGCGGTCATTTGCAAATAGAAGATAGGTCGTCGGGACAATTTTTTTTATCTTATAGTACATAACGTACTATTTGCAGAACATTTTCAAAATTTAAGTAGAAAAAGTTCTACTTTTTATACGTATGTTTCAAGTTTTGAACACTACTTGTATAAGAAAAATTGCCTTATTTGTTGTAATATGCCCAATTCTTTGCACTATGTATCTTACATTTATCAATGAAACATTTATAATATTTATTTTATACTACTTGTATACAAACAAATAATTTATTTATCTGTCATAACATATACTGTTGTACACTATTTATTTTGTATGTACATACTTGTTAAATTAATAATTATATACTATGCATATTATAAAATAATAATCATGTTATGTTCAATTTATTACAATAAACTGAAAATCACTAAAAGCACTGACGACAACATCCCATGATGGGGGTAATTAATGATAATATAAAGAAGGCCCAGTTCTGCTTACACATCAGAGAGAGAGAGAGAGAGAGAGAGAGCTAGCAAGCCAGTGAGTTAGTAAGCTGGTGAGCGAGCGTGATTGCGACCAGCTCTTCTCCACTTTTGAAATTCTGAATTCAAGAAGAATTTTAAAATCTTTTGTCCAGTTTATTTCTGTTAACTAGTCGCGACCCCATGTTGTTGTCGGTACATTATAATGCGATATTGATATATTATTATTTTGTGTCGAGATTTTATTTATTTATATAAAAAAGACATTATAGAATTTTCGTGTGTGCGAATTAGCACAATTTAAGTAATAGTTTCATTCTTAACATTTTGACTATCGACGATCTTTACACAAGCTATCAAAAAAGAAGTAAGTAAACTTATGTTATCCCAATTATTTAGAGTTAATAAAGCTGAGTACAGAACGACGAAGCAATAGATTATTAACATAATAATATAATAGATTATAATAACATTGAAGAATATTATATTAGACAGGTTGTACATAGTCACGTTAAATGGTATTCATGAACTGGCTTGCCGTTCCGTTGCCATTGTGCATATTATTAGATACCAACCAGACTATACTTTATTACACCTTATCAAAAAGGTATTGCATTTATTATTTTTATATCTAATTGTCTTCGTCGTTCTAAACCCTCGGACTCTACAACACCCATAGAACCTCGTTGCTCACGATTTGACCAAATCCCCAAATATCCAAAATTGGTCAAAATACCCATACATTCTTACAACTAAAAATATATTTTATTTTGTTATTTTAAATTATAACACACTTCAAAAAAAAGTATGTCGGATGAAAGGGGTATATATAATGTATATAGAAATAAAAATTTGTGTTAAATCATACATTTTCAAAAAGTTATAGCAATTTAAATTTGAAAATTTAAAATCGAAAATTTTTATACAAAAATAGTATTTTTTTAAACTACGGCAGCCTTTTGCATGTAGAAAATAAGTCATTGGGACAACATTTTTTTTAATTTATAGTTTTTTTATAAGCTTTAATTTGACATTTGTTTAAAGGATGCAGAATTTCCGGAATATTTTCAAAAATTAAGTTGAAAAAGTTGAGTTCCGTGATAGCCGTTGTTCGACACACACGTGCGTATAGTGCGCTCTAAGTTACTAATCTTACCGTACAACGTGTGTTTCGTTCATTAGTTCTACACCGGTAATCAAACATGCGACTAGTCTATTTAATCATTCTACTTACTCTATACTTTCAACTGAAGTCTCGTGCACAATAACAAAGGAAATAAATATTCGTCCTTGAATATTGTCAACGTTCTAGCTGTAATATTATCAGTGCTCTAGTGCATACAGTCTTATCAGCGGCCGCCTAGGCGGTCTCGTTATTATATAAAATAATAATATAATTACGCTATCGCAACCCATCGTCGTCTCCAATTGTACTTATCGCGATCGCGATCGCGACTGCGATTGTTATTGTATTTATTTAGTAACTTATTAATAATAATTACATTCTTATCAAAATGACTAGCAGAAACATCATCAACAACAACAATAATAATAATAAAGATATTAGTTTAACAAATAACATCGTATCCACGTTAATAATTACTAAAAATAAAACCTCCAACTCATAACTAGACATAAGTAATAATCAACCAGACGCAGGATGAGCCATACAAAAATCTAAAAGAAATCTCTACTAATTCCGAACCAAACTCTCGACGTGTGCAACCTCCCAAAACAAGAAAAAAATTTTCACTTCAACAAATCGTTTTGAAGCTCTCACTTCAAACGAAGTTCAAGATTCTAATCAGTTGAAGGATCAATTCGATTTCTCGTTCAATGATTCTACCGAAAATATTACCATTGACATACAGACAGTGTGTACAAATTATCCACCAATTAAACCTCCTCCCCCAATATTCGTAAGAGGTGTCGACGATTTTCCGGAACTATGCATAGTACTTATAGAACAAATCGGTGTTGAAAACATTGTCTGTAAATCATATGTAAACAGTTTAAAAATTCAAACCAGCACTCCAGACGCATATATAGGTCACTAATAAGGTATTTAAAGGAAGAAAAAGCCGAATACCACACCTACTTACAACAAGAAAAACTCGTCCCATTCGTAATTCGCAACCTGCATCCATCAACGCCAACTTGTCTTATAAAATCTGAAATAGAATTTCGTTATTTTGAAGTGAGAAATATTAGCAATGTTCTACACAAAACAAATAAGCACCCATTGCCACTTTTTTTGTCGATCTAGAATCCAGCAATCAATCATAAGATATACAAATTGACATCTCTATTACACATAAAAATTTAACTAGAAGAACATTTTAAAGCTAAAATTATAAGCCAATATCTAAATTGCCAAAACTACGATCACACCAAAACGTACTGCTGCTACCCACCACGATGTGTTCGTTGCGGCGCCTGCCAACCATCTTCCACCTGTTCAAATACATCAACATGTGTACTCTGTCAAGGGAGCCACCCAGCTAGTTACAAGGGATGTGCAGTATACAAGGATCTCCAACGACGTAAGAAACCTGCCACTAGTATTCATTTTTTTTTTTGTTAGATAATATTAGAGATATGTCATTAGTTATAAAAGATAGCCACCCTACTTATGATACTAACCCAAACCCCACCCCATCCTATGCACAGATCACGTTAGGCCAATCCTCAAATCAACATCTGCCCCCACCGTCAGCTGATATCAACAAAACAATAAGTTTTCTAGAGGATTTTAAATCTCTAATAAATCCTTTAATATCTCTACTTACAAAAGTAATAACTAGTCTTTTAGATAATAAAAAATGATCAATAATACACACACAAACAATTCCCTTTTAATTTTACTATTCAACGCAAATGGCCTCAAAAATCATGTAATTGAAATCCAATCAGTACTACAAAACTAACGTATTGATATTGCATTAATTACAGAAACTCATCTTAATCAACATTAAAAGGTACATATTCCAGGTTAAAAATTACTGAAAGCTAATCTTTCAGATAAAACAGCTCACGGCGGAGTCGCCATACTAATTAAATCCACCATCACATTCCAAATTCTTCCCAATTTCTGTGAGAACTTCCTACAGTTCTGTGCGATTATAATCAACATAAATAATATCCCTGTAACAATTGCTGCAATATACTCACCTCCAAAACATACTGTTACAATTGCTGACTTTAATAACTATTTTTGTACTTTTGGCAACAATTTTTTAGTTGGAGGCGAATTTAATGCCAAACATCTAAGTTGGGGATGTTGCACAAATAACCCACGTGATCTTGTACTACGTGATGTCGTATGTACAAAAAAACTTAAAATACTTGCTTCCCAGGCCCTACTTACTGGCCAACTTCTGCTCAAAAAAAAAGCTAGATATACTTTCATATTTGTTTCAAAAATCCTATCTAATTGATTTCACTCTACTGATAATATCTTGGACTTAAACTCAGACCACTCTTCAGTCGTATTATCACTTACTGATTATCCATTAACTTGCCCCGAACCTCCCAAACTCTTCAATTCCACAACTGATCGTTAAAAATTTCATGATCTTCATTAATCAAAAAATAAAACTGAATATTAAACTAAAACCCATGGATGATATTGACTTCGCAGTAAATAGCATTACAAATATAATTCAATTAGCGGCATGGTCAACCACCTTTGTAGAAAACTATTCCTTTTCATATCAACTTTCTTTGCCGAGCCATATACGTACACTAATAGGAGGAAAAAAGAGAGCAAGAGCCCTGTACCTACGACACCATCTCACATCTTTTAAACAAAAATATAATAAATTGGCTAATTTTATCTAAAAAGTTTTATCTAAAAATAAAAATATTTCATTTGCAATAAAATAAACTTTCAATATAAAACCTCATCGCCCCCAATAAAAAAACCAGGTGGTAGCCTTGTTTCTTTCTGATGCTGAAAAAGCAGAACTATTCAAAAATCATCTTCATGAAATTTTCCAACCTACCCTGAAACATCCTCACTAGCTACTACAAACTCTGTAAAAATGTATCTTGACTCTCCTCTCCCTATATCTTTACCAGTAAAACACTTCACGCCCAGTGAAGTAAAATTTACAATACAAAAATACTCATTTAGGAAATCCCCAGGATTTGATTTAACTACAGCGGAAGTTACCAGATGCTTACCAAAATGTGCAATCATCCTCCTTACCCACATTTTCAATGCTTCACTAAAACCCATTTACTTCCCCCTTTTATAAAAATTCTCTAAAATCATTATTATCCCTAAACCAAACATACCACTTGACTTAAACGTATCCTTCCTATCATGTTTGATAAAAAAATCTTATCTGATTATCAATTTGGTTTTCGTGCTCATCACTGGACTATTCACCAAATCCATAGAATTGCTGACGCTGCCTCATTTTCCATAGAAAAAAACGTTACTGAAACTGCGCATTCCTTGACGTATCCCAGACCTTCGATAGAGTATGACATGAAGGTCTGCTATACAAATTAAAACAATTCCTATACTCAATATACTACATTATACTTAAATCATATCTCACAGACTGATACTTCCAGGTCCATTATGGCTCTTCAGACTCTAATATAACAGGAATTGCGGCAGGTGTTCCGCAAGGCGGAATACTCTCCCCAATTCTTTACAATATTTATACAATTGACCACGCCTAACACTTTAGTAGCAGATTATGTGGACGATAAAGTCATAATATCATCCAGTCCAGATCCTATTATAGCCTCAAAAAACTTACAAAATCATCATTTACTGATGGAAGATTGGTACAAAAAGTGACGTTTTAAAATAAACCAAGCCAAATCAATACATACTACATTTATACTTAAATTAACATCATGTCCAGAGGTATCACTTTTTGGTACTCGGATCCCCTCATCCCCAAACGTTAAATATCTCGGGCTAACTATTGATCGCCTTCTTACCTGGGCTCACCACATCAAAACCAAAACATCACAACTAATTCCCGCTTATAAATGCTCAAAACCCTAATCGTCAACAAGAAACACTCAAAACTAAATAATAAACTACTCCTTTACAAATCTCTCTAAAAGCCAATCTGGACGTACGGCTTACAGCTATGGGGCAACGCAAAAATCTCTAATCAAAATAAAATTCAACGGTTCCACAATAAAATACTAAGAAAAATTAACAATTCTCCACCATATGTATCAAATCATTCCCTACAAAAAGACCTACACATGAAAACAATTCAGGAAGAGGCAAAAAATTATTATAAACGTTTCCACCTACGCCTTAACTCTCATCCAAATGAACTTATTAAAAATCTAGCTTCATTAACCATCCTTGGTAACCCTCCTCGCCGCTTTAAGCTTAAATGGTGCAGAGACCTACTTAATCCCTAACAAAAAATTAAATATAAAATAAGGTTAAACACTATAATTAAAAGACGTTAGTATCATCGGTGAAAGGATTCTTCATTCAATATTTTATTCTCCCTTGTCATTAGCTAATACTCTTATTGTGTCTTTTGTGTATATATTAATAAAGAATAAAAAAGTTGAATTCACAAAATGTGGTTTAAGAAATGAATCGGGCTGAATGTCATAATATTTTTAATAAACCACTTTATTTCAATCAATCTGTTCTGGGTCGAATCTTTTAATGTTGTGCAAGTAATAAACCCTCAACCTTTATCCCTGGAATATACTCCCTTAAATTTAAGTAAAAGTTATGAATTAAGGTCATTATTTGTGAAGTATAAAGTATAAAATCAGGACAAGTTCTGGTTTAAATTCACCTTTGAGAACTGCTTGAACCATTCGACATATAACTTATGAAGACTATCACAAACAGGTTAGCCTTTTAATTAGACTACAAATTAATATTACTGAAACAGTTGTGTCGGAAAACATGCGCAATGTTTATTTAGGAGTAGTCAAAAGGTTAATTCAATTATGAGAAAATGTAATAAAGAAGGAGTTCTATATACTTCCAAGACCACTCGATAATATAGAATACTATAAAGCATCAGAACTTAGACTTTTTTATATTATTCAGTTCAAATAATTTAAGCAAAAACTTTTACTCTCATTTTTTACTGTTAGTGTATGTAATTAGAATTTTAATTAACTTGATAATTTTATGTGTTTTTGATGTTAAAATTATTTATGACATTAAGAAATCTAATAAATCTATTTAATATCCATTACAGGAGGTATATAATAGAATTTCGGAAAAACAAATATTAAATGTTACACTTCCATTCCAATCATTTTCTGTTCGTTCAACTCTATACAATGAAGTTATACAACAAAATATTCCTTTTAAACAAGGTATTAATGCTTCTGAAAATATTTTGAAAAAAATTATTTTACCCTTTTCAAAACATTTTATTACATACTAATTAAGAAAAAGTCACATTATGACTGAAAATAATTTTATTATATCTGTTGACCAATGAACAGTTTTATATCCTTCTATTTCTCAAATTTAACATGCATCAGAGGGTGGTGGCCATCTTTCATATATTACGGAGTCAAAGATGGTTCTTGGCTAGGCAAATTATGGATGGGACGGATTTTATGGCCAGCTTGCAACAGAGATCAGTGCAGTAAATAGCTGAAAATATATCAAATAAACTTCCGTTTTAGTATAGTATAACACTGTAGTAAGTATTTTAAATTCTAAGTAAAATAATAATGTCATATTAAGGGAAAATGCAGGGTAAGCAAGTTAACAATGGTGGGAACAAGGATATATAAAGAGAAACGTTTTTGACAAGAAACGTCTTGTTATCAATCAGAATGATTTAATGCGCGAAATTTTGTATTTTGATCTTTCAGAATGCTGACCCCCCCTGATCTATCGACCACCGGACAAGACGAACATAGTGTTATCATCAACACTAACGAGTGTGACGGTTGGCAGCTGATAATCACGACCAGATAACGTATTAATTCACAGTAAATGAATAGTGAGCTATTACGGGCCGTGTCATGAACTTTATAAATTACTTGTAAAAAAATATCTTAATTGTTGAATTAAGTAATGAACCCAGATGTTCTACTATAGTAGTGTATTTATTGTTAACAATACAGAAGCAATACAAGAAGAACTTTGACTGACTAACAACGCGTGCCATATACTACGGTGCAAAGTCTAGCAAGTGCCGCATGGTCGACGACGACCCACCGCAAATGATGCGTAGAGCATTCTTTCGTCATCAAAGTGACGTGCGCACGACGGGACTTAACAAACCAATTCACACCCGCGACCGTCGTCATCAACGGCATTAACTTTTTGAGGTCCAAGAACCATGCTGGACACCGCCAACGCTATTGAAAGTGCCGCGATACAATGCAAAAATTTTAATTAATTGTATTCCTGTTTTCGGTTTTTTTTTTAAATAATCTGTTATTGCTCATGAAAAATAAACGGCCCACGAGTCTCCATCATCAATACTAGTATCGAATATTTTATTGCGACATAAGTCGTGCCAAATGCAAATAAATTAGTTAATAATTATTCTTTTATAATATATGCAACAATTAATTATTTTGATTTGGAATGTCTTTGATAACTTTATTGGATGTATTTTCATTTGGTGTGTAGTTTTTAAACTATATAATGAATTTATTCACCTTAAAGTTCTGTTATTATATGAACCATAATAAAAACTTAATAGTTTTATTTTAAAATATTAAAGAATAATTACCATTTATAGTTAGAAAAAGATAACTATATATATGTATAGGTAATCTTTTGTGAAACACGAGTCTGTAGCGGATCTTATTACTGAGCTTAATGGTAATCTACCAACTTTAAAATATATATATATATATATGATTTCTGAAATTAGAAAAATAGTTAAATAGTTTAAATATTAATAGTTAACAATAATAATAATTAAAGCTTATTTAGTAATTAACAGTAAATAAAAAAATTTATTGTATTAGCTTCGATGCGAAGCGGAGAAGGTATTAATTTTACTATGTGTTTTTTTTTTTTTTTTTTTTTTTTTTTTTTTTT